ATGAATTTGGTCAAAAATGGCCATTTTTCCAATTTTTTTTTTTTTAGGCAATATAGGTCAGGAAAATGTCTTTTACGATATTCTAGAACGAGAAAACGCCTTTCTAGGCTATAAAAAAAACAAGTTCAAACAGTCGAAATATTGACATTTTTCCAAAGGGGTTAACCCATGGTTTTGGTCGAAAAATTGCCATTTTTCCAAGTTATTTTTATAGGCAATATAGGGCAGGAAAATGTCTTTTACGATATTCTAGAACGAAAAAACGCCTTTCTAGGCTATAATAACAACAAGTTCAAAAAGTCGAAAAATTGACATTTTTCCAAAGAGGTTAACCCATGATTTTGGTCCAAAAATGGCCATTTTTCCAAGTTTTTTTTTTTAGGCAATATAGGCCAGTAAAATGTCTTTTACGATATTCTAGAACGAAAAAACGCCTTTCTAGGCTATAAAAACATCAAGTTCAAAAAGTCGAAAAATTGACATTTTTCCAAATAGATTAACCCATGGTTTTGGTCCAAAAATGGCCATTTTTGCAACTTTTTTTTTTAGGCAATATAGGCCAGGAAAATGTCTTTTACGATATTCTAGAACGAAAAAACGCCTTTCTAGGCTATAAAAACAACAAGTACAAAAAGTCGAAAAATTGACATTTTTCCAAATAGGTTAACCCATGGTTTTGGTCCAAAAATGGCCATTTTTCCAACTTTTTTTTTTAGGCAATATAGGCCAGGAAAATGTCTTTTACGATATTCTAGAACGAAAAAACGCCTTTCTAGGCTATAAAAACAACAAGTTCAAAAAGGCGAAAAATTGACATTTTTCCAAATAGGTTAACCCATGGTTTTGGTCCAAAAATGGCCATTTTTCCAATTTTTTTTTTTAGGCAATATAGGCCAGGAAAATGTCTTTTACGATATTCTAGAACGAAAAAACGCTTTTCTAGGCTATAAAAACAAGAAGTTGAAAAAGTCGAAAAAATGACATTTTTCCAAAGGGGTTAACCCATGGTTTTGGTCCAAAAATGGCCATTTTTCCAACTTTTTTTTTTAGGCAATATAGGCCACGAAAATGTCTTTTACGATATTCTAGAACGAAAAAACGCCTTTCTAGGCTATAAAAACAAGAAGTTCAAAAAGTCGAAAAATTTACATTTTTCCAAAGGGGTTAACCCATGGTTTTGGTCCAAAAATGGCCATTTTTCCAAGTTTTTTTTTTTAGGCAATATAGGCCAGGAAAATGTCTTTTACGATATTCTAGAACGAAAAAACGCCTTTCTAGGCTATAAAAACAACAAGTTCAAAAAGTCGAAAAATTGACATTTTTCCAAATAGGTTAACCCATGGTTTTGGTCCAAAAATGGCCATTTTTCCAACTTTTTTTTTAGGCAATATAGGCCAGGAAAATGTCTTTTACGATATTCTAGAACGAAAAAACGCCTTTCTAGGCTATAAAAACAAGAAGTTCAAAAAGTCGAAAAAATGACATTTTTCCAAAGGGGTTAACCCATGGTTTTGGTCCAAAAATGGTCATTTTTGCAAGTTTTTTTTTTTAGGCAATATAGGCCAGGAAAATGTCTTTTACGATATTCTAGAACGAAAAAATGCCTTTCTAGGCTATAAAAACAACAAGTTCAAAAAGTCGAAAAATTGACATTTTTCCAAAGAGGTTAACCCATGGTTTTGGTCCAAAAATGGCCATTTTTCCAAGTTTTTTTTTTAGGCAATATAGGCCAGGAAAATGTCTTTTACGATATTCTAGAACGAAAAAACGCCTTTCTAGGCTATAAAAACAACAAGTTCAAAAAGTCGAAAAATTGACATTTTTCCAAAGGAGTTAACCCATGGTTTTGGTCCAAAAATGGTCATTTTTCCAAGTTATTTTTTTAGGCAATATAGGTCAGGAAAATGTCTTTTACGATATTCTAGAACGAAAAAGCGCCTTTCTAGGCTATAAAAACAACAAGTTCAAAAAGTCGAAAAATTGACATTTTTCCAAAGGGGTTAACCCATGGTTTTGGTCGAAAAACGGCCATTTTTCCAAGTTTTTTTTTAGGCAATATAGGCCAGGAAAATGTCTTTTACGATATTCTAGAGCGAAAAAACGCCTTTTAAGGCTATAAAAATAACAAGTTTAGAAAGTCGAAAAATTGACATTTTTCCAAAGGGGTTAACCAATGGTTTTGGTCCAAAAATGGTCATTTTTCCAAGTTATTATGTAAGGCAATATAGGTGAGGAAAATGTCTTTTACGATATTCTAGAACGAAAAAACGCCTTTCTAGGCTATAAAAACAAGAAGTTCAAAAAGTCGAAAAATTGACATTTTTCCTAAGGGGTTAACCCATGGTTTTGGTCCAAAAATGGCCATTTTTCCAAGTTTGTTTTTTAGGTAATATACGCCAGGAAAATGTCTTTTACGATATTCTAGAACGAAAAAACGCCTTTTAAGGCTATAAAAATAACAAGTTCAAAAAGTCGAAAAATTGACATTTTTCCAAAGGGGTTAACCCATGGTTTTGGTCGAAAAATGGTCATTTTTCCAAGTTTTTTTTTAGGCAATATAGGCAAGGAAAATGTCTTTTACGATATTCTAGAACGAAAAAACGCCTTTCTAGGCTATAAAAACAACAAGTTCAAAAAGTCGAAATATTGACATTTTTCCAAAGAGGTTAACCCATGAATTTGGTCCAAGAATGGCCATTTTTCCAAGTTTTTTTTTAAGGCAATATAGGTCAGGAAAATGTCTTTTACGATATTCTAGAACGAAAAAACGCCTTTCTAGGCTATAAAAACAACAAGTTCAAAAAGTCGAAAAATTGACATTTTTCCAAAGAGTTTTACCCAATGTTTAGGTCCAAAAACGGCCATTTTTCCAACTTTTTTTTTTTTAGGCAATATAGGCCAGTAAAATGTCTTTTACGATATTCTAGAACGAAAAAACGCCTTTCTAGGCTATAAAAACAACAAGTTCAAAAAGTCGAAAAATTGACATTTTTCCAAAGGGGTTAACCCATGGTTTTGGTCCAAAAATGGCCATTTTTCCAAGTTTTTTTTTTTAGGCAATATAGGCCAGGAAAATGTCTTTTACGATATTCTAGAACGAAAAAACGCCTTTCTAGGCTATAAAAACATTAAGTTCAAAAAGTCGAAAAATTGACATTTTTCCAAAGGGGTTAACCCATGGTTTTGATCCAAAAATGGCCATTTTTCCAACTTTTCTTTTTTAGGCAATATAGGCCAGGAAAATGTCTTTTACGATATTCTAGAACGAAAAAAAACCTTTCTAGGTTATAAAAACAACAAGTTCAAAAAGGCGAAAAATTGACATTTTTCCAAAGACGTTAACCCATGATTTTGGTCCAAAAATGGCCATTTTTCCAAGTTTGTTTTTTAGGTAATATAGGCCAGGAAAATGTCTTTTACGATATTCTAGAACGAAAAAACGCCTTTCTACGCTATAAAAACATTAAGTTGAAAAAGTCGAAAAATTGACATTCTTCCAAAGGGGTTAACCCAAGGTTTTGGTCCAAAAATGGCCATTTTTCCAACTTTTCTTTTTTAGGCAATATAGCCCAGGAAAATGTCTTTTACGATATTCTAGAACGAAAAAACGCCTTTCTAGGCTATAAAAAGAACAAGTTCAAAAAGGCGAAAAATTGACATTTTTCCAAAGAGGTTAACCCATGGTTTTGGTCCAAAAATGGCCATTTTTCCAAGTTTGTTTTTTAGGCAATATAGCCCAGGAAAATGTCTTTTACGATATTCTACAACGAAAAAACGCCTTTCTAGGCTATAAAAGCAACAAGTTCCAAAAGTCGAAAAATCGACATTTTTCCAAAGAGGTTAACCCATGGTTTTGGTCCAAAAATGGCCATTTTTCCAAGTTTTTTTTTTAGGCAATATAGGCCAGGAAAATGTCTTTTACGATATTCTAGAACGAAAAAACGCCTTTCTAGGCTATAAAAAGAACAAGTTCAAAAAGTCGAAAAATTGACATTTTTCCAAAGGGGTTAACCCATGGTTTTGATCCAAAAATGGTCATTTTTCCAAGTTATTTTTTTAGGCAATATAGGTTAGGAAAATGTCTTTTACGATATTCTAGAACGAAAAAACGCCTTTCTAGGCTATAAAAACAACAAGTTCAAAAAGTCGAAAATTTGACATTTTTCCAAAGGGGTTAACCCATGGTTTTGGTCCAAAAACGACCATTTTTCCAAGTTTTTTTTTAGGCAATATAGGCCAGGAAAATGTCTTTTACGATATTCTAGAGCGAAAAAACGCCTTTTAAGGCTATAAAAATAACAAGTTCATAAAGTCGAAAAATTGACATTTTTCCAAAGGGGTTAACCCATGGTTTTGGTCCAAAAATGGCCATTTTTCCAAGTTTTTTTTTTAGGCAATATAGGCCAGGAAAATGTCTTTTACGATATTCTAGAACGAAAAAACGCCTTTCTAGGCTATAAAAAGAACAAGTTCAAAAAGTCGAAAAATTGACATTTTTCCAAAGGGGTTAACCCATGGTTTTGGTCCAAAAATGGTCATTTTTCCAAGTTTTTTTTTTAGGCAATATAGGTCAGGAAAATGTCTTTTACGATATTCTAGAACGAAAAAGCGCCTTTCTAGGCTATAAAAACAACAAGTTCAAAAAGTCGAAAAATTGACATTTTTCCAAAGGGGTTAACCCATGGTTTTGGTCCAAAAACCGCCATTTTTCCAACTTTTTTTTTTAGACAATATAGGCCAGGAAATTGTCTTTTACGATATTCTAGAACAAAAAAACGCCTTTCTAGGCTATGAAAACAACAAGTTTAAAAAGTCGAAAAATTGACATTTTTCCAAAGAGGTTAACCCATGGTTTTGGTCCAAAAATGGCCATTTTTCCAAGTTTTTTTTTTAGGCAATATAGGCCAGGAAAATGTCTTTTACGATATTCTAGAACGAAAAAACGCCTTTCTAGGCTATAAAAACAACAAGTTCAAAAAGTCGAAAATAAAATAGGATGTTTCGTGATTCATTTATTTTATATAATTGCCTGAAAATCTTTTTGAAAGGAATTTACAAAACTGAATAAATTACTGATAATTATAGTAATAATGATATTATTAATTTGTTTATTATGCAGCCACACACAAAAGTTACCAGTGACTACTGTATATACATTATGAACCATTATTTCTTTACAAAGTGCGGTTGTTGATGACTTCCTGGCCAACATAAAACTTGAAAAAGTACAAATTTCATTTTATAAAATACAAAAAGAAAAAGGAATACGCAAAAACACTACTGAAAGGTTTTTCATTTGAAAAGTCTCAGCACACGATTTTGTCAAGTGAATAAAAAACCAATCTAACAACATAATCATCTCCATGCTTTTAAAGGACCAATATGACTATTGTTAGTGAAGAAAAAAAGGCTTAAAAAAATTAAAATAATAATTACAATTACAGCAATCATAATGTTTAACTCCTATTTACGCTGTGTTTTAAAAACATTTGAAGGGGAAGAGAAAGAGGCAATTAAGGTGTGCAGGAACATGATGTGCGCACATCTGAAGTGAAAGAAGGAGAACGTTAGAAATCGAGAACGTGATGGGCATCGCTCATATGCCTATTATGCACTTGTGGGCCTCAATTCCCCCTTTGTCTTCCGCTTTTTAAATTTATATGAGTTATTTGTTCATTGTTTTGCAGTCCATGCTTCTGGTCCATGAGACTCCTTTATTATCCACACTTTGTCAATCACTTCTCCTTCCTAATTTACAACAAAGCAGGAGTAAATTCAGTCAAACAACTTCTCCCCACTACTTATACAGCTAAAGGAGTTGGAAAGGGGCAACAAATGAGAATCTGAACTTTGATTTGAGAGTTTTAAAGGGTTAAAAATGTGTGGATCACAACCTCTCCATTTCTAGAGGCAACAGAAGTGAACCGAGAGAGAATGCGCGGGCCAGGACCAGTCCGCAAGAGGCAGAGGAAAGGAGCCTGCCCCTCTCACTTGCGTTTCCTTGTGCATGCCACTAGTGCGTAGCAGAAAGTTTTCTCACAGGCTACAAGAAATAAAGGTTTGATATCCAGCTTGCATACCTTATCCACACTAACTTGGTCCATGAACAAGTGCGTCTCATTGAAGATGGTCATTCGTGTGTAACCATAATCTTCTGATCGATATGCTGTCCATGGAGGGTAGTCCTTCTCAAATGGATCATGATCTTCTTGACATCCCTGAAAAAACAAATCGGGTCAGATCAGTCATAATGAGAGACTAGTCATTGTCATGTACTGTAATGGAAAACCAGTACCAGAACCAGACCTTGAGATAAGAGAGGGGGGGGGCAGGCCCCTCCCTGGGATCTGCCAGTGAAAACCATTGTGAATAAAACAATATTACATTTTATGAGATTACCTTAAAAAGAATGGCAGTATTGATATGCCAATTATCTAGAAGTGTTATTGAAAAAACCTTTTTTGAAACACGATGTTCTCTTATACTTATATAAACATACCGCTGATCCAGTGGTGATATGAACAGGGGCGCAGGGGTTGGTGTATGGTTCTTCCTTTGACCCATTGCAAACCTTCAACAAAACACAATACCGGTAAAAATCACACCATTTAATTCATAAAGATTGTACGTGGACAAAAGTAACAATTTAGCAAAATGAGAGTAACTGATTTCCTTGAAAGGCTGTTATATTTCACAATTTAACTGACATTAAATGACAAATTTTGCCTGTCTTAAAAAGAACATTAATTTTTACATGATACATCATCATCATCGGCACAATGATAATCATCATCATCATCATCATCACCATCCTCATTAACATCATCACCATTGCCATGGTCATTGTCATCATTATCATGACAATCGTCATTGTCATTGTTACTGTAGTCATCATCATCACCATCATTTGACTGCCGAAACGATGCTTCACTATTGGATACTGCCCCACATTACATGCCTGAGCTCCACTGACATCATATTTGATTCCCAGAGGCTAAATATATTGGTAGACCACACACACCAGTACTCAGCAGTAACCTTGACAGTAGATTGCACAAGAAGCAAATTCGGGAGAAAAGCATTATCATCCTTGATTTAAAGTCAAACCAGGTCAAGCGTACCCCCCAAGAATCCATTAATGAATTTATCATTCAAAAGTTGAATCCGTTGCTAGTTGTAGATTTCAGATTGATCTCTGCATTCTTGTATGTGTAATGAGCCGTGAATTCACACGCGAGGCAGTTATGAAATTTCTACCAGCTCCATTTTCCTGAAATTGATGTAAATGTCTTCTAAGAAGCTTAATCCATTTAAAGATTTCCATTCTGACCAAATACAGAGAAGTTCTCGTAAAATATTCACTGCTCATTACGCATGCAGAAATGCCGCTTTGAATTTGACACCAGTTACGGGAACGACTAACGGATTCATTTTTCAAATAATCAATTCACTGATAGAATCTTGGGGGTACGCTTGACTTGGTTTGACTGTAATATTATGTTCAATACAAAAAAATTATAACTTACTTGCCGATTGTAGATGGGGAACAGTCGTTCATACGAGTGTTCATGAGCCCAGAAAGATAGATCAACCCCTGACAAGGTAAAAAGTGATTATTGTATGATTGCATTAATCTGAATGAGGGAAAGTAAGGGAGACAAAATAGGGGAGAAGGGGCAGAAATACAATGGGTTTCCTGTTCCCATTATTCCCAGTCTTGTCCTTCACTAAGTGTTTCCTGACCTCTACTGCAAATTATGTCAGTTCTTTTGCCAATTCCAGTCTCTCTAAATTCTAATATCAGCCATCTCAGAAATTAAATTTTAAAAAAATCTGTATACTCTGACACCTAACTATGAACTTCACCTTACCATATTTGTAAAACAGGTCTTCCAAGGGAAACAGATGTTTAGAAGTGAGTCCACCACGTACCTGGTATACAAGATACAAAAGCAAAATGAAGTTTAAGGTTTCTCAGTATCAATTTGCCGTTGTAGGGTCTCTGTTAATTTTTTTAAACGAAACATTGATATTGTACTGACAATTTAGCCGATTCTTCTCTTCACTGATTCAAAACTAAGCAAGAAGTGGATGAGAGAAACTCGTTTATACAACTTACCACACTCTCGTGTTTGGTGCAGTCATCTCCATCACTGTTGGAACAGTACATTGGTCTGTGCCCCATAGTTATAATCCATGGATGTAACTTGCGGTTTTTGGGAGATGATGCTTCCTGTTTTAGTATAACAGAATATTAACCTTCATGCAAAAATGTCTCGAGAACTGCTTTACATGTTTATGATGTTACAATTCTTAGTCAACTGAAAAGATAAATGCAACGAGTTTACCAAACGATCATAAACACATTAGAAAGTGAAAGGAATGTAAAAATTTTTCTATGGCTTTTCCTATGTTTCACCACAGGATCTGTTTCAACAATCTGCTGCATCTTATCACAGGCGTAATCTGATAGACCATTTGTAGCTGGTCATTCAGGTACAAAAATGCCATGCTCGGGGATGCAAGTGACCCAAGAAACCCACTGGGGGAAAACAAACAAAGAAAACTACCACTTTACAAGACATGCCGGTAAGCTCAGCTTTGTTTGTCTTCCCCCTTTACAACATGACATTTTTGTACCAAGTGAACGATCAGCTGAAAGGGAGATTATTCAGGTATCTCAGGATGCAATGTGGATCAAGTCCATTTAAAAGATCAACCTTAAGTGGACTTGCATGCAAATGCTAATGTATCCAATTTCGATATTACAAAGGCCAAAAAAAGGTCAAAGGGTTGAGCCACAACAAAGAGACAAAGCAAATTAGTTATGTGTACCACTTGAAACAAAAGCGTAATTCATTTGCTTCAAGGATCGATAATTTGTTAAAAATACTGCTGAACTACGCTTTGGTGTCGATAAAAACCAAAAATAGGCTTCGTTCACCTACAACTACGGAAACGAAGAAGCAAACGAGTTCCAAAAATCCTTATAATTTCAGAGCGTTCCACTTCTCTCAACTAGAATTTAACATTGACAGAGCAATGTTTTTGTCGGCTGCATCATGGCATACTTGAATAATCCTCCTTTGATCAGATGCAAAGATCCTGTACAGGAAGCATGAGGAGAGAGGAGGCAGAGGGGACTGTAGTGCAATCAAACATTTCAAACCTGCAAATCTTTTTCAAGCCAGTCATACTGTTGACTAACTTGTTCAAGTCCATAATTCAAGAAAAAATAGACTTCGGTCGAAATGCTGATGATGTGTGCAGGACCAATGTTCCAACTGAAGGAAAGTGATCATTCAATATCATTAGGAATTAAAATTTACACTGATCACAGAATGCTATAAAGGTAGGTATGACGTTGCTAGAAAGTGGACTGAAACTTCGAAATGCTGGGTGAACATTTCTCAAATAAAACATGACTGTAAATGAAACTGTATACCACAAAAAATTCATTATAGGGTTTTTCCTTGGCTTAGAGAAAGAAATTATGTCTTAATAGCACGTTGATGAGGCCCAAGATTATTCATTTGAGAAAATCAATCTTAATTTTCAAACATTGGCACTGTTAAAAGTGTGGCAGCTTGTTCGTTGACTACAGAGTAGGTAAATAAAAATTAATGCATTAATGAACATTTTACCTGTAGAAGATACTTTCACTATTTCCTGGCATTGAAAATCTGCTTCTGTAGTTTGAAAAGTTACTAGCAGAAAAAGAAACAAAAAAAAACATACAAGTTAAGTAAGTTGTTGGTTCAGTCAATGAGCTAACCAAACATGTTCTATCAATGGCTAGAAAATGGCCTCATTCCTTTTCAGTGGCAAGAACATATTAAATTACACTGTAAGATTGGAAGAGCACGGAGAGGGTGTGCACTCTTGAAATAAATTCAGACTAAACTAAATATCGTCATTCAGCCTGCCCTTGGTCTAAAAACAAGGAAGTTGAGTCCTTTCCTTGATTTGATCAATAACATGATTTTATATATTTACAGAGAGAGACCTTAACTTCATCTGATGATTACAAGTACTATTACATCAGTTTCTTAATGTAATAATGTCATGGTTAGTATCAGATTTCTGATTCAATTTTCAGGAAACAAAATCTCCGTCTTACTAAGCCTGTTCGTGATTTCCAGGACAAGTCATGTAAGGCAAGTATGCTGCAATTGGTTGAATTTGGTTCATAAAATCATCTCCAACTTGTGCCTGATCCTGAATTAAAGAAAACAACAAAAAAATTCTCTAAACACCAGGAATTCACGCAACATTAGAAGATTAGTACTGGTAAATAAAAAAATCACAGCTAAAATTGTGGTGGATATTGGCTGTATTAACTAATATTGTCTATGTGAGGAAATAGAAGTAATCGAAAATCAAAATTCTTGGCAGACTGTCAAACCTTTTGAGTATGTAAAATCGGGATAAGTTTTAATCACTGAGGAATCACATGAGCGTTTATTGGTATCTTGATGGTCTGAAAAGCCATTTCCAGTGTTCTGAGGGGAAAATTCTGTCTTAAATGTTTGCTAAATTGCACAAATCAGATGCAATTTTTTTGTTTATTTTTATTTGCTTGTTTATGTGAACAAATACTTGATTTTAATTTTTATTTAGTGTGGTTTTTTTAAAGTGTTCTGGACATCAATTTAAGTATACTCTGTTAGGAGTTCATAACGAATATCATCAGATTTCATTTGAAAATATCAGAAAAGATGTCAAAATCAGGATTTTTGCTATCCTGATCACATATTGCTCAGGATTCAGGATTTTCAAGCAAAATCAGGAGAATCCTGAAGAAATTTGAACGGTCGGACAGTCTGTATTATTTTAGTACATCATTATGGTACTCACAGTGTCCATGTTGTAGGCAAAGTCACCTGAAAAGGAAACAAATAGAACTCATTATTTCTTGATTATTTAAAACTTAACCTAATTTCCTTTCCCCAACTAAACTCTGATCTCTTAGTAATTATTATAAAGTATACCGTTCACTGTGGCGATAATGGGACAAAGACAGTCAAAGAAGACTGCATCTAAAAAAAGAACTATGAAATAAACTAAATAGAAATTAAACTCACCAACATGAAGAATGCCATCAAAGTGTCCCATCTGAGTTTCCTCTTGTAAGTAGCTTAATGATTTAGCGTTAACACTGCCCAGATCTCCAAACACGGCCAATCTAGGGCTCCAATCCACACCAGACTTAAAGGTTTTGAATGAAAACACTGCACTCCAGCCATCCCATCCACCACAATGGTAATCTACATATAAAAATTACAGTAAATAAGTTAATAAAAGTGTGAACAATGAAAAAATAAATTAAGACTTAAAATGTACATATGATTTTAGTAGCGAGCACATTCACAAAGCGAGTTCTTTGTCTACCATATTCCTGACCTGATTGGAATTTAGAAATGACTTGGTGAGGGGAGGGAGAGCAAGGGATCCCCCTCTTAACCAAATTCCTACAATTCCGAGCAACCCTTCCTGGATGCTCCCTTCAACCTGCCAATAAAACATTGGATCTCTCCTGTCCCTTTTCTTGGCTTGGTCTTTATTCAGGGCCTCAACAAGTTAAGAAGAGTTTAAATAAATTTAGGTATTCCGGTACCCACCATAAACCTGGTCATAGGCCAGTCCTGTCAGTTTCACCCGGTGCATGTACAAGGCGCGATGCTGTGAGCCACCATCTGTGAACTTCGTGACGGCACCTGTAGCACGCAGTGTTAAGGGAAAACCACCTTTATTGTACTCCGCGATAGAATAGTTTGTCAACGTTAACGTGACCCATGTTACCATCATCTCTGTGGGGTCTCCTAAAGTAATAGTGACAAGAAGAGTTAATGAACGTCGTACAAGCATGTATCACGTCATGCAAAGAATGTATAGCCAGCAAGAGCCAACTATGTAATCATGTGCCATCAACAGGCAGAATAAGATCATCTGGGAGTATGTAGTCTGAATAAGAGTTGACGTTTCAGCAACCTGTTGCTAGACATCATCATTGTCAAGTGAATTGTGTATAGTCCAGTTTCAAATTATCACTGAATACAAACATTAATAACAAAATCATACAGGGTAGACTTGACATTAAGTTAAATATTCACGAATTCCAGCACATGTTTGAACTTTGAAAAATACACAATAGACAGAGTACTAAGCTGGTCTTCTTCTTGCTAGCCTGTTCCAAGCGTTCAGATAGTGGAGAGCGGTGTGGAGTAGAGAAAGCGATGAAAAGTAGAGGGGGACTGGGGAGAGAGGTGCGGGAACGCTTGTAAGAATTCTTAACAAAAGTGCGTTCCGGTATACCAGATCCTGGTATACCCTCTGATTGGTTGATTTTGACAGTTTTTGTCAACAGTGGAGCGTCTTCGATCACAGCGAGAAATGCGATATGGCCGTTATGACAGACTCTACGTGCCGTCACGCAGAATTCAAACTCGCAACAAACACAGCGCTGAGTGACTTTCCAAACGTGGAGGCTAAAAGCGAAAAGCAAAGAAACTGTTTAAAACACATAGTCGGTAGGATAGATGTCTTAGCAATTTCTCACCGACTGGCTTTGGAAAAATTCTTATTTTCCAGTTTTTTCCTCGAATAAAGCGTGCGTTGGAATGAAGGCAGGATAGAATGCCATTTACGATTGTTGTGGTAACTCCGTTGATTACCATCATGGACTAAGTGGAATATTTGAACAAGTCAGATCGGAGTAGCGGCGGCAATGATGGGAGAAGATATGGATGAAGCCGTTAAAAGTGGAAGCTGTGAAATAATGTTTACTGAAGTGCCAAATCGTGGTTGTCTAATGAATGGACAAAAGGACTTCAAAAAGAAAAGCTTGGAAAGCAAGTTGCCGCTATCGCTATTGACGAGGTCCACTCAATCACCGAATAGTAAATTTTCCCTTCAATTGTTGTGCATTTTCATTGCTTGAGTTAACGATCTGTATTGAAACGGCTTTCTGTCGAAATGAGCGATATTTGTTTGTCACTTGATTCATAATTTTTTGTCACGTACACGCTGAAATCATGTTTTTAAAGCCGTAAATAAATTCATTAGACATGAATACTTCTCCCGCCTTCTATTGTCTGAAAGTCTTACATTGGGTTTTTAGTAAGATTATGTATACATAATATTAATTTTTGATCTGACAAACTTCGATTTATTTGCAAGAAAAATAATAAATGAATCGGGCTGTAACACCAGTCTTGATTGACAAGTGAAGACCACCTACAGCTGATGCGGTCTGACTGGGCGGAAGAGTCTATTTAAAACAAATCTAACAGGCGTTCCCTCTCTCACCTCTCCTCCTCCCTCACTTTTACTTTTTTGCGCTCCCTTTTACTTTGCACCGCTCCGCACTATCTGAATGCCTGGAACAGGCTATCTTCTTGCTGGAATTGGTGAATATATTTACTTCAGATGGAGGTTAAGCCGGGAAAAAATGTCTTCACTTCTTTTATTCAGCCGTCAGAGAAAACTTGAAACTGGCATTATTGTCAAAACTGACAGTTTTAAACTCTGGGCCAGTTGTTCAAAGGCCGATTAGTGCTAAACAGGGGTTAAATTGTCATCCAGGTATCCTTTTCTTTTGCTCAAAACAAAGTTCTCGGGTAATTACGCGGCTGGGGTAAAAATTATCCATACTGTTATGCATAAGTGTTTTCCTTGTACACTCTTTTAAGAAACTAATTCGAAATCTACGTCTTAAATACAACCTTAAATATTTATGAACTGGACAGAAACAAACTAAGCATTTAAAGAAACTGAAAGACTAGGCACTCAATACCCAGCTCTCATATGAAATTTTTATACATGTTATGTAATGGTTTGAGTCACATAGTTTTGAGTCCCATAAAAGATACAAATCGGCCCAACTGAGTGGCATTTTGATTGACTAAAAACTATGTCTTCTGCCCAAACTTCCCACCTCACAGTTGACCTCAGCCCGTGGTCCCCGGCTGGGGTAGAAATTATCCACACCGTTATGCATAAGTGTTTTCCTTGTACATTCTTTTAAGGACCTAATTCGAAATCTACGTCTTAATACAACCTTAAATATTCATGAACTGGACAGAAACAAACTAAGCATTTCAAGAAACTGAAAGACTGGGCACTCAATACCCAACTCTTATATGAAATTTTTATACGCGTTATGTAATGTTTTGAGTCACATACTTTTGAGTAACATGAAAGATAAAACGATTAAAGGCAGCTTTTCACTTTTTTGTTTTCTAACCTGAATAAGGTCAATAAGCAGAAAAAAGAATGTGAGGTTCCTAGTTAGTATGCATTGAGAAACCAAATTACTGGCCGGCGGCAGGCATCATGTACTTGTCATGAACAGAGTCGTTAAAAACAGTCGACTTTCTTATTTGATCACCTTACCTGTACTTGCAAGATGGATCTGTTGCGGCTGAGGATCATCGCCATAAGAATTATGAAGAAATAAAAGTAAAACAAAGCACATGAATTGCCGCACGATTGAAGCCATCGCGCTCAGCAGTCGGAAAAGCTCTCCTTCGGCAAGCCGGAAGCAGTGTCAGAGTCACGTGAAATGCATCTGACAGATCATGCCATCTCGCGTCATGCAATCATCTCATTTTTGTGCAGAGGGTACGGCGAACCTTTCTATTCTTGTTCGTTCAACTGACTGTATTCTGGATTAACCAAAAAATATAAAATTTAAAATTATTGAACCGTGGGAAATTTTTGAATGACTGGGGCATTAATTCGAAGCTGATTAGCGAACTGGAGTGTCTTGTTTTGGGTTTGTGATTCTGTTTGGGTTTTCTGTTTCTATTTTTGGGGTTTCGTGTTTTTGTCTTGGGGCTTTGTGTTTTGGTTTTGTTCCCATCGGCCGTTGTATTACCTAATGACATCACTACACACAAACTTTCGGTGAAGATCAAAGCGCTTCTCCCCAAATCCGGGGACTTTAAAATGTCAGCAACTTCAGTCAAACGCGCGCGAAACGTGTTGACAGAGGCAAATAAACCTGACAATTACTCACCTCACGCACTGTCTGTTCATCAAATCATTATTCCGCAAGAAACGTACATGTGATTCTAGTTAAATTACAACCACGAGATTTGTTACAGTCAACAGGCACAAACGAGGAAAATCTCATTTTCTCTTAACGGTCACTAAACGTAAACAAAATTAACTCATAATTAAAGAGTCAATTTTGCTCAAAATTTTCAACATGGCCAACTCTTTTCACTCCCTCGTTAACAGATTTACAGGCTCACTGGTTGCCTTGTTTAGGAAAAAGCAAGTACGACACCATACTCAATCGTATCAGTACAAAGACAAATACAAAACACAGGGCTAAATTTATACAAATCGATTTATTTCTCTTCTTCAAACCAGTTGTTATAAAAGTACTATGATTTTCAAGCCTGCCAGTGTGCGCCATTATAGACGAAAGAGTGTTCCGTCTTGTTATAGTGAAAGCAATTCTAGAAAAATGAGATTGATGGTGTAAAAAAAAAATAATTTAACACAAGCAGCAATGTATAGCCTAAGCGTGCATAGAGATTGTCCATTCCTGGGCTATGTTGACCGCAGGTTTCTTAATGGTCATGGAGTTTGTGGAACTGTCATGTTTAAATTGAAGATGTCTTGTTTCACCACCTAGCACAAAACAGACAAGACACAGCGGTTAACGGTAAACATCACAGGTTTTGAAAGGTTTTAAAAGAGCTTTTATGAACCGAGTAACATATGTACTACCCTGCTAATAAGCCATTTCCGAGTTCCCCCGGGCCTCTGTTTCAAAACGAGGGTAGGTGCTCAGCCTTTGATACGGAAATCATTTTTCATTCTCATGCAAATAAAACTCATTTTCACAGGAAAGGTTGTGCACCTAGCCTCATTTTGAAGGTGAGGGTTTTTGGAACCAGGAAGTGTCCTATTCACGCGAGAGTGACACCCGAAAGGAGGCGTGTACCGCTTACATCTCCACTCGAAATTCACCATTGCTTCACAAAACTTTTGTGGAGTAAACAAGGTGCGTTATGGTCTATGTAAAAATGGTGAATGCGGGCTACAAACGGCCGTTTTGCGGTTGTGTGCTTAGTGCGCTGGCCTTTACATGGAATCGAAGCTTGAGGCAGAGCTGACCTTGTTTTCTGACAAACCTTCCTGCTTTTCGCGTGCAAATCGTGTAAAAAGATAAAAAAAACAAAAACAGAAAGGTTTGTAACAAAAAAAGGTCAACTGCAGCCTCGCTTTCATTCAGAGGCTAGGGCACTCAGCACACAACTATAAAATAGCCTATAACAACAGAAGCAAACAAAGGCAAGGGTATATGGGGCAATTATTTGCTAGTTTGGCTGATGGAATTGCAGCTCTTTCGGGAAAGTGAACCGGTTATGAGAGCGAGGCTGCCTCGTAGCCAGACGTCTCTCTCTAATTTTTCTCCTCCCGTGGTCCCTTGCGCTTCATCACCAGTCACTCGCGTGCCACTCGCGTTTCGCGCTCACCTCTACGAAAAACGAAGCGTCTAAGGAGGAGGCAGAGATCGAGGGCTATTATTAAACGGCTGTGATAGGAATCGCGCGCGGTATACGTATTTGAGAACTACTGCCGCATACCTTCAGTAGTAAGGATGATTACTTTGGGAGAATTGCTTATTCCCAGAATGACAATACGCTCAATCCAAGCATCAGTCTTGAAATGAGTGGCGGGCTTCTCTTTCCTACACACACACAAAAAAAAACGAGTAAAAAAATAATTAAAAAAAAAAACACCCAAAATTAAGTGCTTTTACAAAGCAAAGAGCTTAAGATGTGAGCTTGAGGGCCTATTTACCTGGAGGTGATGGACCCCAGGTAGGTGAGGTAACATGTGGTGGGTCACCCCACCTAACATGTAAATGCCATCAAATTAAAATGAGAGATTATATGGACAGGCGGGTTACCCCACCTAAGCGGGTTACCCCACCTACCTGGGGTCCCCCACCCCTGTGTAAACAGGCCCTAAGTCATTGGAAGAAGTGTTGACAAAGAACCTTAAATAAAGAAAAGAAAAAAAATAAACAAACATAACAACAGCAAAATGATATGGCTCGGCTCCTAGAACTGTGCAGGACTAGACCTAAGACTCCCGTTATCTAGGTACAGTTGAACTTCTTAGTCAAACACGACAACGACAAACGGAAAGTCGCAAGTCCACGGGGGTGAGAGGAGGACTGAGAACGACTGGTTCTTCTCTGAACTCCCGGATGTAAAGCCCTTAGAGGTTGTGCTCGTCACCAGTTTGAATGAGAAATAAAGAAAGAAGAAAGTTATAAAGCTACTAACAACAAATTCCACATAGATGCTAAAATCCCGGATTCTTCAGAAGGAGGCTGAGGAGGGATTGGTTTGGATACATTCCTAAAGGCGAAGCGAAAAACATCCTTGTCTTAAACGCCAGCTGTTAACTCACTTGGTATTACACAAAAACGAGTCGTCTATAACAACTGTACGAAAAGGTCGATCAACAATGAAAGTTTTAAATTGTAAACGCTCAAATATGTCCTAGAATGTGGTCTTATCAAGTGAGCCAATGAAAGTTTGTCACTGGAGAGAGATACTTAAGCTGGCAATGTGCGCGCAGTCGTTCGCCAGCGGTTTTCTGTTTCACTCCACTCTGTATTACGGCAAATTCCTTAAAAACTAAACCCTTTGTTTAATAGGAACGAATGACGAGATACTGGATACTGATCTGAAGAAGGTTAGAGATCTAGAAAGTTGTATGAGTCTGTTTTGATTCTGTCGTCTTCTAGGCGCCGACTGTAACTAAGAAGTAAGTAAACGACAAAAGTAAAAAAATGATCTTACTTTGCGATCAGTCGTCCGCCACGGAATGTGAACTTCATGTACACGTACGCGCCGTTCTTGTAATCAAATGTGTGACCATCGTCAACATAGATGTTTCCCTCGGCTTCAGCCTGGAAGGAAAGACATCTTTATTAAAGGAAAAGATCAATAATTTTAAACTAATCTTATGATAAACCCCGAGTGTCATGGGCATACTTGACGCCGCGGTAACGAATGGCTATGCTGGTTTTTGTAGTTGGTTTCTTTCCATTTCCGGCTGGAGTGGCAGAAAGGGATAAAAACGGGAATTGGACTTTCTGAGGTTTCACATTTTCCTGGGTAAGTTCTGTGAATATTCGGGGGATGAAATTCGACCCAGGTTCTTACGCAATCTCAAAATAACCAATAGAAGAACCCATAGTGTCGCACAAAGCATTCCTGTAGTCAGGTCCAGTCTCACGCGCCAAAGAGGCTGCGTCCCACAAAAAAGTCCCAGAGTGCTACTTGAAGAGACGGCACTCTCGCCGCCTTTCCAGGACTCGCTATAACGCTGAGTGGTCTACAGTGGACCCTCGTTATAACGAACCTTTACATAACGAAGTCCTCGGTATAACGAATGATATCTTTCGCCTCAGAAATACTACAATGCATGGAAAAATCCTCGATATAACGAAACCAGTTTTAAGCAAGCATATTTGGACAGTCTCTTAAGCCTTCGTTATATCGAGGTTCCATTGTTGAACATAGTTCCGAAGAAAATAGTCTTGCGCAGAAGTCGGTATTGGTGGTCAAGCCAACACGAATGTAACCTGAACTTCGCAGCATAATACAATGAGCCTTTTATCTTACTTTAGAGTTCAAAGCCAGGGTGAGCGTGTAAGGATCCTTATGCATCAGAGCACTGCACCGACGGACACGTTGCTTTGTTGGAATGATGCTTCCACCACGCTGGAACAATGGAATCTGAAACAACACAAGAGGTTTCAGTACCCGTTCTCCTTCCTAATCCGGAATCCTGGGCTTTGGAATCCGGTCCTCGGTTCCTGAAAGGCCGATTAGCGCTAGTCCAGAATTAAACATTTTGTTCCACTTTTTGTAATTTACCTTCCTATGCATTGCTTAGATTGACATTCTCTGTAATCATCACTGGATCTCGGAGGAAAGACACAACAGTATTTTGTAAGCTCAAGTGACATGTTCTTGGAATACAGAATCCACGGCGTGAAATCTAGAATCCAAGACTGTCTTGCATTCCCTCGCACGGGGAGAAACAAAGGGACAGAGAATCAAGTACATTTTCACTGGCAGTTTTACTTCATCAGCAAAGGTCAGCCGCGTCATGAGCCACGTTTCCATGTTCTCTTTTTTGGACAAAACCTTCGTGACTTATTTTCAACCTCCTGGACAATCATGGCGCATCAAACCCTGGCTCTTCGGCCGCCTAGAAACTGTGCAAACTATAACAAACTGAGATGTTGCAAAGGAACGCTTGCTACTGAGTTTCATCCTCTCAAAAGGGTACAAGGTCAAGTTTTTGAAAAGTTTTGCTAAAAACAGGATGTATCTGATGAGGAGCTGGAGAAACACTTTAGACTGGAAATTGTCCGACCAAAAAATTCGGCGGCGTCTTCTCTAAACAGCCCTTCTCGGACGTAAGTTGAAACAAATTTTCTGTAAATCGTTAACTAAAAGTGAAATGCCCAAGGGTAAAACAGCTCCATTTCGAACATGTGGCCTTACCGTCTCTATTGAGGTAGGGACGTAAATTGTGTTTTGACCTCGGTATATTTTGTACTCCTTCAAGTCGTACCAATACTGAAATGAAAAGAATAGAGGATTTAGGTTGAAAAACAGAACGCTTGTAAGCTAAAAGTTCTTAATAGCCACAGAAAGGATACAAGGCTGTAATAAGCTAAGCAGCCTAGCCTTTGAGTGGAAAAGCGGCTGGCAATGACTTTGTTTTGACGGAAAAGTCATTGCCATTTATATGCATAAGAACATGATTCACACTTCAAAAGAAAGATTTCTGTCAAAACAAGGTCACACCCAGCCTCGTTTCCAGTCAAGGCCGGGACACTTAGAACACAAATTGAGTGACGTAACACCAAACCAGGAACCAGGAAAGGTAACTACTCTGCTGACCAATCACAATACACGAAGACAACCTCACAAAACAATAAGAACTCGAATTAAATACTTGTCCAGTGAAGGGAAGGCGGCGGGGATCGGGGGACGTTACCCGTGAGTGAGTTAGTCTGAATAACTTATGTTTTTTACAGCTGATTGAATGAGAAAGTTGACATGGAGATTACACTTACATCTGGAAATACGGGTTAGGTAGGTTAGGGTTAGGCTTGCTTACCTCGTCTTTTCCTGGAAGATAAACATCAATGGAATTCTGACCTTGAGTGGTCACGGGTTTCACGAGAAGATCCTTACCTAAACAGAAAAACAGCTTAAATAAATAACAGTTGATTTGATTTCTTAGAGCCGGGAAGGGTCTTTTGGGTCTTTAAACGGTCTGTACTCCTCTAAAATAACTCACCACCCCGACATTTTCTATAGGGTGCCCGTCTGTCCGTGATCGCAATAACTCACAGCACAAATCCGCACAGGCGGGGTTCATGAAAAACTACCTTGGTGGACAGGTTCATGTCTTTTGCAAAACTTCAGATTTCCTCATCAAAAGTGGCAGAACAATGCACCAAATTTTTCTGACGGATGACCCTGATGATGTATTTTTAAAAAAAATAAGAAACCGACATACCAAGCAAGAACTCATCTTCCATCGCAAACGTGTTCTTCTCTTCTGGATACTCCACCCAGAGAGGCCTAGAGTGAAAATAGAAATCAACTGTTGGTTAAAAATGCCTAACGAACCAAACTGGCAGGGAGAGCCATACTTTACGTTTCTGTTGAGCCCATCACCAATAGATGGGTGTGGGGAAGGTGCTTGAGTAAACTGAAAGAGCCGCAGGCGAACGTGAAGGTAACCATGACAACCCTGTGAAGACCCACCCAGAGAGGAAGGGGGGAGGGGGGGGGGGGCTGGGAGCAAAAAGGCTTTGACACAAGAACAAGTAAAGACAACGCGTGCGAAATGTCTTCACCTGCAAAGGAGTGCTGTAAAAATACTGGGCCCTGAAAAAGCCCTTAGCCCGCCCCACATACGATTGGTAACGGAGACCGCTGCCCAGCATTGTTTTGTGTTTAACCTCGCCTAGCTTACGTTCAGCCACATTTTAAAGCCCCTATCCAAGGGCCTTTCCTTCAACTCAGCTTTTTTTCTGAGGTAATCTAAAGGAGGGTGTAAACTCTGTTTAGATCTTCGTCAATCCACTTTACTATGAGCGCGAAACATAATAAAGGAAGCCAGTAAACCTAAATGAAACCCGTTTAAACTTTTAACGAAAAGGGTTTTTAATGTGAATAGCAAAAAACCTTGAATAAAGGCCTAATATTGGTAGTTCCCTGTATGTATTCAGCCAAGCAATTAAGTCGTTAATTTTAAACTACTGCAGCCCAGTTAACCCGAACTCAAAACCATCTTGCAAGGTTGTCAAAAAGATTTTAGGTAGCAGGAAAATAACAGAAAGTAGCAGGCATGTGTTTCCCAGGTGGGAAAACACATATCACTAGGGATATGTGTTTCCCAGGTACGGGAACATATATTACTAGGGATATGTGTTTCCAGGTAGGGAAATGAATTTCACTAGGGATATGTGTTTCCCAGGTGGGGGAACAGATATCACCAGGGATATGTGTTTCCCAGGTGGGGGAACACATATCACTAGGGATATGTGTTTCCCAGGCGGAGGAACACATTTCACTAAGGATATGTGTTTCCCAGGTGGGGGAACACATATCACTAGGGATATGTGTTTCCCAGGTGGGGGAACACATTTCACTAGGGATATGTGTTTCCCAGGTGGGGGCACACATATCACTAGGGATATGTGTTTTTCAGGTGGGGGAACACGTATCACTAGGGATATGTGTTTCCCAGGCGGGGGAACACATATCACTAGGGATATGTTTCCCAGGTGGAGGAACACATCTCACTAGGGATATATGTTTGCCAGGTGGGGGAACACATTTCACTAGGGACATGTGTTTCCCAGGTAGAGGAACACATATCACTAGGGATATCTGTTTCCCAGGTAGAGGAACATATATCACTAGGGATATGTGTTTCCAGGTAGGGAAATGAATTTCACTAGGGATATGTGTTTCCCAGGTGGGGGAACAGATATCACCAGGGATATGTGTTTCCCAGGTGGGGGAACAGATATCACTAGGGATATGTGTTTCCCAGGTGGGGGAACACATTTCATTAGGGATATGTGTTTCCAAGGTGGGGGAACACATTTCATTAGGGATATGTGTTTCCAAGGTGGGGGAACACATATCACCATGGATATGTGTTTCCCAGGTGGGGGAACACATATCACTAGGGATATGTGTTTCCCAGGCGGAGGAACACATTTCACTAAGGATATGTGTTTCCCAGGTGGGGGAACACATATCACTAGGGATGTGTGTTTCCCAGGTGGGGGAACACATTTCACTAGGGGTATGTGTTTCCCAGGTGGGGGCACACATATCACTAGGGATATGTTTCCCAGGTGGAGGAACACATCTCACTAGGGATATATGTTTGCCAGGTGGGGAACACATTTCACTAGGGACATGTGTTTCCCAGGTAGGGGAACACATATCACTAGGGATATGTGTTTCCAAGGTGAGGGAACACATATCACTAGGGATACGTGTTTTACAGGTGGGGGAACAAATATCACGAGGGATATGTGTTTCCCAGGCGGGGGAACACATATCACTAGGGATATGTTTCCCAGGTGGAGGAACACATCTCACTAGGGATATATGTTTGCCAGGTGGGGGAACACATTTCACTAGGGACATGTGTTTCCCAGGTAGGGGAACACATATCACTAGGGATATGTGTTTCCAAGGTGAGGGAACACATATCACTAGGGATACGTGTTTTACAGGTGGGGGAACATATATCACTAGGGATACGTGTTTCCCAGGTGGGGGAAGACATATGACTAGGGATATGTGTTTCGAGGGTAGGGGAACACTTATCACTGGGGATATGTGTTTCCCTGGTAGGGAAGGTGCCTCACAAAAAAGAACGTGGAGATTATGATTAAAACAATTTCTTTTCCTTTTTTTATAGGCGGTTTTTATGTTACGTCATCGCCGCAATGCTGGTGGATGGTAAACAAAAGATCGCTCATTAGCTCGCTTTGTTTGTCCACCAGCATTTGTTCATTTCACCATTGTTATTTGTGTCTCCCGAGATTGCATGAAAACCACCTATTTGACAACATTTTTAACTGTCCATTTTTTCGCTTCTTTTTAATAATTTACAGGTGGCAAAAAGTTGGAAAGCTTAAAGTAGCCGGTGATAGCGCCGGCGCATTTTGACAACCCTGGTCTTGTATAACAAATGACGAAATTTTGTACGTGTCTGAGCGAGATCGATTGCATAGCTATTCAGCTAATTACTCCTTACCAGTAATTTTACACGCTAGGATTTACGAAGGAGAGCTTAGTTACCTGACGAGTGGTGCTCCTGTGTCAGAGGCATGATAAAACAGGGTATACCAATAAGGGAGCATTGTGTATCTCATACGGATTGCATCTCTTATATTCTTCTTATGGTGATCTTCATACAGCCACGGCTCACGACGCTTTGTGTCCAAGTGCGCATGTGCACGGAAGAATGGCATGAAGGCAGCGGCCTGAAACAAATCACAGAAATTATCCAGGTCTCAGATTGAAAATCATATTCCTGCCACTACATGTCATAACATTTACTAAAGATAGTGAAGAACAATTTTCTCACCTGGTACCATCGGACTAACAACTCTGGATCAGGGTTGTTAAAGAAGCCGCCTACATCAGCTAAAATCATAATACATTAGGTGAGTCATTCATTAATATGATAGAATAAAGAGAATCTGTGTTATGCAAACATAGTTCACTTAATAAGGAGGCACAGTGTTACACACAGCTACCACAAGTATTTCATTTCTTTTCCGATTAAACTTTACCAACATATTACAAAGTTAATCTTAATTAATCTGCCTGTTCGAAGCGTTGATTTTCTCCAAATGCGTCATGCCAGAGAGCTTAAGTAAAAACAGATACAGTGTACTGTTGTTGTTGAAAAAATAAAACTTCAGAGTTTTCCTGTCTACAGATATATTTTACGCATCTTAGTGGCGTTACATTTTAGAATTTTTTATGGTAATACTTAAACTTTAGTGAAATAAAACACACACACACTCAAGTACATGTACTGTGCCAACATGTACTTTTAACAGTGACTGTGGTCGCGGATCAATGATAAAATTCACTGGTCTTCAACATTATTTTAATAGAAAAAAGAGACTAACCTCCCGAGAATGGCAAGCCAACAAGGTTCAATGTAACCACTTTTAACAGTGCCCATGGTCCCAGATCAATGATAAAATTCACTGGTCTTCAACATTGTTTTAATAGAAAAAAGAGACTAACCTCCCGAGAATGGCAAGCCAACAAGGTTCAATGTAACCACTTTTAACAGTGCCCATGGTCCCGGATCAATGATAAAATTCACTGGTCTTCAACATTGTTTTAATAGAAAAAAGAGACTAACCTCCTGAGAATGGCAAGCCAACAAGGTTCAATGTAACCACTTTTAACAGTGCCCATGGTCCCGGATCAATGATAAAATTCACTGGTCTTCAACATTGTTTTAATAGAAAAAGGAGACTAACCTCCCGAGAATGGCAAGCCAACAAGGTTCAATGTAACTACTTTTAACAGTGCCCACGGTCCCGGATCAATGATAAAATTCACTGGTCTTCAACATTGTTTTAATAGAAAGAAGAGACTAACCTCCTGAGAATGGCAAGCCAACAAGGTTCAATGTAAGCACCATGGGAAGCGACGCTTTGAGATGATCCCAGTTTGCTATGTTGTCACCTGTCCAAATGGGACCTGGAACCGAGATACTCAGTTGGAACAAGCTCAATCGGTATTCAATGGATTCAATGCGCAACGGCAACACAGGCCTCCTATCTATTAAAATCACTCACCACTAATCAAAATTACAACAAAATGTGCATTTAAGCAGGGACATTTTTGAGCGACGCATGTCAACCAGAAGTGAGCCTTTTTCTCTTTTAATGTGTCTTGACACTACCAAATTTGTATTGCAAGTGTTTTTACTCTTTCAGAGAAGATTTGCCCAAATAAATGTTTGAAATCACCGCTCAAGAGAGCAAAATTCTGATTCTGGTGTACGTGCGTCACTCAAAAACGATGCTGCCTAAACTCTTATTTGCATAGGCTGCATACCTCCCAGCGCTCCTTACCCCCCCCCCACCGAAAAAAATCAAACACTAAAATTCCAGCTTCCAAAACTATTTTAACGATCGTCAACTGACAAAACAATCCATTGGTGATAAAGGTGCGTTCAGTAAGAAGATTCAACACAATAGCGAGTTATTATTTCGAAACTTTGGTTGTGAGAATGGGTTGTAAAGGGAGACTTACCGTGTCTTTGAGTGCCAGCGAAAAATGCCCTTGATAACACAAACGGCCTCTCCCTACCCCCTGAGCGGTCAATCTGTCCCTGATTTGTAGCCATGTGTTGATAGAAGCCATAAATGTTGTGTACATCACGATGTTCCCAGTCTCCATGATGCAGCGCATCCTTGTGCATTGTTATTTCTGGGCCATGAAACACAGATGGCTAAAGTGGAAAAGAAAGCAAACAATTTCAGCCAGACACTAGGTCATTTATCCGTCATCTTTATGCACATGGTAGGCACGTTTCGGGCGGTAACCATGGCCAGGTCGGCTCTTGTGGAAAAAATGCCAGCATCTTATATCTTGTAGGTCACTTGGAGCAAAGGTTTTAAAAAGTTACCTTACGATAAACCGTTTCTATCATTGCGTAGTCCTTGCTTAAACTGCCTGGCTATCATACAGAGATTCAAAGGCTGACATATCTAACATGCTTTACAGTAAAAAAAACAGGCTAAAATTAATGAAAACTAAGATCCGAGACAATTTACGTGGGTAGTGCGTGAGGTGATAATATTATGACCATAAATTAAAATAAACAAATTTCACTCTCGTAATTTGTAAAGCAAGAGAACACTTACACAAATGACTCACCTCATTCATGTCATTCCAGGTAAAGAGAGTTTCGGTTGAACCCTGAAAAAAAAAGAAGTGATCACTTACAGTATCAATGGTATTAAAAGGGTTTTGACATAAGAGGCAGAGTATGGAATCTAAATCGAAGCTCCTAAGCGGTACGTTCCAGCGTTCCTGTGTGATTACTAATTAACAGGCAAAATCTCTGTTTGGCAAAAAAATTTTTTTTTTTGTTCAAAATTGGTTTAGCATTCCTAAGATTGTCCTACTGGACAAAATAATCTGAGAGGTGCTATAAATGGAAGTCTGTAATTTCAGTCGTTCAAAATGAAATACACTTTTTCCGCTTTCCCACCATCGACTGACCACACACAACGCTCGAAGTCGAGCTCCCTTTCTTCCCCTGACCCTTGCTTGCGTATCGCCTTCCACGTACCACTCAGGCGTGACATATTGCGGCTATCTCAAATTGACAGAGCTTGCATGCAGGCTAAGGTTTAGGTGGGGAATTTCACACAAATCACTGTGTTTTTTTGACGCAAGCCTCGCGTTAATGGTGTCTATTTTTCACTAGAGAGGGTGTGGGGGAGGTTATTCTGCCATTGAAGAGAAACTTTCAAATTACCTGATACTCGCTCAAGGCAAACTTGCTAGCCCACCACTTGCGAATTTCAGGATTGGTAAAATCGATCCAGGATGAACTTCCTATAAAAACATGGGGAATATAGATTGAGCAAAAAGGTAATCCACTCACGCATTTTAATGTATTGAGCTGTCACCCAGATAGGGTTTTTCTGAGTTGCCCTCTGCCTGTTTTGCATGTAAATCAAGGGTACGAAAATAATATATTTTTCTTTGTAATAAAAGAAAACAAATTAGAGATCACTAATCAGTTATGGTCACAGACAAACGTGCTTGGTTGACTATTGTGATATCTCTGTAGTGAACCATAAAGACAAGAAAACTGACTTGCTGGAACCATGTAAGAGATGACTACAACTGGTTGAAACTATAGATGCCAGAATATTATCAGACGTTTTTTTTAAATGTCTGCTTAGCAATGTGTGATCACTCAGTTCAGGTCTATATCATACATGGTTTGACTGTACTCTGTTTTCCTTGGTGAATTGATTATTATTATCATTCAAAAGGAGTAAAATTCAGTTTACCTGGCCAGCACCAGTTGTCATATTCTCCACCATCTTTGTTCTTTATGTAATAACCAAGCCTTGAAGCCTCCTGCAGCATTGAAAACCAGGTTACTAAACTACTGTGATACTGAACACTTTTACTGTGCCTTTGTTTCGAACACTGGTCTAAAATGGGACCGGTAAAGTGTAAACACCGTCTGTTATGGTGCTACTTTTGGGCATTTTGTGCATTCTTGATGTTAAAAAGAAACAGTATTCTACCTTCTGCTCAGGCGCTTTGTTTTTCGCACCAAGACAAGTGTGAAACGTGAGTGATGGATTGAATTTTTTGTTTTTTAGTATGTTATGTTTGTATATATATCTGTTTTTACATTAATATTGTTTCATCCATTTAAGTCTCTTTATCTAAAAAAGGACATTTGGATCAGTGAGTTAAGTTGTTAAACTTGCCTCATGAATGTGATATCCTCCTTCACGCTTGATGTGAGGATCAATAATGGTAACCATCTATAACCCAAAACAGTGACAAAGAAATACATCAGAACATCAATTACATCAAAAATGGATGGTTTTTTGGTATAAAGCTGGAATTTTTTCTCAGGAGAGCACACTCTCACTGTTACCAAGGTAACATTCATGAAACAATGAAAAAGTGTCCCGCCTGCTGTGGCCTGCTCTTGGTAGCCCTATCAGGTCCTTTCACAGACAACAATGGCAGTTTCCCTACCCTTTCCTATCCTTCAACTAGCCAAACCCTTAACCTTTCATATACCTGAAACCAAAGAAAAGCACCCCTTTTGTGCGGAGCCTCCCCGTATAGGCCACCATATAGAGAACCCCCACCAGCACCGCTACTTTGATTTCACGATGGATGTTAAAATTTCTCTGTTGGGCAAATCAATTCAATAAAAATCTATTAACGAGTGGTCTCTCAGGAGACCTGAGCAGTTAATTTGTTTCCCACAAAAAAAATGAGACTATCGAGGAGAAAATAGCTGCTTTCCAAAGGGACCACTCATTAAATGCTAAAAGTTCAACCTTCCCTTGATTATGTGTCCCACTAATTAAGTGCTCGGTAACACTGTCAAAGAAGGCTGTGCACTCCACAGATATGGGTGGGGTGTGTCCCAAGGAGCTTATTTACCTGCCTGGAATTTGAGAGGGTGGGGGAAGGGATTGAAGGGTAGGTATCAACATAGCAACAATTGTAACAAAACCTAACCTTACGACCCTTTGCAGCAAGATTTTTCTGCATTTGGTCTGGAGTGGGAAATTTAAGCTTGTCCCAAGTCATGTATTTCTTGCCATCGGTATGTTCAATGTCCAGCCACAGCACGTCATATGGAATATCATGTTCATCAAAACCTTTGTCTACACTGCAATACAATAATAATACAAATTAAGCTGTGAAAGGTGTGAACCCAGGAGTCGTTTCATGAGTAGGTGGAGCATGATCATCCACCTGATAGTAGTCCTGAATAGGACTGTTGTTGACAAGACTACAATCACCTGGACAATCGTGCTCCACCTACTTACAAATTAAGCTGTTATTTTATTGTTTTTAATAGAGGTCTGATGCTTCTTTGACGCTGGGTTTGTATGTAATACAATAAAATGTTTGTGCCACTTTCTCAGCCAGTCAAGAGCCCACACACTTTTTCCTGTGATCAGCACCCTGGGTGCCAACAACCACAACAATAACAAAAATTTTATTGTACCAATAGTAAAAACAGAATTAGAATAAGATTATAACAAGCTAGATAATAAGTCTAAAATCAGCTTCGTGCATTTGTTTTAAACTCTGGCTGGTCTATAATATCATCGAAAAACCATACCCAGTGTAAGTATTAGAGATTCAAAGGTTTTAAACTCCTGGTCTATAATCAAAGACCTTTAAAATCATTACTTAAAGAACTCAATCATGACTTGCTTAAGATCTAAGGATTGCTGGTCGGTCAATGTATAGTAATTGAATGGTCTTCTACCTCTCTGTGGAAAGGGTATCCTCAAGCAGATGGCCTATAAAATTGCATAGAACTTGCTTCTACAGTGTATTATTAATTTTCCAACATAAAGTTAGGTCTCAAACTTACTTCTTGACATCATCTTCATCATTGTAATTCCATCTGCTTTGATGATAAGCAATTCCAAATATCTGTAGGAAAAAAATTAAAAAAGAATGGACGAGGAAAATTTGGGTTTTATTGAATTGACTTGTATCTTAAAGACCTCTGACCAAAAGAGAAGAGGAAATACAGCTTGGAGGGCATTTAAAAAAACAGGAAGAGGGACAAGAGCGAGAGCAGGGTATGCATGAGAGGGAGGGAATACTACAGCAACTAGTCCTTCAAGATGACACACATCCAACGCTCTCTTTCCCCTTTCAATTATCTTTCACATGGGCCACAGGCAAAGTTATTCTGAAAACAAAGTAGATGATAGCCGCCTAAGAAGCCTGTCTTAGTCCTGTCATGCAATGTTCCTTCTTAAACGACGGGTGTTGCATGACAAGTCAAAAAATGTACACGTGGTAGACTAAGCAGATGACAGCCTGGCAAAACTTACTGGTGGCAGCCCCGTGGTGCCAGTAAATGAAGCATATTCCTGGAACACGTCATGTGGTTTTGGACCTAACATGACAAACACATCAATGATGCCACTCTCTGACATCCAGTGAGTCTCAACTTGAGGCACCTCTTCATTTTCCTTGAAAAAGGACATCAGTGAGTTAAACATGGACTGAAAAACAAAAGCAGAGCAAAACACAACAGGACTAAGGTACCGGACCAGTTCAGTGTGACAACTGACTGTCCAGAGGGTAATGTCCAAATGCTCCATAAACAGATAAATCTTTGTTCAACATGTTGCCAAAAGATGTCTATAATCACAGGGTTTATACCACTGAGAGAGGATGAAACTCCAGGAGTTTTCCAGGGTAAAAATATTTAATTCAAAGACCCAGCACTTCAATATGTTATCGGTACAGTGTGACAACAAAACATCACTTGGCTTAAGTTCATGAAACAGCTGCTTTACACTCGATCAGTTTTGGAGGAATTTCAAGACTGGTGCAAGTTAAACACTGATTTCCTAATACTTGATCAAGCATTGCACATGATCATAATTTGATAGTTTCAGAACTACTCCATTGTGTAACTTAAAGCCACAAGAGTAAGAAGCATTTGGTTCCTCTATTATAGTTTACTTTCATTTTATTCTTCAAGCAGTCAATTGCAAAACTGATCAGTTTAGTTTTCCTGGTGGTAAATGCTGTTATAACAGTTTACAACAAGTACTTCAGCGTTATTTTTCAATTCTTTAGCACCAGTTAAAAAGAAACTTATCACTTACTGAATTGATGACAAGTTATAATAAGTTTTATATAAGTTTTATAGAGCATTTGTCATTACCCTCTTAACTGAAATTCAAATTAACTTGTAAAGTGATAACAGTACTTTCTAACTATGAACAGAAATAAATCGTTAAGGGTTCAGTTGTTTCCTCTGTCTTTTAGTATAAGAAAAACTATTTCAAAGACAAGAATTAATATTGCAATATATGCCACAGAACAAGCAAGATTTAATTACCTTCACTGGTTTCAAATTACCTCACGATTAAACTTATGGAAACTAATAAAATAAGATCATTTCAATATTATAGATTAATTATTTATTACTTTACTTATCTATTATATTATTTTTATAAGAAGAGGAAAAGTTTAACAAAGAAAAGGAAAACTTATATCTGAAGGCTTAACATTATACGCAATAAATTATTCAATATTCACACATTATCAAGTCATGAACTTCATAAAAATCACAATATCCAGTATAGAAATCTAATAATTCAGTACTTAGTTAATTTAATAGTTAAGAATTCAATCAATGTGTTTGGATAGACCTCATAAGCAAGGGTACTTCTTCAAATGTCTAATTACTAATTTACAATTTTTTAATAATAAAATACTGAAGATATAAGGCACAAAAAACAATATTATTATTAGATGATTTTGAGGTTACCTTCCTTGCATTTGACGAACTGATGTCCACCCAGGTTTCAGCTGCATTCATCCAGAAAACACCCACAGTTCTGGCAGCACTGTAAACAAACAACCAAGAAAAAACTGATGAGCAAACGTAAAATATTAAATGCACATCCTTAAAATACTGGTATAATGGGTAACAACAATAATTAATATTCAAGAACTACAGCTGTATGTAATTTTATTTTTGCTTTCACTCTAGGCTCACCATTGATATTCTGAAATTAAAGACCCTCCTAATCTAGAATCTAATGCTCTAAAGGGATCTGGTAACCCACACAACTTCAGAGCTGACCCCACTAATTATAGAGGCCTTATTACAATGTGGGTGGGAGGGGGGTGTACACATGTCCGTTATCTGAATTTCAAAAGCAGTTGTTTCATGTATTGAAGAGAAGGCCATGTCGCTATTAGTATTTTACTGTTGTATTTGCGGTTTTACTCATTGCTATTGCTGTTTTAACCTATACATCTTCATGTTGTTTGTTGCCATTTTATCTATCTTATGTCGCTATCTCAAGCCCATATTACTTGTCGGAATTTTACCCTTATGAGGCCTCATTACAGTTGCACTAATGACCAGCTGTCTTTAGGCCCATGCCAAGGAAATAACATAAAGATTATAATAAAGTTAATGCTTTTTCTTGCTGATTTTCACTAACCTATGTGCAATCATGACAGGAATGCTTCCATAAAGAGCCATTCTTGAGTCCAGCTCATACTCAAACACATCCAAGTTATACAAGCGGTATGGCTCTGAACCACTGAAGAAATGAAAATTAATTCAAAACCACAAAATATACACCTGTATTTGGCAGAATAAGAGGACACCTCCTTCCCTTAAATTTCTGGTGGCCTCCTTACCATTCTCTTTTAAACCTAACCTGTGTCAATCTTTCTCATTGTAAATTCATCTACTCTGTAGTAATATTACACAATTTGTATTCTACCTATAAATGTTAATCCATCCTTTTGGCAAAAAGTAAATGAAGAAGTAACTAAATTAATTGGTGACTTGGTTAATTTATCGACTTAATTGAGTCAAAGAGATCTACAAACTCTGTAGATGGGCATAACAAATGCTGGACCATTGAGAGCTTAACACCCACCACTATGCCCCCGTTACCCACATTTATTTAATACACTGTACATTGGGCTGGAAGTGAATGCAACACATGGATGGGTTCAAACAACCAATTTTCAGGTCTTAACACTGGCAAACCACTAAATGAATACCCACTTAAAAATTAAATCCATGTGCATATACTCTCCTTTTAAATTAAATTTGTTAAGAATTTTGAGTGCTTACACAGTAGTCTTGAGGGCTAAGCTGTCTGCATGTTCTGGGATTCCATACACGTGCTCGACACCAAGGAAAGAAATGTCCAAACCAACAGAGCAAGGACCTAAGAATCATTAAATCATAATCATCACAACCACATCATTTTGTATTAATGAAAACAAACAGTGACTTTCACTGAATTTCCATAAAAGAATGCAGTGATTCACTTTTCAAGCAGTAACAGGTCTTGATAAAAACTTCAATTCCAGCTTGTCCTTTAGGCAAGCTGCTGGGCAAGCTGCTCTCACATTTTGCTTGGCCTAGGCCACTTCTTGCTCATCTTAAATAATGATTTTGTTGGAGGATGACTTACCTGGACCCCTGTCCATTGGGCAAGTAGTCGCTTTAAAGTTACTTGCCCAGCAAGAAAATCTACTAGTCCCAAACTACCAGACAGAACTTTTTTTTGAACTCTGTCACCTGTAAATTTTCCTGCTTGTCGTAGTGCTTACTTCCTGGAACTATTAGAATTGTAAAAGGATACTGATAGCCTACAAGCCAGCTCTCCTATTGAGGCAAACGAAGGGAGCTGCGAGAGAATGTGTGAGTGAGCGACAAAGCAGCAAGGGGCAGAGGAACTTTCTTTCCCGACCCCTCACACTCAGATTTCCTTTTGCAAGCAGTTCTTCTATCACTGCACATGACTCCCCCCAAATGGGAGCTTGCTCACAAGCTTGGTTACTGATTGACCTACACTGGATTCAGACTAAAAGTAACCTCGTGGTCTTGTATCTCTGTGCTCCTTGAAGTTCTCTTCCCAGTTTTCTTCCTCCATTACTTCTTCCACTTTTTTTTCTTCACTTTCCTCCTAAACAAACAGAACAACAAGTCATCAGGGCCAAGTCTTACAAGTTAAAACATAGCCCTCTGTTAATGGGCAATTGTTTGTAAAGAGCACTGCGCTATTACCTCTGTTAAGTAGCAAAAGAGAATGTTACAGGTCAAAATTATATTCAGGTGAAAAAATCTTTTAACCTAGGTTGGTTTTCAATTTCTTTTGTGTCCTAGACAAAGAAAATTGAGAATCAACCTAGCTAGGTTTAAAAATTTTAACCTGACTTTATTTTTGACCTGAAACATAAACATATAATTGCCACCTCATTATCAAAATGGGAAATCCTTTAAGTGATCAGCATCTTGTTTCTCCTTACAATGTCATTATTTAATCAAACACAAAGGTCAAAGAAAAGAACTTCTCCTTTCTAAAGGACAGTCAGTGTGGACAATCTAGGCAATGATGACATTACTTAAGATTTTAAAGGTCCAGTTTCTTGGTTGCTTCATTTTGTTATTCTTACCGGCTTGGGCTCATTTTCTGACTTTTCCTCTTCATTTTCGCCTGGAGGATTCCCTTCATCTTCTGAGTCCTTCTGAACTGGAACTTTTCTGGTTTAAAAATTATGAAAACATGCTGTTGATACCCTACACTATGGAGATGAGCAGCTGCAAGGTCTGGGGACTTCCACTATAGGCTAGCGAATGCACAAGGTTCATTTTTTATCCTTGGTTTAACTCCGGGGGTGGGGGGGTACTTCCAAGTAATGGGCTAAAGGGGATATGCTGCTGAATGGGCGGGGCCACATTTTCATGACTAGATATATAATGGGGTTGCATTTTCAATAGAGTAACTAGAATGGGGGCTCTTTTCTTGTGTATATGCTTTCTTTTGTTCCAATAAATTTGCATGGATGCTGGCCACATGAGTGAAATTAATTCTCTGTTAATGTTGCTGCATTATCAAACAAAAAGCATTAATTTATGGATAAAGGAAAAAGAAATATATATCAAGGGCAGAAGATAATGTTCATGTACCAGTACTGTATATTGAAGGGCTTGCTCAACTTCAGCTAATAAATGTTATACTACTGCTTTAACAAGTTACCTTTTTTCTCTGTACTCTTCAAAGTTCATAAGGCCTCTTGAGTTTACTGAAACTGCTACTTCATTGTCAACCAAGAAATCAAGACGAAAAGGCTCATATGTCAATATGACACTGTTATTATTAAAACCAATGTGAAGACTTTCATCATCTTGTTTAAGCTTTTGATAGCTGGGAAATAATAGAGTAAACAAATATTAGAAGTTAGTTATATCAGTCTTGTTTTACACTATCGGAATAGTTTTGACCCCTTACGCAGCGATATCCACATACAAATTCACTCAAGATATTTCTGTACATTTCCTTAAAGAACTGGTTGAAAATTTGATAAGAGGTCAAAGCATTTTCCTTAAGGTGTTCATCTTCTTATTTCTCGTAACCTTTTTCCTTGGTTATCATTAGGAGAAAATTGGTTTTGATCACTTTCGGGACTTGAAGGAGATTGGGGTTAAGGAGACTGAACATACATGAATGGAATACATGTAATAATGGCTGAATCCATGACCAGGCAAGATGAAGTTAATCCGCATTCTGATTTGCTACCACAGCGGGCTCATCTGGCCTGCTTGGGATTTCCTGCGTTGGTCCTGTAAATAAAAGTTTTCTTTAAAATATAATAAAGCCAAGCTTCAGTCAAGATAGCTGAATATTGGCCTTGATCTATTTTTTGTGTTTTCATTGACAGAGATAAAAAAAATATAAAAACAAGCTTGGCCAATATCCTGCTATCCTGACCTCAAGCTTGGTCAATGCGTATAGATTAATCCTCACCTTATAGTTACTGGTTCTTTGATTAAGACATCCTTGACCTCATATCTTGGTCTAATTGGATTCACCTCAGTTATTCTAAATCTAGCAGTGTTCTTTTGTAAAGTTTGAAGTTTAAGGTTAAGCAATACATTTGATTTCTTGTTTAGTAAATGAACATCAAAGGAAGACTCTGTAAATGTAATGGAATCCTTGACTACTAAATATGGTGAATCTCCTGGTTGAATTGCTCTATTATTACTGTAAAGAAAAAGAAGAAAGAAAGTTATGAAGTTACTATACAGTAGACTCTCTCTATAAGACAGATACCTAAGTGAAACAAACTCCTGGAGCAAGTTATTTAAACAGAGTTTAGCCAGTGTTAAACAAAACCGCGTTCTAAGCTATTTTCAGTTTGCGAATGCTTTAAAGCAAACACCATTTATTGTGAACAGAATGGACTAGAGCAGCATTTATCTTCCTTAAATAACCCAGGAAGAAAGAGATCTTGAAGTCCAAAGATTTCCTAAACTGCGGTCTAAGTTATACTTTGGTTAAATAACCGATTCCTAGAGTTGGTCCCTGCGTTTCTTTACTCCCTCTACTTTACTTTTTATAAGATGGACCTCGCTCTTAGACAGACAGTTATTGCTGGTCCCAAAGATGTCCATCTTAGAGAAAATTGACTGTATTTCCAATAAAAAAGCAAAGCTGAAGCAACAGTCTCAAGTAATGAGCTTAACAGTCACCCCTGTTCCTTAGAAGTCTAACCTCAGCCAGTTAGGGTGTCACAAATTTGCTGTCTGATGGCCTAAGGACACCGGGGGAACCCCTCAGGCCAGCATGTTTTAGTGAGTTGTCCGATGGGTAAGCAACATATCGAGATAAAATAGGGGTTAGTGAAAAAAGGGGTTGGTAGGCCTACATGACTTCTACAGGCTAGTAAACTTCAGCAACATCATACCCAAAGGGCAAGCCAACCTGGAATAGGAGCAGGGTTAGAAATGATAGATGGCCAAAAAATAAACCTCTGGGTATTGCATGTCCTGTGTTCACCAACAAACTATGACAGGGTCAGGGGGGCTCACTCAACAAAGTTTTATTTGGCAAGGCTCCGCTCCAAGGTCCAGTCCGCGGTGAAGTGTGAAAATGCCAAATAGTTTTACTAGAAGGAATTTTTGCAAGGGATGGGGGACCTTGTGTATATGATTGTTTAATACAACTATTTAACTCACCGGCAAAAACTACTATCTTCACATTTCTTGAAGTTATTTTTATCCACTCCATCTACTCCAGCAGTTATCCAAAGAAGAAGCAGAGGAAAGACCCCACTAAAAGTGAAAAAAAAAGTTTGGTAAGAAAAAAGTCTTGGCGCATTGCCTATTGATGTCAGATCATTTTACGACCGTCCACTGTAAAAACACGAGAGCCATACGACCTGATCCTCAACTGGTGCATAAGCTTTTCAGTTTACATAACGTGGATTTAACGGTTAATTACGGTATGTAGAGAAGCTGATTCAGTACCAGTGCAGAGAGTTGGTAAAATCTACTGATAACTGTAATCAGATCTGGGAGAACGAAAGAGAAACAGTAGAAATCAGAGCTAGTGCTTGAGCTTCGAGAGCCGGTTTGTCAAAATTTATTTTAGAAAACGAGAGACACGTGTCGGAATCAAGTGGAATTGCAACCTAGCGGGAAATCGGCGACCAAATGTTTGAATAATGTTGCCAAATATTTCAAGAGTGGAAAACTATGATGAAAATAAGGAAATTAACAAAAAAATATCAAGAAAAAATAAAAATTTGCTCACCTTGACGCGTGTGAAATCGCCATTGAACACAAAATCCAAGGCTGAGATTCTTTTTTCTTTAGAGGACTGGGAAAGAATTTGCGTACGCAGTGTCCCGGATGTAAAAAGGAAGTCTGTAGACGAGGACTGGGCGCTACTTTTTCATTTGGGTGCCTCTTCGAAGTAACTAACCTACCTATAGAAGTTTTGATCGCTGCATTTGAAAACTTAAAAGCTACTTAGGAGGCTCAAATAACTCACTGAAAATGGTATGTATTCCTTTCTTCACAATTAACCCGAGTTTATTACGATTTTCAGCCTTTCCACGGCCACAGTTCTCGTAGATCGCTCGATGTTGTCTCCTCGACACAAGCGTCGTTCAATTACAAAGCTTTTCAGTTGTTGCTGAGGCCAAGCAGATAAATATTCTGGTTTAAGAACTGTTGGGCTGTTGTTGACATTTGCAGCGGCGTTGTTGTGATTTCGCTTGTGTCGAATTGCTTAGCGTTGTTGTAATGTTTAAGTCGTGGAAATCCGCTTTCACAGCCACCGTTCATTTGAACTTGGCTTCCAAATGTTTAATGTTTATACTTGGACCCAATAATTATTCGAAGTGAACGCTTCTAGAACAACAGTTATTTGCACATACGCCAGCTTGTTCTAAGAATTTTATCACCATGTCATCGCTAGCTCAGATACAAGCATGGTGCAGACGTACTCGAGTTTTTTTATCTTGACTATTTCTTCTCGCGTTTCAGGGAAACGAAGCATCTCTACCGGGAGATATGGTAACACATTGTAAGTTTACTATCTGTTTCGTTTCTGCTGTTTCAAATTTGCGATTTCTACATTATCAGTCACCGCTTATTTTCCAAACAGGCGTGCTAATAACGTTGGTCATTTTTTATTTACTTAAAATTGTAGTCGACGCCGATGAAATCCGGCGACTCGGGAAGCGCTTTCGAAAACTCGATCTGGACAAATCGGGCGCTCTTTCCGTTGAGGAGTTCATGTCGCTTCCAGAACTGCAACAAAACCCTTTAGTTCAAAGAGTTATCGATATCTTCGACACTGATGGGAACGGCGAGGTGGACTTTAAAGGTTAGAATTTTATTTATAGCTTTGTGACTGTTTTATTATTGAATATTGCATCTATCAATGGACTGATCAGGCATCATGAAAATATGCGGCATAATTTCGCGCCTATTTTGGTTTGCGATTATGCAGCAGATCGATACTTCTTTCAGCATCTTTTCCTCTTGACAATTCAGTTCTCAGTGGAAGGGCTTACTAAAGCCCTAAATTCTATTCGCCGTTTTAAAAATGGTTACCCCAATTACTGCGATCCTGTGCTTTAAACGCCTAATTGAAAATATGTCACGTTATCTACCATCAAACAAAACACCCCACCAACTTTGAAACTGAGTTTAGCTTGTCAGTTTTTCTACCGGATCCGTTTGTTATGCATAAGAAATCGTTTTTCTTATTCTTTTAACTGATTAACGGAGAGAGAGCTACATTATATATCATTTGCAACAACAAGGACAAATTAAAAATTTTCTTTGTTCATGGCGAAAACAATTTTTAACTACCCTTGCCGGGTTCACCTGTTCCCAAACGGATTTTGGAAGAATAAATTCTAGGGTTTATTCTAATTGAAGAGAAATTGGTTTCCAATTATGATGGTCCAGCCCTTATGGATTTGGCCTGTGTGTGTGACCTTAGTATGAGTGCAGCTTTTACCAAGAACAGGTGTTGTCATCGGCTATTTGCTCAGTCCAAGAATATCGTAATTTCTCAACATTTACTTTATTCGTGCTTGAAAAGTCGGTCAAAGTTATTCTTAAAACTTTGTGTGCGGCTCAAAAAATGGCGTAGTACCGTGATTAGTGTTGTTTACTTGTTGATAATTTGCATTTTGTGTACATGCTAAAATCGTTCAGGAACCAGTTAATTTTAGAGCAATTTCAAGAGAGCAGAAGTTTCTCCCCACGTAGGCGCTTTTTGTATTGCTATAAGAGGAAGGGAAATTGAACCTCACAGGATATTTTAGTACATGTAACCGAATTTGAATTTTGACAGCTGTAAGCCTTGGTTCAAATGTGTTGAAAGTACATTATGTTATTTAACCTTTAAAATGGTACATCGTGAATTGTTATTCGTGCAGCATGTGACACTTCGGAAGATGCGGAATAACATATTGAAATACAGTATACAACATTCACAAATTTTTGGTGATTAGCTCCCCAAGGCGAATTAATGTTTTATTTTCACAAGAAAAAGTCGTAAAATTTTTTGTTATAAGTGACTTTTTTGGCAGATGTTAGAAGTTGCTAGAGCTTTACAGGTAGTTGATCCAAGTAGTGTGCAAAATTCTGCTTTTAGGAAATGTTGAGGGGTTTAGTTTACATTGAAGTCAGCTTGAAAACGTTTTTAAGAGATACATTTCCTCTGTCAGCATAGCACTTAAACACTTTTAACCAGAACAGCAGTGTTAACCATATGGTTTGAAATGCATTGATTAAAAGAAAATTTTAATAACACATTGCTGCTTCTGTCCAGCAAATGTTGAAAAGTGTACAGAGCGGGATACCTTGGCCATCTGAATAAAAAACAATCAGAAAGGTTTTCGATCCAGAGGAGCAAAACAAGCAAGATTGTTAGAAATTTGTTTTTAAGTTGATTGCAGTACCACTCAAATATATGTTGATAGTCTCGACTCAATCCTTGAAACTCAATTTTCACATTTCAAAGTATGAATGACTTTTATGTTAAGACACCACAATCAAGTCTCTGGTTTGTCAGGTCTGAGGTCCCCTGTATTAAGACCCTTTTCGGGTAAAATTCCAACAGGTGACTTGGCCTTCAAACATGGACATGGCTTACTCCTCAAAATACAACATGACTGTATTTGAAATTCAGACCAGGGACTTACATAGCCCCACTCCCTCCCGCCCCACCCCTACAAGAGGACCTCTGGATTTTCAGTCACCCTTAACTTGTTCTCTGTGGTACAGCGTATGCATTTCAGCATCTGATCTTAAACAGAAGCCTTGTAGATAGCCCTGTACTGACTCTATTAACAGTGCTGTCTGTTGTAGCTATTATATTGCAGAGAACAGTTTAAGTGTCTTAGATTAAAAGCATAATATTAGTGCTTGCGGGCACACACACAGACTTCACTTCTGGTCTTTATGTTACGCTACAGTTACCTCATCTGTTTTTAGAGTCTGGCTATACTAATCTTTAGACTTTCAAAAAAATCTTGGACTCATACCAACATAGGTCACTGCATTTCTCATCACAAAATGACTGCAGATGTTAATTTTTTTTATTTACATTTTTTTAATTTAGTCTCATAGTTAATTTGTGAAATTAGTCAGCTTACTTTAATCATTACTTAATTTATATTTTTATTTATTTGTTATTATTTCTATTAATTTTAATGTAATTTAATTCATTTATTGTTATTTATTATTGCAAACCTAATTTTGGTGTGGTGTATTGAAATAACCATTGTTGTTATGTAAGATATTTCTATCCAACCACAAAGCACTCAGAAATACATTAACCAAACCGATCCCTAACTCCTTTCAAGAATTTTGTGTAAACCCGTCACCATAGTGAGTGATCCAAGAAATTAATTCGTTTTCCTCATTAGTTTGCTGCCTAACAATCTTCACAATATAAGTCACATTTTGAAACCTTTTGCGGGACTACTAAATCAACACTGAGATCAGGCTACAATATTTTGAACAGTATCACCAAAAAGGGCTGTCTTTACATGAAAATCCATGTTCTATTTTCAAAGGCAAAGTTACTCTACTGAAGCTATTTACTTAATTTGCCTCCTGCCACTTACACAAGGGATGGAAAAAGATTGAAGCAAAATGTTGTCAAATATGTTTCAAAGCGTTACTATGGATTATTCTTCATGCTACAGAGTAACGATTAAAAGACAAATTTGCATGAAAAAATAATAGAGCAAAGTCAGTAGGTTTTCTTTATTTATTCACCTTGATTTCCTAACGATATTGACACCTTGGCATGCTTTCAAGTGGGGAATAATCAGGATATCCTTTCTGGTTATAAATTATTAAAAGCTTTACAATGGAGGGATATCTTATTTTAGGCTCAAAGCAATATTTCTGGTCCCTGCTGTTGTTGTTAATTGGACAATTTTGATTAATTTTCTGTGCATGGTCCTCTTTTCTCAGCATTTATATGCAACTTATTTCATTGACAGGCAGATCTAGTTTTATTAGTTTTCTGCATGAAATAAAATGCAAGAGCCAACCATCTGGTTTTTTTATACTGTTTGTCAAGGAAATGCATTGATGTTTTGTTTGTAGATGTAAAATGTAATTTTACGCAGTCATGCTGTGCCTCCGGCAAGAGTTTTATTTTGTCTAGTAATACCTAAAGGTATCACACAGTGTATTTATATGACTTCCCAAATCACAGGAACATTGAACAGTAAATATGTTACTCCTTGTCAAGGCATTTTGCATTAAATTACCGTATGCTCATGAAATGGAGAGGAATAACATTTAATTTTACAGTTGAACACATGTATTCAGCTTTTCTGGACTACATGCATGTAAAGTACATGGCATGTATTAAAAGCTACAGAGATCTGAAATTTCATATTCACACTCAGATAAATATTCACATTTCCTTTCAAACAGAGGTTGTCTAATGACCTACTGTAGTCTGTTACCTGGCACCTGCATAATTATTTATTTTTTTTGGTATTTTTTTGCTGTCTCTGACCTTGCTTTTGGGTAGAGTCTATCAGTCTAAGCTTTATTGTGCAAATGCATATAGATAATAAACTTTCATTAAATGAAGTTTAGCCCTAGCTCTCAAGAGTAATGATGGGGAGTAGCTTCAAAACATGAGTGTGTTGTATAGAATAAACCATTGTTCAAGATCATACGTGTCGATGTTCAAATAAAATCAGCGAAAAAATTTCTTGCAAAAACAACTACATTAAATTTGTCTTTTTTAAAGAACTTCTCAAACTTGTTTTTAGGTTTAAATTTTATTCAAAAGTAGACATTATTTTAAGTGATTTTTTTTACTGAACTTTCTGATAATGTTTTATTAATCATGAAAGTAGCCTATGTACAAAATTGATTGTTGTTTATTGCTGTCTGTAGAATTTATAGAAGGAGTTTCACAGTTCAGTGTAAAAGGTGACAAAGAATCAAAGCTTAAATGTAAGTACACTTTAGTTCAAAAGACAGAAATACATCAGTGTTTATGAGGATTTTGTTATAACTATGTTTAATGTACCCTTAAAACCTACCATGATTATAGTAATTATCTGAGACCTCCAATACCGATTATCTGAGAGCACTCAAATAATTAAGGTACCCTAATTTGCATTATTACAGTATAACCTGAACAAAACAAGCAAGGTTAGGTATAAAGTGAAGACTTATGCTCTACCAGTGACCCTTCAGGTTACTTTCTCGGAACTGTCAATATTTTAATTACTTACAGCTGCACAAGAAGGCCTCCCAGAGTTTCAAATTTTCAGAGCTTTGAGTACCCAACATGTTTTCTTTGAGTGCAGCCTTGTTTGTACAATATATTGTACACTGTATTTGTCACATCTCCTGGTGAATTGAACTGGCGCCATGCAGTAGGTGGAGTCTCAAATGTTTGTCTAAATCAGTTGGAGAAGTAGGAGGGTTAAAAAATGGGGTGTAATATTATCATTGGGTACTAATCATAAATAAATAGATAAGTACTTCATTATCCACTACCCTTATGGGGCTTTTCAGGGATAATAAAACAATAATTCAAATAGAACATAATATATGTAATAATCCCAACTGTTACAAGCATGGCTGAGGATTTGAACTCGGGACGAACCAAGAACAAATCTACCAAGTGGCCAGAGAGGGAATCAAACCCGGGACCGGTGGATTGTGAGTCCAATGCATTGACCACTCAGCCACACTGCCTCCTCAAAAGAGTTTAGGGCTGGGGGATACTTCTTGAACCCCATGACTTTGTGCCAGTCACGATGGTGTTGTCTGTCTTGTAGAGAGTTTTTTGTAATTATTGTTCCATGTTTTTAGTTGCCTTTAGGATATATGATATGGATAATGATGGTTTCATATCAAATGGAGAACTTTTCCAAGTTCTTAAGATGATGGTAGGAAACAACCTCAAAGAAACACAACTTCAACAAATTGTGGATAAGACAGTAATAAATGCAGACAAGGATGGCGATGGAAAAATCTCTTTTAGTGAATTTTGTGCTGTAAGTTTAACTCCGCACATTCCTACAGTAACACTTCAATGTTGCTAATGCTTTTCATCTAATCAGATATATGTACACACTCTACATGTACATACATACATTTGCTATTTGCATCACATATATGCACAATAATTTATATAGTCAGCAAAAATGCATTGAGAAACTTAGAAGAATGATTGTAGGAAATCTCGAAGAATAATAGCAACAATAATTTTAAAATCAAAGAAAAAACAGAATTTTAGAAGAAATTTGCATTATGGGAACATTAGTTAAATGTTGGGATCTGTGTACAGGGAGTTTTAGTGTTGAAAAAATGGAGTTTTGCTTACATAAGAGGCTTCCCTGTCGTCAAAAGTTGAGCTCCCTCTATTCCACCCCTGCCACGCCCCACCTCATTAACAGCAATTCTTGATAATTTTTTACAGGTTGTTGGTAATATGGATGTTCATAAAAAGATGGTGGTGGACGTCTAACAGGACCTAAATGAACAAAGTCTTTGAACTATTTATTATTCTTATTTCCAACCCAAGACATTTTTTAACAAAAATAGAGCAATATTCATAATCTGAAACTCTGCTTTTGCTGTGGACCAGGATATGTTTCGGATATCACTTTGCTCTGTAAAGCAAGATGATTGCCAAAGGATTGTCTTACATGTCATAGAGCTGCAAGGTACTTAGATGTCAGAAATAAAAAAGACTTGAGATAATAATAGATGCGTTAACAACGGTTGCGATGGCAATAGACCTGATTTACTTTGCATGCTTATTGCCCATCACAAATCACATTAAATTCTTATAAAGATTACTTACTTCATCCTTTAAAATAGGACATGCATTCAAGCTTGCATGTAACTTTGATTAATTTTCAAAGAGGTAGTTGCCTACAGTGTAGAACACCATGTTGTAATCTGAAATAAGACGATAAGCCAAAGCAGATGAGGTCTATTAGTCTGGCCATTAACATGCAATGAAAAGTAGCTAGGGTTTATAATGGGATTTAGTAATCTTGAACTAGGTCTTGGACTTTTTAGAAATGTAACTCTTTTGCTTCCAGAGTCCATCATCAATAGATGTATTGAGGTTTCAAGTTGAGTTTGTAGAGAAAATCGTATGGTTTTACCATTCAGAATTCAGATTAAACCTCTTACAGTGAAATCTGTTGTACTTTAGCCAATCAACAAAGTTTTCCAAATCATTTTCAAATTTTTTGCACAATTGCAAATTGAAAAGCAATTAAATATCAAGCTGATGTGAAGGTGAAGACATGCATTTGAAAGGTTTTGTTTAAGATTGTATGAAATCTTGTATTTTGTTGGATTTGATTGGTCTTATATTACATGAAACTCACCATAGCTTTGTAAAGCAAGTGTTAAAAAAAGATGTCAACTTTGTTGATTGGCAATAGTGAAAGAATCTTTGCTGTGAGTATCATTGTTTTCACATGGTACAGTCTGTACTATGTGGTAGTTATCATGTTTACATTTCAGAAGATAATTTTGCATTATTCTAGATTTTCAGCTCTTTTGGAAGCAAAATGGTTAGGTAATTAATTATTGTTGAAACATGTCTGCAAAGGCCTGTTTGCTTTTAACATTTTTTTGGTTTGGTTAGTCGACTGCATCTTGTTAATACAGAAAAACCTGTATAAAGGAGGCACTCTCAAGAAACTCAGTAAATCACACCCTTAATTTACCTCTGTTCTTAAATTACTTCAAATGTGGGCACTCTGTTTATGCAAGGTACTTTGGACCATGCAAAATTTACTGCTGATAAATACATGTACATCCCAAGCAACCTGAAACACATCCATAGCTTCTTGGGTACATTTTTCCTTTTTCTCCTAAAACATTGCTCTTAACCAAATAACCTACATTCATACTGTGATGGATCCTAGGGAGTCAGTGCTATCCAGACCATCTTCCCCACTGACTCACCCTACAAACCAGAAGATGTTTTTACAAGGTAACTGTGTATCACAGCATTTTACAACTGACACTGTTACTGCTGAAAGATCAGATGCAACTTTCTCCTGTTATGTTGACCATGAAACTTACATTACATTGCACCTCGCTACTTGGGTTGTTCAACTCCTTGTGGACTAAACAGTCGTTACTCTTAACCAACAAAACGTTTGCTCCTTTCATAACAAGGCAAATGCTCTGTCGCCAACCTCCGTCTGGTGTGTAATTCAAAGAAATGGAGGAAAGTTTAAAAGTTGAAAAACAGATTCATCAATGTACACATTCCCCTTCCACCACCTCACCAAAAATACCTGGACCTGCCCTTGTAATGGTTAGCATGTGCCATGTTTTGATCCTAGACTACATGTTCCTGTATGCTGTGGTTTTTTATTTGTCTCTCTCTTAGAAATTTGTTGCTCTAGAAATTTGACTACCTGGGTCCTAAAAGTAAGCCTCCCTTTAAATGATTAGGAACTTGTGGAATTTATCTTAAAAATCTTGGTCACAAATGAAAAATGTGTTATTCATATTAATAAGAGGTAAATAATGGGATAGAGAAACTCCCTTATGCTAATTTACATATTAAATGTGCTAGCCTAGGTTGTTGTTGTTTCATTCTTTATACCTGAAAATTTTACTCATGTTTGAATTTTTACTTGCTATCTCTACTTTTGCACCCCCACCCCCCAGCCCCCCACCATCACCCATTGATTCCCGATAATGACAAAAGTGAAAAGAATTAGGAGTGAAATTGTTTTGAATCAAATTCAAAGAACAAAAGATTTAACTTTTTTCCTGAAAATCCTCTTCCTGTTACACGCTCTTGTGCAGCTCTTTGAGAGATTCTACTCTTTGAAACTAGGGTAAAATGGGCTGCTGGCGAGGCATTGTGCTTCACATCAACATTAACTTTTAGCTTTTCATAACCTGTTTGCTACTTTCACTACATCCGAACTAAAAAAACATGGAAACTTCTAGAATATTACATTTTTGTCGAAAGAAGGTTAAGGTGGCCTTTCATGATTTTTTTTTTCAAGAAGAAATTTAAAATTCTGTTTATCTTATTTCAATATAGTCGAGGAAAAGGGGAACGTGCGATTACCATTGAGACATGTATTAAGAAACTTACGAGACAGAGAAAGTCTCCCAAGCAATAATATTATCGATATACAAATTGAGATCAACCTCACCTCTCTCCCTGTTCAAAATGGTAGTTTCTTGCACGTGAAAGATAATAAGCACAGTTAGCACCAAGTTCACTTTTATCAGTTCCAAATTGCCCTTTAAACAAGAGAAGCCCCTTTGATGTGGATCAATTTAGGAAGTATTTAAAACCATTTTACTTAATCCTGTCAAGACGAAAGGCCTTGGACAACACAAGAAAAAGAAAAGAGCAAACGACGCGGTGTGGATAATGCCCATTCTTTTCCAAATCCACCATTTGACAACGTTCTTAATACGGCTTTGATTTAAGGCAATCGCATCTTTCTTTTTTCCTCCCTTTTTCGCAGTTTTCACGAAGATGAGTGTTTTTTTCAAAATTGAATTCTCACTGGAAAAAATTGGTAGTTTATTAACTTAAGTGTTTTCTTGAAAGCACCCAGGCTTGTAAGCTGTAGATCAGCATTGATTTTAATTTCGTAGATTAATGGCAAGGCTTAATAGTGGCAAATTTGGCATTTTTTACGCATTTCTTTAATATGTAAATAGTGAGCTAGAGAGTAAACGCATTGCAGTTCGTTGTAACTTGCTTCTGTTAGAAGGCTGGTTGCTTTCACAGATAAACTGTAGAAAGTATTTACTAGGATTTTGTATTATTATCGTGAAAGTGGCAAAGCAGAGTTTGCTCTCTTTAAAGTTGTTGGAAATATTATACCTGGTTGAAGTTGTTTTAATGTTGTATTTAATTAAATGGCATAATTCTCAATTAAGGTAACAATAGTCTCACTCAATTTTATTCTCTGTAAATATACTGGAATAATTTGATTAGCTGTGTTATTCAATTTCTAGCTGAACCCCTTTTATCTGCAAATAAACAATGAAGTCGTCATGACCACAGAATTTAGATTTCAATGCATCTCCTGAGTAACAAGGAGGAGCAACTGTCTGAAAACCTGGGTGAGGCTTCGACTGTTAAAACGGAGAGCGCGGCTGGTGATGAACGGCTTATTAAAATGCGAGGGGGTTTTGTATTTTATGCAAGGTGTCAGTTAAATTCCTTGCGTATCAACGCATAATAATCTTCAATCTTACTGTAAACCCTCTGGCATGCATTTTAAATCTTTGTTCATGAATAACTGGCCGTTCAAGTGTTGTTAACCTTGATGCTATAACTCAGTATATAAGTTTAAATACAATAACTTTAAAGAATATTCGCTCCTACCTTAAGTCCTGGCTTCGCAAACAAATTCTCGTATCCAAAGGAGAATATTCAAAATTACTGGAAGCGTTTTGAAAGATTCCAGACCTGAGTGTCGCTGTTATTCTTGGTAAACCATTGTACGCTTTCACCAACTCATATTGAACTCACTCCAGAACCGGTCAACTTCTTTGTAATTTGCTGTGTTTGTGCCTTATAGCAGCGATACGTCTTCCAGACACATCAGCCAAACAACCCTCTGTATGAAAATTAAGATTGTGCTTCTGGCCCGTTCTCTTCAACCGAAAAACCTACTTGTGAATTCATTCCCAGCAAGAAGGACCATTTTACGCATTGCCCATAATACACCTCCACGAAAAATGCGTAACCATTGTTTGCGGTTTGCCTTTGGGTATTGCAGTCGTCCCAAGAAAAATCGATGATAGTAGCTATCCAATTTTTTTAGGGGGGTGATGGAGGGGGCCCGGGGAAAACAAGGTGCATGGGCGATGTGAAAATTGAGAATACCAGAAACAAAAGTAAACGTATCATATTAAGGAAAAACAAGTTTAATTTTTTATTTCTTAAAGAGACGTTCAAATGGTAATGTTTAAAATGTCCAAGTATGATATCATTATTTTACAGCAACAAGAAATACAAAAACGAGACTTAGGCCTAGGCCAAACGTCGAACCTTTCATGAGACTTAGTTAAGTTCATGAAAAGTTTGACGTCTGGCTCAGTTGAGTTCGTCTGAATGATTTTAGATCATCCAACACGTTCTATCTGTCTTCTTCAGACGGATAGGACGTCTGAGGATCGTCTCCGGGAGAAACGTCGATCTTCCCATTCGACGAACTAAACTAATAAATTAAAAATTTGTATGACAATGCATATGAAGCCTCGTTCGGGAGAAAATTTATTACTGATCTAGTTGATTGGTTCGACGCGTCTCAAGGTCGACGTCTGACCCAACAGACGATCTTAATTTGGGTCGGACCCAAATTAGTGTTTAGTTCGTCTAATGAAAAGTTTTCAATAAGAAAAATATATGAATAAGAAATATTTGAAAAATCTAAGAAAAAACCTAAGTTACAAGCATGTGACTATTTTTTCGATAATTTCTTATTTATAAAAGCTCTTAAATATCCTAAGAGGTGAAGAGTTTCTACAGTCCTACAGTTTCTACTCTTTAACAAGCAAAGACATTTTGTTCGAGGAAAGACTTGCAGTTTGGAATTTGCAGCCTGTCGTTTAGTAACGTGTTTCTTCAAACTGTTAAGGTTGACTCGATGAACTAGAAAAGAAGAAGAAATACGTGTGTCAAACATAAGTATCCTCGGTAGAGCTGTAGAGATGTATACTTGTAATTTAAAACGTTGAAATCCGGATGTGAATGGAGTCACCTGCGGTAAGTGAGTAGAATGTCTTTAAAGGTGCCTAGTTCATGCGCGGACAAAATTCTAGACATTACTGCTCTGGCCCTGATGCAATGCGGATGGATTTGCCATAATACCCCTTGAAATGCGAAATGGTTCATCCCTCTTCCTGCGCCTTTCAGAATTAATACTAAGTGAGTGTGTTGTTTGCTTTAGATAAAGTATACCCCTACTTTAATTGGTTAAACTACCATCCCCGACTCGTTCATTTTATAATGCAATTATTCTAACTGCGGATACAAAAAGAAGACTAAATACTTACGTCATCAATGGTAAATACCGCTTTTTCTGTTCGGCCCCCACGTTTCGTCACGTGACTCCTAAAAGTATCTGCAGTATGTATGGAAGGTAAAAATCACAAAGATGAGAAGGTAATTTATTATTCTAATACTTTTATAGAGAAAAACCTTAAACAACTCTCACTCAGAAACAAAGGAAAAAAACCATGGTGCACTTCAAAGGAAGGAGTTATCAAGGGCGCGCCAAAAGAACTCTTCTCTAACTTGTGTGAGGTTGAACCTTTTAAGCTGAAACATAGCAACTGCGATTAAGACTCATTACTTGGAAAAGGAAAGAAAAAGAAGGGCATGGTCCTGGCAGGTGACATTAGTAGTATAAGATGGACTGAATTATCCTTTTCGCGGTGGAATACATTAACTTCGTTGGTAGTGGTGGAGGGAAAGCAATTAGAAATGTGGTGGTGGAGGAGGGGAAAACAATAGAAATGTGGTGGTGATGGTGGAGGGGAAAAACAATAGAAATGTGGTGGTGGTGGTGGTGGGCAAAAAACATAGAAATGTGGTGGTGGTGATGGTTAAGGGAATACAATAGAAATGTGTTGATGGTTGAGGGGAAAAACAATAGAAATGTGGTGGTGGAGAAGGGAAAAAACAATAGAAATGTGGTGGTGGAAGAGGGAAAAAACAATAGAAATGTGGTGGTGGAGGAGGGAAAAAACAATAGAAATGTGGTGGTGGAGGAGGGAAAAAACAATAGAAATGTGGTGGTGGAGGAGGGAAAAAACAATAGAAATGTGGTGGTGGAGGAGGGGAAAAACAATAGAAATGTGGTGGTGGAGGAGGGGAAAAACAATAGAAATGTGGTGGTGGAGGAGGGAAAAAACAATAGATATGTGGTGGTGGTGGAGGGGAAAAACAATAGAAATGTGGTGGTGGTGGAGGGAAAAAACAATAGATATGTGGTGGTGGTGGAGGGGAAAAACAATAGAAATGTGGTGGTGGAGGAGGGAAAAAACAATAGAAATGTGGTGGTGGAGGAGGGAAAAAACAATAGATATGTGGTGGTGGTGGAGGGGAAAAACAATAGAAATGTGGTGGTGGAGGAGGGAAAAAACAATAGATATGTGGTGGTGGTGGAGGGGAAAAACAATAGAAATGTGGTGGTGGTGATGGTTAAGGGAATACAATAGAAATGTGGTGATGGTTGAGGGGAAAAACAATAGAAATGTGGTGGTGGAGAAGGGAAAAAACAATAGAAATGTGGTGGTGGAGGAGGGAAAAAACAATAGAAATGTGGTGGTGGAGGAGGGAAAAAACAATAGAAATGTGGTGGTGGAGGAGGGAAAAAACAATAGAAATGTGGTGGTGGAGGAGGGAAAAAACAATAGAAATGTGGTGGTGGAGGAGGGGAAAAACAATAGAAATGTGGTGGTGGAGGAGGGAAAAAAAAATAGAAATGTGGTGGTGGTGGAGGGAAAAAACAATAGAAATGTGGTGGTGGTGGAGGGAAAAAACAATAGAAATGTGGTGGTGGAGGAGGGGAAAAACAATAGAAATGTGGTGGTGGTGGGGGTGGAAAAACAATAGATATGTGGTGGTGGAGGAGGGAAAAAACAATAGATATGTGGTGGTGGAGGAGGGGAAAAACAATAGATATGTGGTGGTGGAGGAGGGGAAAAACAATAGAAATGTGGTGGTGGAGGAGGGGTAAAACAATAGATATGTGGTGGTGGAGGAGGGGAAAAACAATAGAAATGTGGTGGTGGAGGAGGGAAAAAACAATAGATATGTGGTGGTGGAGGAGGGAAAAAACAATAGATATGTGGTGGTGGTGGAGGGAAAAAACAATAGAAATGTGGTGGTGGAGGAGGGGTAAAACAATAGATATGTGGTGGTGGAGGAGGGAAAAAACAATAGATATGTGGTGGTGGAGGAGGGGTAAAACAATAGATATGTGGTGGTGGAGGAGGGAAAAAACAATAGATATGTGGTGGTGGAGGAGGGGTAAAACAATAGATATGTGGTGGTGGAGGAGGGAAAAAACAATAGAAATGTGGTGGTGGAGGAGGGGTAAAACAATAGATATGTGGTGGTGGAGGAGGGAAAAACAATAGATATGTGGTGGTGGAGGAGGGTAAAACAATAGATATGTGGTGGTGGAGGAGGGAAAAAACAATAGATATGTGGTGGTGGAGGAGGGTAAAACAATAGATATGTGGTGGTGGAGGAAAAAAAACAATAGATATGTGGTGGTGGAGGAGGGTAAAACAATAGAAATGTGGTGGTGGAGGAGGGAAAAACAATAGATATGTGGTGGTGGAGGAGGGGTAAAACAATAGATATGTGGTGGTGGAGGAGGGAAAAACAATAGAAATGTGGTGGTGGAGGAGGGAAAAAACAATAGAAATGTGGTGGTGGAGGAGGGAAAAAACAATAGATATGTGGTGGTGGTGGAGGGAAAAACAATAGAAATGTGGTGGTGGTGGAGTGGAAAACAATAGATATGTGGTGGTGGAGGAGGAAAAAAAAACAATAGATATGTGGTGGTGGAGGAGGGTAAAACAATAGATATGTGGTGGTGGAGGAGGAGAAAAACAATAGAAATGTGGTGGTGGAGGAGGGTAAAACAATAGATATGTGGTGGTGGAGGAGGGGAAAAACAATAGAAATGTGGTGGTGGAGGAGGGAAAAACAATAGATATGTGGTGGTGGTGGAGGGGAAAAACAATAGAAATGTGGTGGTGGTGGGTGGAAAACAATAGATATGTGGTGGTGGAGGAGGGGAAAAACAATAGAAATGTGGTGGTGGAGGAGGGGAAAAACAATAGAAATGTGGTGGTGGTGGAGGGAAAAAACAATAGATATGTGGTGGTGGTGGAGGGGAAAAACAATAGAAATGTGGTGGTGGTGGAGGGGAAAAACAATAGAAATGTGGTGGTGGTGGAGGGGAAAAACAATAGAAATGTGGTGGTGGAGGAGGGGAAAAACAATAGAAATGTGGTGGTGGAGGAGGGAAAAAACAATAGAAATGTGGTGGTGGAGGAGGGGAAAAAATAGAAATGTGGTGGTGGTGGAGGGAAAAAACAATAGAAATGTGGTGGTGGTGGAGGGAAAAAACAATAGAAATGTGGTGGTGGAGGAGGGAAAAAACAATAGAAATGTGGTGGTGGTGGAGGGGAAAAACAATAGATATGTGGTGGTGGAGGAGGGAAAAAACAATAGATATGTGGTGGTGGAGGAGGGGTAAAACAATAGATATGTGGTGGTGGAGGAGGGAAAAACAATAGAAATGTGGTGGTGGAGGAGGGGAAAAACAATAGATATGTGGTGGTGGAGGAGGGGAAAAACAATAGAAATGTGGTGGTGGAGGAGGGAAAAAACAATAGATATGTGGTGGTGGTGGAGGGGAAAAACAATAGAAATGTGGTGGTGGAGGAGTGGAAAAACAATAGATATGTGGTGGTGGAGGAGGGAAAAAACAATAGATATGTGGTGGTGGAGGAGGGGTAAAACAATAGATATGTGGTGGTGGAGGAGGAGAAAAACAATAGAAATGTGGTGGTGGAGGAGGGGAAAAACAATAGAAATGTGGTGGTGGAGGAGGGAAAAAACAATAGATATGTGGTGGTGGTGGAGGGGAAAAACAATAGAAATGTGGTGGTGGTGGAGTGGAAAAACAATAGATATGTGGTGGTGGAGGAGGGAAAAAACAATAGATATGTGGTGGTGGAGGAGGGGTAAAACAATAGATATGTGGTGGTGGAGGAGGAGAAAAACAATAGAAATGTGGTGGTGGAGGAGGGGAAAAACAATAGATATGTGGTGGTGGAGGAGGGGAAAAACAATAGAAATGTGGTGGTGGAGGAGGGGAAAAACAATAGAAATGTGGTGGTGGAGGAGGGGAAAAACAATAGAAATGTGGTGGTGGTGGAGGGGAAAACGAATAGAAATGTGGTGTTGGTGGAGGGGAAAACGAATAGAAATGTGGTGGTGGTGGAGGGGAAAAACAATAGAAAATGTAGTTGTGGTCATGGTTAAGGGAATACACTAGAAATGTGGTGGTGTTGGAGGGGGAAAACTGTAGAAATGTGGTGGTGGTGGAGGGGGAAAACTGTAGAAATGTGGTGGTGGTGGAGGGGAAAAACAATAGAAATGTGGTGTTGGTGGAGGGGAAAACAGTAGAAATGTGGTGGTGGTGGAGGGGAAAAACAATAGATATGTGGTGGTGGAGGAGGGGTAAAACAATAGAAATGTGGTGGTGGAGGAGGGGTAAAACAATAGAAATGTGGTGGTGGAGGAGGGGTAAAACAATAGATATGTGGTGGTGGAGGAGGGGTAAAACAATAGATATGTGGTGGTGGTGGAGGGGAAAAACAATAGAAATGTGGTGTTGGTGGAGGGGAAAACGAATAGAAATGTGGTGGTGATGGTGGAGGGGAAAAACAATGGAAATGTGGTGGTGATGGTGGAGGGGAAAAACAATAGAAATGTGGTGGTGGTGGTGGAGGGGAAATACAATAGAAAATGTAGTTGTGGTCATGGTTAAGGGAATACACTAGAAATGTGTTGGTGGTGGAGGGGGAAAACTGTAGAAATGTGGTGGTGGTGGAGGGGAAAAACAGTAGAAATGTGGTGTTGGTGGAGGGGAAAACGAATAGAAATGTGGTGGTGATGGTGGAGGGGAAAAACAAGAGAAATGTGGTGGTGGTGGAGGGGAAAAACAGTAGAAATGTGGTGTTGGTGGAGGGGAAAACGAATAGAAATGTGGTGGTGATGGTGGAGGGGAAAAACAAGAGAAATGTGGTGGTGGTGGAGGGGAAAAACAGTAGAAATGTGGTGGTGGTGGAGGGGAAAACGAATAGAAATGTGGTGGTGATGGTGGAGGGGAAAAACAATGGAAATGTGGTGGTGATGGTGGAGGGGAAAAACAATAGAAATGTGGTGGTGGTGGTGGTGGAGGGGAAAAACAATAGAAAATGTAGTTGTGGTCATGGTTAAGCGAATACACTAGAAATGTGGTGGTGGTGGAGGGGGAAAACTGTAGAAATGTGGTGGTGGTGGAGGGGAAAAACAATAGAAATGTGGTGGTGGTGGAGGGGAAAACAGTAGAAATGTGGTGGTGGTGGAGGGGAAAACGAATAGAAATGTGGTGGTGATGGTGGAGGGGAAAAACAATAGAAATGTGGTGGTGATGGTGGAGGGGAAAAACAATAGAAATGTAGTTGTGGTCATGGTTAAGGGAATACAGTAGAAATGTGGTGGTGGTGGAGGAGGAAAACAGTAGAAATGTGGTGGTGGTGGTGGAGGGGAAAAACAATAGAAATGTAGTGGTGCTGGTGGTGGTAGTGGTGAAGGGAATACAATAGATTTGTGGTGGTGGTGGTGGTGGTGATGGTGGGCAATAAAATAGTCGTGGTTCATGTGACGTTGTCTTAATGACAAGCTTACGTATGACGTCATCAGCGTTAATGTATTCCCCTGCATATTAATGAGATTCTACCTTCTACCGCAAAAAGGTGTCATTCGGTCCTCACTATACTACTGATATTTTAAAAGCAAACTCGATGGGCCAGTTTCAAGTAAGTTTGAATTTGTACTTGACTCACACCCAGTCTATATCTCTTCCTCAGCTAATGACAATCATGAAATACAAGTTGCAGTTCTTTATATGGTCTTTCAAAGCTTTCGTCGTACTTATTCAATTATAATAGCATGGGAACGTGGGAATTAGTAATGCCAAGTTTGACGTGTTTTTCGATATTCGAGAGATTTATACGATTACGGCAAACGGCAAACGTCTGATTCAAGTTGAGAATTTCTCAAATTAGAAAATAAGCAGATAAAAGCAGTCTAAAACGATTCTTAGGGACAAAAGTAAACGAGGAACTGATATTTTTGGATGAACATTAGACGATGAATAAAGGAAAAACTTGGTCACGTGGTACAAATTGACGTGACTCTAAATCTCTCTATTGTCAAACGAGTTTTAAACGTCACACAGGGAGACAACAAACTTATCAGACTTACCAAACATGACAATGACTCTCACTAATATTTGAATGAATATATCAAAGGCTATTGTTCCTTTCTTGTTGTGATATCGCAGTATAATAGAGCTAAGCGCGTTGTTACTAAGCTGATAACCTGCAAGAAGAAAATAATTTGCGCTTTAAGGCAGAAGAACAAAATTGTTCAGAAAGTCAAGGGGCGAGCAAGTGCTAAAGGAAAGTCAGTCAGATTACAGGAAGTAAAACAACAACAACGTCGCTCAACGAGCCGAGCAGCTGCCTTCGACTACTCTGGAGTGAAAGAACTGCGGTTGTTTAATGCAGATTACCCTACAGCACATTTACGTCTAAAGAAATCCGTTCTTCCTGAAGCTTTATGGGCCGTCTCGCCATATGCATTATCTTTTCTACGGCTGACTTGAGTGCCGTCTTCAACTCTGTCATGGGGAGTTTGTGTTCCTCAAGACATTTTAAGGCTGGGTCCATGCTGATGATATATGCAGTTTTCGGGCAAGTAAGCGAATAATGCAAAAATAGATCTTTGGAAGTTTTTTTTAGAATACGAGGGCACTTTCCTGCGTGTCTTTAAAGTGAAAAATATCATGGGATCAATATATGTTATTACCTAAATGATTGAGAGCATCCCGTAGTTCATAGAGGTTCATATCTCCACTTTTGTCTTTGTCAAAACGATGGAAAGTTTCCTGATTCGTGAAAAAAATACGCTATTAGATTACACTGAACTTCAGTTCTTGCCATTTGTTGCTCCTGTTTGTAATGCTGAGGTAAGTATAGTATTATTTTCAAAATGGAAGAACTTGAAGGAAACTGCATGACCACCACTTGACTGGCAAGATTGGCGTTTTTCGAAGATTCTGTTGAGTCCTGTCTGTTTTCACCAATCAGACAACGATATCTAGTCAACAAGACAAGCACCCGAATATAGCTTCTGAGCACTTGCACTCCAGGTCTGCTCAGTTTATGAGAGTCCAAAAACCTTAAAATAACTGATATGTGCTCGTCCCAAATTTCTAAGGACTTAAGTGTTTCATGCAAGCAATTCCTTTCTCTGGCTTTTTCCCTTCAAATTAAATTTTTCTCTCGCATTTCAAACGATGCGAAAGAGTTCCTTCAAACATCTTACCTTCCACATCCCTAATATCGTCCACAGGCCTCTGAATTCACTGTATCCCAGGGCGCCTGTTTTATCTTTCTATTAACAAATGGCTAAGGTTTCAATTCACTCTCATCCTCTAATATATCGAGTACAATATATATATTTGAGACCCCTGACGGCGCAATCATCGTTGAAAGATCATGCAAGGACTTCGACTATTTAACAGCTTCTTTGAGTACCCAATGACTCTCAATCGAGAGGGATGTGGCTCGCTTCGCTTGCGCCTAATTTATCCCGGCCACGATCATCAGCATCTAAATGTGATCATAAAAGGTCCGAGAACTTCAAGCAGTATTAGGTTTGGCGTCATTTAACCTAAGGCCGATTCTAAAAAACGTTAGAGCATCGTTCGTTTTGCTTGCCTAACTTTAACTTGTCTTTGGCTTCTGTTACTCACGTAACTGTACCCTGGAAGTTGTAATTATTACACCTATAGGCGTTTTATAGGTTTCATAGGTTTTAGAACAAAATAACATATATTTATACGCATGGTATGTCCATCGTGCTACGAGCGTTGAACTGTCCGAGAACCCAACGGGTACTTGATGTGCTCAGTTTTTCCCCACATTAACTAGGTTTTTATGGTACTAAAGCAAGTTTTGACTTTAGACACTTGCAAATTTTTCTTCATTTTTACCAGTACTAAAGTCTGAAATCTCGTCTAAGAATAGGCGTTTTACTAGGAACGAAAATTGCTTCAACTACGTAAACTGGTGGTAAAGGATACGTCGAACATTGTAATCATACTCCTGTTAAGAAAAGGTCTCTTTGTCAATACAAATGAATTGAAAAAGACTATTAAGGGAATGAGTTCATGGAATTTATCTCATACGCCACTTGCACGTATCTCCCATAATGCACCTTATTTGCCCCCCAAAATTTTGCACAACCTTTGTTTTTCATTTCTCCTCGGTATTACAGCACGTCCCGAGAGAAATTGAAAATAATCCTTATGCAATTTTTTTCGGGGGTGGCGGGGGGAAGGGGCAAACAAGGTGCATTATGGGAGATGTGCAAGTAGCGTATGCTTACTCTTTGCATCCAGGGCCTAAAAGCGCGGGAAAAAGGAAGAGTGCTGGGCATTATGGGATGATTTCTTCATCTCACAACGCAGGGCGGCTTAGAAACAAGCAGTTACAACCTCAAACTCTATTTCCATAGAATGCATTCCCGCACCGGTTTCCTCATAATTGGATGCAAAATGTTGTTGTCCTGGAGCAAGGTCGTGCCCTACTCATTTTTAATTCCATTACGGGGCTTTGAATTACTTTAATGTTTACATGGCTAACGGCGTTTTTCCCCGAGTATTTTTCTTCATTAGGTATCTTAAAGTGTTTAGCCTGTTTTATGTATTTGGCTGGATTGTTACCTGCACGCTTCAAGGCTGAAGGCGTTTGAATTCAAGACTGAAATACAAAGAAAAATTTAAAGAAAAGTTAAAATGGAAGATAGAGATATTAACTTTTTTTAAAAAATCACAATTTCTATTTCAAATTAGTCTTTCATGATACCTTCACTGTTTCTCTAGTAAATATCAGCTATTTATTCATTGCCTTTGAAACGCTACACTCCCTCCAACAGTAATCAAGAAGTTTTCATTTGACGTTTTACTGTAACCTGCAGCTTCGCACATCCCAAAATGAACAACATATCCATGTTCTGGCAAGCGAAAGCGAATTTCTCAGTACTTACCACTTACAAACGCTTGGCTTAAAATTGCCTGAAGTTCATACTGGTCAATTTCTCCATCCTATGAACAGGGAAACAGCATGCAATTAATAAGAATTTTAAAAATATATGGTAGTGTAGTATCGAGCAGGCACTGAAACCTTGTCTCTAGACCTTCTCCTTAGGACAATGGGTAGAGCGCGGACGCGGATGCATGACCGGGAGTAATAAACAGTTGTTGCTATAATTCCAATGAACGTGTTATTCTATTTTTGTACACTCGAATGATTTCCACTTGTACGTAAATATATCGAATCTACACATTGTTTCTGACAATTTAAGCCAACGTAAAAAAGAAAGTGAAATATTTTCCCTCTACCAGTTCCTTGGGCTGTTTACAACTTATTTGGTTTGGTCATCATAACTGTAATAAGGGACGTGCTAAGCAAGGAAGTTATGAAAGAATTATTGCGTGAAACTTTATCCTTCTATCTCACCTCTCCTGCAAATTTTTGAAATGTAGTCCAGAACTGGCCATCAATATCTCCTGCTTCCTCTGACGAGACTGCTGGCTAGGAGGAGAGTTTGAAATTGCAGACAAGAGATAGTTTATAGTCTGTTTAAGTAGTGTTATTGAGTCAATTATTAACTAAATAACTTAACTGAATAGGATTTTCGCTTTGATTCCATCGAGAGTTAAGAATGATCTCGTCATACCACTTGAATACAGAGGTGCGTGGACACAATGTTGCACAAAAGGAAAAACGTTACTCCTGGGTCACAATTGAGGGCGTGGATTCATCATTCAACTTAGTTCTTGAAAAATTGCGGCGATCTATGAAATGTTGTGCTCTCTTGTGACCCTTGAATTTCAAGAGCATTAAGTCACGCATAAAGAAGAGAGAGAGTAGACGTTGTAACCTTTTAATTTTTTAACTTTTTAAACTCTTTTTAATGGGTTTAATTTTCAGGGTTCGGACACTTAGCAATGAAAGCCTCAAGGGCCGTTGGAAATTTGGCGGGAAAAAGTCGATTTAAACTGTGTATCAGGAGGTTCTGGGGGGGGGGGGGGGGGGTAAACGAGAAGAGAGAAGCAAAAAGGGGAGCCTTTCCCCCCCTCACTGCTAAACAAGCTTAAGGGAGGCCTAACACTAAAATGTACGGACTCTGACAAACCTTGGGAAGTCTCATCAATTTAGTCTCCACGTCAACTTCACTGAAAAAGTAATAAAAAAAGGAAAATGTTTTATCTGAAAGAGTTTAAAAGATCTTTTTTGCTCACTCAGATAATTTTGCTTCAGAAAGTCAACAGACTAACAACTATTCTCACAACTCTTCATGTTTCTTCTTATTTCTAAACACTCTTTTGATGAAGAGTCGTCTTTATGCTAAATAGGCTAGAACTAAAAACTGACGGCCCAAACTGACATCTCTATGGGCGATTAGCGCGGGAAAGGGAAACGTCGGTCGGGGAGGTGACAGTAACGGTTTCAAAACCCTTTACTATCTTTTTGAGTTAGTATGTTTATAAGTAACCTTTGCCACATTAGCAGAGACACAGTAACGTCAGGCCCTATACACATCTCCCAAAAGTTAATAGTTGCCTGAACTTTTGTTCTTTCACTTCTCCACTAGTCAATAGAACACGCTCTATCACTTCCTTACCCTGCCTCGTGTGGTTTTTCTGAAAATATCCTAAGAAGAAACTCCGATTCCTGACGCGGATAAAACGTGGACGGTACTATAACGTATTCTCCTTGTGGCAGCGAATAGCGGCAGCTTATCTCTCTCAGTTTAGTAAACGAGTTTGTCATCATTTGTGCCTTAGTGGTCTCAAAAAATCGTCGGCCGAAACGGTCTTTGGTGTCTCTTAGGTCACCAGGAACCTGGAAACAACAACAACACACACTTTATTGAAAGATAGTTAAAATTGAATAATACCTATCCAAAAATAGTTGAAAAAGAATCGATTAAAAAAATTGGCAAACCACATTTGAGAAAACCCTATTTTCCTAGAGAGTGTTTTTACCTTGTAAATTGCGAAACCAATTGGTGGTTTTTCTGTTGCCGGGGTTCTCTTTCGATCGATGCGCATAAGAGACACTACTATTGAACAGCGGTCTTCATCGTCGTCCTCATCCGGGTCCTGAAGCTGAATCCTGTTTAATAAAGCAAACATCTTTTTTTAACTTTCGAGAAACACTCACCTGCTTGTGCAGGTATCTTTGTTTTCACTCCTCCTTGACATTACTGGTGTATTCTCTTCTCTTATTACTCTCCTCTACCTTCAACCGCACACTTCTGTTTTTTTTTTCGTTTTCCACCACTGACCGTTTCACGACCAGCCAAAATTCTGTTGTTTTACTCCTAGTTCACACTGCTACCAATGTAAGACCGATACATTGGTTAATATGCGGCTGGTGACAGGCCGATTCCAAAAATTATGGAGGGCACGCAGATATTGGTCCAAGTTGGTGCCCGGCGATTCGCGCCGAGGTGATACCGATGTACTAAAATGTGGTGTTGGCGAGACATTAAAATTGCGGTAGCTGTGGTGTTGGAGGAGGAAATCAATTTTAGCCGTTTATTTGTGGAAGTGTTGCCAGTGGAGAGAACAATAAAAATATGGCGTAAGTGGTAACGATAGTCGTGTTGCTAGGAAACACTGAATAGAAAGGAAGCTGTTGTGGCGGACCGAGACAAACTAGAGACAGAACCTCAATAAAAAGGGTTTCTTTGGTCCATACAAAACTACTATGGTTTCTAAAAGTTCGAAAGAGATAAGCATTTTATGTGTCTGCTTTTTTGACAAGACAGGGTGCTTTTTCTTGCCTCCAAAACTCTTGTTATCGCGGATACTGCACGTGAGCTTAGTGAAGGTATAAAATTAAGATTCCTAACAAACGTAATGGACAATTACAAGTAAAGTTGCACGAGATTGTTATTACCTTATTTGCGGATTAATGTGGAAAGTCTCTATAAAGTTTCTACATCCACCAGCCGAAGCATCAGCCTGCCATCTACCCTTCTCTCGCTTGATCTTCCAGGATTTTCTCTCATCTGGTTCCAACACGCTATCCGGTGTAAGCATACAGATTTCGATTCGTGTAAAATTCGCCTGAAAATCTTCCATCGTCATCCTATGATTAAGAATGACGGTTTCAATTCCAAATCTTCAGTTCATTTATATTTTCTGTTCAATCGCAACATACTGTAATAAAAAATCTGTGTGGTAAACTTGGCGCGATTCGCTGTGAGTCGTACCCCTTCCAAGTAATTCATCAGGGGTTATATTCGCTAACTAGTTTTGTCCCTCAGCTCTTACCAAAATTCGCCGTCATCGTCAAAAACGAGGTTTAGCCTCTTACGCTCTTCTGGGGACAACAGATTCCACTCGTCAGACCTGGAGAAAAAAAGAATTATTGAAGAACGCAGCCTACATAGCAAGAGTTTCCGATCGAGAAGTTGCGCGAAAGCATTCTTTATTTTCCAGTCTACTATATTACACTCTGTTTACCCCCCCCCCCCCAAAAATGTATAAAGTGCTTTCAAATACTTTTCGGACGACAGCATATTCTCAAAAGCATTTGTTAACAACAACTTATGTAAAATTCGGGCAGGGGAAGGGAAAACAAGCAGAGTGTATTGTGCAGGATTCGAGAATAGTCATTGGCAATCGAGCAGTCCGTGACTCAGTGCTGTTTTCACTACACTTTAACAATCTAAACTATGATTGGCACCTGTCACTCCAAGCACCTTTCCACTCTGAGCTATTTCCATGAGGATTTCGGAGCCGAATTAGTTTTGCTTCGGGTATTCCACGAAATGGAGGTAAATTAACCTGGTATGGATAAAAAAGAAAAGAGTTGAAAGTTCATTAAAGAGTGAAATTTTAATGAAGGAAAAGAAAATGATTAGTAAAAAAACCCAGGATTTTTATTCATTTTTTACCAGCCTGTTTTCCATTCTTCCGAGACTTTAAAGCAACAAATTAAGAAAGATTAATATAATAAATGCTTCTATTGGTCAGAACGCTTCACTTTATAAGTAGCTGTTTGTTATTAAAGATGCAGAAAGCTTGGTCAAAAGAGCCTAGATGACCCTTCATTGATAGTCATCTTACCACTAATGTCGGTTAACCGGTCCTAGTGACGAGTCCCCAATCTCTCTAAAGACAAAAATTTGTGATTATTTGATTTAAGACTGTTTGTAATATTATGTTAGCACAGTTACCTTGGTCACCCCTGTAATAGAGTACGCGTGCCCAGTTATAAGGCCATTTGGTAGCGTTTTCTGAGTTTCTTGTGAACTTGTCTAAAAAGCAAAAAAAAAAAGATAAAAAAGTAATCACTCACCCATTACTCATTTTTCTACCACACCTTTATTGCTTTTTTTCCTGAAGAGTAACTGCGCATGCTCATACCTCAATTGAGGCTCCCATGAGAGAGTGCCTGTCATGTGCCTTCTGTAGTACTTTATATATGTCACGTGGAGGAGTTTTGAGGTTGATCATCTCAATGACACCACCAGTAAAGTCTTGTAAGGCTTCACTAATGTGTCCTAAACCCATGGCTTCATATGATCCACAAATTCTGCAGCAACAAGTAGAGAGAAAGATAGCCTTTAGTAAAAACGCTAAAGAATCAGTTAGCAGCTGAAAATCAATCAGGATTTGAAGTGGTGTCTTTCTTTAATATAACTCAAGTGGATAATTTGCCTTAATTGGAGCAAGACATAAACAGAAAGTGTGTAGACTCCAAGTACGTTTTAGGATTTCTACGTAGTATTGTCCTCGCAGCCAGGTTTTTCTTTTGCCATTTCCATTTTCACTTCGCCTGGTTGATGCATTGAAGTTTAAATGCTGTTTCTGAACTTGAAAAATGGAGTGAAAGTGGAAAAATCAGTAAAAGGTGTTACCCGTGTGCACCCCGGCACAAGCGCCACCTTTTCACGCAAACAGAAAGCACAGGGCGGGAAGAAAGCAAACCGGGTGCAGTGCAACCTTCCCTTGACGCAACGAGCTCCGCTTATGAGCAAAAAGGGACGCCTGGTGACAAGAAAGGACCTGTCTTGTGTTGGGTGAAATTGATATCCTTAAAAAGACTTTATTTAGGTCGCTGCCTACCCGTGATACACTTACTTAGCATATGCCTTTTCTAGTAAAGGGCTCCAAAACTCCTCAGGATCACTGGAACGAGCAAAATACAGCTTCCCGTTATGCGTTGGAAGGTAATCGTCTATGATGACCTCAACCCACTCACCAAATCGCCAAAAATTGAACCTGAACATACCGCAGTAATTTCCAGGATCAAAGCTTTGATCAGGTGGACAAACGGCGTAAAAAAGCTCCTCTGAGTCGGTTAAGGATGCCACAGCTGCCACGAACCAGCAATTCAACATTCTCCCCTGGGCTATGTCTGTGCGGCTCACTCCTTTGCTGAAGAATTTGGGTGTTGTTTTGCAAATGTCCTAAAATATCAAGGCACCATTTTTCAATGCATATGGATTCTTAAAATAATCTTGCACTTAATGTACAGTTGTTGGCTATACAAAAGTTGCAAACGACAAATATTGAGATCTTGCGAGTCATGTATACCAGAATGCGCATGCCCAGCGAATAATTGAAGAAGGACGGAGAGTTAAAGTGGAACTTATGTTTTGTAAAGAGGAGATACTTGCTCAGCATAGTGACGACAAATGACAAATGCAGAACGCTATAGTTGGTGTGTGTGCAGCCAGATCAGAAGGTAAGCAGATTTACCATGTTAGCAGAGACTTCATTCCGGCACGGTTTTTTAACTTTCTCGAAGTCGTTCGCGTCGTTGATATTCCCGTAGTTAGTTTAGGCGAATAACAGCGACGCGAACGACATCGTAAATGCCAAAAACCATGACGGAAAGAAACCTTTGCTAGCATGGTATAATGTTTAATAAGTTTTCCTGAGTTTTCTGCTCCTTCCTCTGTCCTTCCTTTCTCTAGTGCATGTATTTTTACTTGACTCTACACAGCTTAATTGCAAGGCAACCTGAAATTTTCAAACGAATATGCCATTTCTGAGTTCCAAAAACTATCACTTTGAAAACGAGGCTTCGCTTTTAGCCTCGCTTTGATACAGAGGCTTGAAAAAACTCGAAAATGGTCTGCCTCTGAATATCTCCCTCAACGCATGCGTAAAGTCCAACTTACCTTTGGTCTCTTCCATTGAAGTGGAACAGATGGTCGTGTCTTGGTGAAAAGACTGCGAAAAATAGGCGGGAAATCTCTGTCTTCATACAAAGTACCTTTTCTCAGAAGCTCTCGCTGAAGGATCAGACACTTTTCTTGGGGTTGTGCTCGTCTTAAGGACATTGCTTATTAAGCGCGGCACATATCAGTATGATCCAATACCTAGATGTGGAGAATATTGAAAGATTCTGAGATCATAAGAGGTCAAACACGCTCGGCATGTTTTCAACAAATAGGAATGAATGATTGCGTTTATCAAGCTGGTATCCATTTATCTTATTTCCAAACTCAGCTCTTGAATCTAAAATTTACCTGCAAAGTCTTTGAACCAATTGAATTTGGTGGCACAACAACATCCTCAAAACTTTAACATTACATCTCCGATGCTAGCGTTTTTGCAGGTGGTTACAAAGGGTCCTCAAGCGAAAATAACGAACAAACAATGTAGAGTGAGTATTATTATTCACTGCACAATAATCTGAAGCAACAGTGATAACATACCATAGAGGCATTCTATATTAAGTTGAGTTTCTTGACATAATTTGCTTGCACAACTTTTAAAACATTTATTGTCTACTTCAAAACTTAGTTTTTCAGTATTTCTTAGCTCTAGATACTTTCTTTCCAACATCAAAAGTTTTAAGCAAAGGCCTGAGAGCAGAGGTTGTCAAGGCAAATTAATTGCCTATTATTTTAAGTACCGAATTCTCCGCATTCAAGGGTATAATTTATACAAATTCGTTAAATTCGTTCTCACCACATGATTCAAAGATTACCTTCATATAAGCCCATTCTAGGGACGTGCGATGCATACTAGCACGAAAGAATCTTGACTTAGACAATTTCCACAATTTTAGAGGAAATATTATGTTATCCATCTTTCATACAAATGTTAGTCAGGAAAAATTCGCGGAAGTATCTGAAGTAACGACTTACAACCTTGCTCCAGTGTCAATTATATGCACAGTTGGTATTAGACTGGCCCCGAGTTCAGAATGTAGTTTTAAACAGCTTTGGCCATGGCTTTGGTTCTAGATACTGTAGAGATAACCTACTGTTACTTAAAAAACCGTGAGTTGGTGAATGTTGTTCTATCTTCCTGCCCCCTGGCTAGTAGATTAGCAAAATTTACGGCAAACGGTAGAAGAATCTGACCGTAATAATGCTAGCCCAGGAATGGTTCGCTTTACGTGATCAAAACTATATAGTGAATACTATTTTGAAAATAAGCTTTCTGCCAGTTTTCTGAGGACTGAACAGTTCCGGTTGAGGCAAACTTACTCCAACTATTTGAGCAGTAATCTGATTAATTTGTACTATTATTGAAGCTCTAACAATTTGGAATACTGCTGATTCGAACGCCAACTGTGCGACTTAATAAAGCTCGCACGCGAGCCATTGTTGAGCAATGAACTGAATTACAAAAAGGGCAAAGCATAGATATCACTTAGCTATCAGTGAAACAGAGCTGACATGGAAGCATACTTATTCATGACATAATACTGCACTTAATACCAATACCACGTGGATCAAAATACAACGCTTGCAAATATCTGCTAATAAACCCGAACTTCTCTCTATTGTACAGCACAATTTACTGGGTACAACACCTTAGTTCAGTACGACTTGTGTGTCAATATACACACTTGGAACGTCTCTCGATCATGTTTGCAGAGAGTTAATTTAAGATGGCCTGCGTTGTTCAAAACACACATTTCTTAAATTGAGTGCCTCAATAGCATTCAAATGGCAGCTTACCTCAAGCTACAGCTATGTATTCACAGTCCTCGAAACGCGAAGAAACTATCTCGCGGATATCATGTAAATTAGCTTGGCACAGTGATTCATGTTTTTATGCCTCCAAGCCCACATTAGACGTAAAACAAATAATGCAGTCTCTTGATGCGTTTAAAATTCAGTTGTCATTTCTGTCATTTCTGATTCTATCAGCATCAGGTACACATGCACTGTACCTCCGTTCCTTCATCTATGGTTGAATTAGTTTAAGATCGATTGCATATTATTCACGGCGGCATTCTTATTGAAATCAGTGTTCCGAAAAGGGAGTTGATGTTTCGATCAAAGCGTGAAGCACGCTGTGGAATATTCAAAACTAAACTAAAGAAAACAAATTCTATTTGTATTAATCCGTTAATTTTTGTTTCGGTTGAGCGGTTTAAAGTTTTGTTCATCTCGGCAGGTGCTTTGAACAACTTTGTGTTTTATTGAATAACTGGTGCTATTTCTGTCACTTATATCGGATTTGTTTTTATTCTGCAATAATTTTAGCATTTAAATTAACCGTCTTTCACGACTTTGCGAAACCGCGTCTCGCCCACAGACGCTTGCCGGCGCAGTTTAACCAACAGACCGTCTGTTTGCAGTGTACAGGGCGTAGAGGAGTTTGATGCGCCATTAACACCTAAAAATAATGTTTTTTAACTCTGTTTTGCTTCGTTTAGCAAGCTCAAAACCTGCACAGTGTATTTCGACGTTTTACGACCTCAAATCTTCAGTAAGACTATTCTGCGCCTGCGCCTTTCATCGGTGAGTGACTGCAGGCTCATAAAACCACCAAGGTGCGCGCCCTCCTTTTAAAACGCCCTTACTGATATATGCAAATCACCATATGTTGTAATTCTAACAACCTTTGTGCTTCAACTACGAAGTGAATGTTTGGGCTGAAAATTTCCACTAAATTTAAGACAAAAATAGAGGGACGGTTTGGAAGAAAATTTCAGAATCAAATACAGCGTCTAAATATTGATAACTTTATTGATCAAACTCCTGATATACCTCTTACAATTTACGCCTTGCGTTAAGATTTAAGCCACTGGCCCTAAGCTACTAACACTGCAACAAGACAGCAGGAGAGTGATTGAGAAATTACATGCTTTTAAGAACTTCAAGTTGTTTCCAGTCACTTGTCATTAAAAATTAAAACATCGCACAAAAGACGTGTTACCATGAAAACGTAACTCTCTTTGCAAACGTTCATATCAAATCGTTTCATTTTTCTCTTTCATTCAACGCCTTTCTATCAGGTTAGTTTTAAAAAATTTTGCACTCCAGAATTAAGATAGTAAATTAGGGTTAAACCTTGTTCTTGGTTCAATATTTTCTTCTTTACATGATTCGTCAACCGTTGTTATTGTGCACACAGGTACGAATAAAGATAAGTAAATATTAAACTAAATTAAAAAGTTGTCAAATTAAACTGAAATACATAAATACAACTAGTATTATTGTAGGTAAGCTCGATTTCCATCAGTGTTGTTGTACTAATTAAAATCAGTCTTCTGTTATCAATATATTTCGGTACTTGGTAAACTGAATGGACAAAAAAGGAGATAAACAAAACAGAAACACTTAACCAAGAAGAGTTTGCATAAAAGGAAATACACTAACAGTAGTCTGACGTTGTTAAAAATTTGCTATCATAGAACACAATAAAAAAAATAAGAAAAACTGCTTGCAATTTGGGCTGACGGAAAGTGGATTAAAAATTGTAATTAATAATAAATACATTATATAAACACCGCCAGAGGTCATCCTAGAGTAAGCCTAGTAGGCTTTGTAAAGAACTCCTGTTCTATGATACATGTAGTTACGTATGCACTGTAACAATTTAAGATTTTGGGACAAATAAACATAAAAAATCGACCATTAAGGCTAGATGGGGAACTCTTTCAAGAGACGCAAGAAGGCGAAACACACCCTTTTAAAAATGAAATATTTAGTATTGAACTGAGTTAATGCAAACGCGCGATTACGTATAACTAAACCTAATTCAGTAGTGTTTCCTTTCCGAGATGTGGCTATATTCCTAGCACGTTAATGAACGGCTTTTATTTCACTGAGTTTTTAGGACAGTTTCATTAAGAAGATTAATCGAGGATTACCTTGTGCTTTAACCTTTCACGGTCTAAATATGCATATGGCACAACTGGATGGTGACGGGTGACATTTATACAGTAAGTTGACGATTTCAAAGTGTATTTAGCTAAGTTTTCTTTATGCTCTTCGAATATGATGCAGTTTTGATAAGCAGTCGGCACTTCACGTTGGATTTCCTCAATAAAGCTTCGCCATCTCGCATCAAAATGTTCAGTAGAACGAGGATATTCGCGATGTTTCGGGTTTCCAACAGTCACGGCTGCAAACAGAAGTGCTTGGCCGCGGAATTTCAACCCAAGAACGGCCATGATATGCAAAGCTGACACCCACCAACTTTCCTTTTCATACTTGTTGTTGTATGGCAAAATATGAGCGACAGCCTTATGGTGGAAAGCATGGAAAAGAGCATCGAACCAAACCACTGGCATCACTAGTGATGTGTCGTGAATTCCACACAACCGTCTTCTTCTTTGTAAAGTCCACTCGGCACCATGATGCACTGCATAGTCTAAAACACCAAGCACTGGTTCATAATCTAAAAGCCAGTCTTGCACGACTCGTAGCGGTTGAGTTTTTCTCAAATCAGGCGGAGTCATTTTATTAAAGCTAAAAGTGACGTCATCATCTAAAAATATGTAATAACGGTAGGGTAGCCTTCTGTTTAAGGCCGTAAAGTAGAGCACATTTCGTCCTGATCCCCAGGTGGTTTGTGGATAAAATATGTAGGATGTATGAGATGCAATTATTGATTTGTTGCACTTCGCTTGAAAGCTCAACACGATGATGTCACAATTGCAATTTTGAGCCACATCAATCGATTCTGCAAGGTGTGAAGGAAGACATTGTTCCGTTTGTACAAGGTAAACAAATTGCTTCTGAATCACACCTAACGAATCCGCCTTTGATCCTTTCTCGTATACTGCTAGAAGTTCTTTGCCAAAACCCTTTCTACTGTAAAGGGTAGTGTGCATATATATAAGATTGCTTGCAATAAGAGTACATCCCACCAAGACGACATATGTGAAACATCGGAAGGAAAACATGGCTGTTTCTTGTACTCGTCATTAGCAACTGCATGAATTGAAATTTCAGGAGGCAGCGTTTCCACGAAAACGTGTTTTGGTTTAAAAAAACTTCATGTTCTAGAAGGCAAGCAAGGCTCTGTAAACAAATCATTTCAAGACATTTACTTGTCAAAGAAAAAGATAAAATTTCATGTGATTTAACTTTCATTTTCATTGAGGTATAATACATCAGTTAATTGAAACTCCGGCCCCACGACCCCCGCGACTTGGCAGGGAATTTAACATTGGCCGCATGTTAAAACTCCGCTAATTTCCAGGCTCCCCGGGGCAAACAGTTTATTAAAAGTCCTGTATAACAGGGCATTAGTAGTTCATAAACAATAGACGCGATTCAGTTCGGACTTACATTGTTTGCCGTTGCTGTACTTGTTCCTAAATTCAACCAATTTTCAGCTATACTCACCAACTGCAGTGAAATTGGACCTCTTTAAATGAGCTACATTCAAATTCGATCATATGGTGTACGTTAATCAGGCCGAGGATCGCTAGGAAAAGATCAGGGTCAGAATATCACCCTTAAGACCTGGACAGTGACTTACGGTTTTGTGACATTGCCATGGAACTGCTTACATGCTTGCATGCATGGCGGCAGATCATGGGACAGAAACGACATAATTTATGCGTACATGTCCACGTAAAAAAGGCAATGTTTTCAAAGAAACATTTCTCTAGCCAGTGAAATATGAGATGACCTTCCTACCGTGGGAAAACAAGAAATAAATGTTTGTCCGAATGTTTCAATATTCGCGAAGCTGTATTCGTTGTCGCAAAATTGCATCCGCTGTCGCTAAAACTCATTCGCTACCGCTTGCTGTGAATGGCAAAGATTTCCTTTGAAATTTTGTCCCTTGTCTAGAAAAAATCAAGTTTCAGTTCGGTCAAGAAAACTAAAGGTTCTTTCCATTTGAAATGAAAATGAAATATGCTTTGGCCAATCATTATACGTTTCTGGGAAACTGCCCAGCTACTCCTCCCCTAAGCCAACATAAACACTTATTTCTCAATTAGGGCAAAAAGTTACCTTAGGGGATGGGTAAGTGGGAAGTGTCCTCCAGAAAAGTATAATGACCATTTCCTTCTTGCATACCATTTAGAATTTGACTGAACTGGCCGGATAGATTTGATTGCAAGTGAAATTCGTATTAAGGCGGGAATGGTATAGCCGGTCAGTTCTGAAGCGGAATAGAAAGCGCCTTAGTTAATAAGAGCCCTTCCGTTTACGTCGAAGTGTTACAAAGGCGTTTGCGTACCAAAGAAGATACTCACTATACTCAATAGAGCGTATTCACATGACGTCCATATTGGTGTTCCAAAACAATGAAACGACGCCCATTTTGGTGTACCAAGACAACCCTGTGGGAATTTAACTCTTTTCTTATGTAAAAACTTTCTTTTGCTCGTATAAATTAGCACAGAGGCATGCCACGTGAGTGAATACGCTCCGTAATCTGTTCATTTTGTCCTTCGGCAGCATAATTAAAAAGCATAAAACTATTCTAGTGAGACCTTAAACTGCTGTTTAAAAAAAGTAAACAGCAAAACGGTTTTATATATTTTTTTTCACTGTACTCATCTTTCCACGATCCTGGGCAATGATGAAACAATGCTGGGTGCCCTTAAATAAGTTTATTTCTGTTTTCATTAACTCATTGTATACATTAACTGTAACTAGAGACCTAAAACTGAATAACTTGGAACTAATATACTTCCCCGAGATGGATAGCCTTCTTTAATTTTTCTAACCTAGCAGGCTATTTTTTTGATATTCCTTTGATGTCTAAGATTTTAGCGTTATGGAGCACAGCGCCCATTTTCCAATCCAGATCAAACCCGTTCAGTGAATTAGCGATCCTGATTTTCTTCCCAGGTTTCAGCCTGTAGCCTTCGGTTAACAACTCGTAAATATAGTTGGCACCAAAACACTGGCTTTTGCTATAAGGGCTCTCGTTTATCTCATCGTAATTTTTTCCACAAAATGATTTCAAGTGTCTCTTGATTTTCTTTGGGTTGACGAAATTGTTTTGGCAATCAGAACAGACAGCGTTTATGTCTGTTAAAACATAATATAACGCTGAAAATCCATAGAATTTGCCTCTTAATCTAGGTTGGTTAGAGAAAGGACACTTCTTCAAATCTAACGAACGACAAAAAAATAAATTACGGATTATATCCTCACAGATCTCAACCTGAGCTGTGCCTTCAAAAACACGTGCCTGGCCATTAAATTCCAGTGATTCCTTGAAACCTTTATTATGACAGGGACTTTTGACGGCACATTCTGCATTTTCAGGACAATCGCTTTTTTTGACAATGGATTCTAAATAGCGTTCCTTTGCCTCATCCTGGCCATAACCTAAATAACTACGAGCAAAAACGTTATAGTTTTTTCCTGCCACTGAAATAGAAAACGTTTCAGGGTTCTTTCTCCTTTTCAAATTCCAAGCATTTTGGTGCGATGCCCCTCCCAAATCTAAACTACCATAAGAGGCTTGATTTGTGCCAAAAATGCCCGTCAAAAAATTAACAGTTATCCAAGAATAAATTCCTTCCGCCGTTCCAGAAATGATTCTAACATCTACATCTTCTTGGAATAAAAATGGACATTTAGCTTTATCATGAAACAATTTTCTAACTTCATCTAATATGGCGTTTGCTTGATCTGTAGGAACGAGCCTCATTCCAGCTGTAGCCAGCAAATATATTGGAGTTGACGATTGCTTGTCTTGCGGAATGGTCTTCTTGGCTGACTCCAATAGTGGCATCATGTAGGCTTCGACTCGTGAAGGGTCATCAGCAAGCTCTGAAATTCCAGGTTTTATTTTGCTGAGGGAAGGATCAAGCTCTTTCACGTCAGAAGGTTTTAAGGATGGTCCGCTGTCCAGGAACTGGTAGATTGACATACGGGTTCCACTGGAACCTGCGTCAAACAGTATGACGTATTCAGTATGGCCAGTTTGATGTTGTGCTGTCACAGTGACATACAGGAGTGCAATAACCAGACCAACCAGTATAAAATCTCTCATCCTGTTGTATAACCTGCAAAAAATATATATCTGATATTGAATTTGGTGCCGTAAAATTATACAAACGCCGACCTTCCGAGTGTTAACCTGTCGTCAGAGCCTCGGGGGGAGGGAGAGGGAGGTTGCTTATGCGTGGGAAGTTTGGATAGGGGTATGACGTTAATGCCTTCAAGACCCTGAGCCTGTCTGAGACAAAACCATTCGTTTCGCTAAGAGGTTTAAGACAAGAGATTATTTTTCAGGACGCTAAATCTTTTCATTTTCCGTCTGTCGCTACTGAAACCAGTCTTTAGAAAAGATAAAACAAACTGGCATCAGATAAGGTAGAAAATGCTGCCGTGGGCATACAATATACTACATTCTTGAAGCCATGAGGCAAAAAAAAAGCGCGATAGACGCGTAATATACCTCGTTCTTGGAGTCATGAAGCAAAACAAACGGGCCTCATATATAATATACCTCGTTCTGGAAACAGTGGGACTAAACAAGCGTGCCAATCATATAACAATAGGGCAAAATAGTTGCGCTACAAATGCAATGTGCCTATTGTACCAAATTGTTGAAGGAATGAGGCGAAACAAGCGTGCTACGCAGTCATGTAACATACCTTGTTCTTAAAGTGATGAGGCAAAACAAGTGCGCTACATATGTAATATACCTAATATACTTCTTACGTGAAGCCATGAGGCAAAACAAGCGCGCTACACTCATAACATGCCTCGTTCTTGAAACCATGAGGCAAATAAATAGCGCCACACTTGTGATTTACATTTCTCTTTAGGTGGCGAGGTGAAACAATTGTTAAGCTCCCTGCTCGAGTAATATAACTCGTTCTTGCAGTCACTCTGAGGTAAAACAACCGCGCTACACTTATACTGACCTTTTAATATCAGTCGGAAAAATCGAGTAGACTCACGCTCGCTCTTTGAGCCGTGACGCGAAAAGCTGCTAAAAAAGCGCCTTTTTGGCTTTTTTCGTCATTTTTCTCAAGGTTTTTTTATCCTTGTTTTGCAGCGCACTTAGAAATTCTTGATTTTATCACACAGACTATCCAGTCATCCAGCACTGCTTCAAAATAAGAGCTTTTAGCATCCGCAATGAGAATCGTTTTAAAGCAGGCACCCTTTCGTACGCCATCTTTATTATCATTTACACTGGCACAAATGACATGAAAATGACACAAAACCCTTCTAGTAGACGTCTCCTATTTTCTTTGTTGTGCGTCCAAAAAAACAAAGGAAATAAGATACGTATGCACGTAGACAAAACAGTCTACACTGTCATCTTGTACGAATGAGGAATGCACAGCTCAACTGATGATTGAATTTGCTGTACAGGAATCAGAAATATCCTTCTTCGAAAGCACTGATCTCTCAATTAGCACGAAACGATGACAAAGTTTCTCTTTGCTCACAGATTTATAAGAAACTAAGCTCACTAATTTTTACTGGTAAACAAAAATAATATCATTCAAGACTTCTTTGACACCAAGCACATATCCAAAGGAAAAAGATTGGCCTCTAGAATCTGATCTGAAAGACTATATCAAACAAAATGATTATATTGAGCCTTTGAAAAACACCTCATTTTTTATCAAACAACGCGATGTTTCATTATTTAGCCTTTTCCCATCGTAGCAATGCAAAATGGGGGTCAAAGTTAAAAATGAAGAAAAAGAAAAAAAAAGGAAGAGCGGGAGAGGAGGGAGGGGAGGGAGGAGAAGATTCTTTCGCCCTCTCGCTACCCCCACGTCTGGAACGTTCTAATCAGGGTGATATTTTGTAACATAACTTTGATCCCAATACATTCAGAAAAGTATGTTGTCTCATTGGGGTGTGCAATTCAACCGAAAGATTTTAACGCTATAACTGGAGTGCCAAAAAAAATAATCATCATCATCATAAATAGTTTACGACGATTGTAAAGTCTTCCGCGGTGGATGACTTCCCTATCCCTTCAGACTGCACTGCACTGGTCTTGCTGTTGAAGTTGTTGTTGTTACGTGTTTTGTCAACGGGTAAAAAAACGCATGAGCTGTAGGAATTTTAAAACGGATGGAAGTGAAGTAGCCTGTTTCAGGCTCTAAGATAGTAATATGCAGAAATCGAGAAATTTCGACACTCTTTTGTATTCACAGGTTTTTCTTTTCGGTTAAGCGTAACAGGCTTACTTACATAACTTGCCTTGCATTAGTTAATCGAGATGAAAAATAAAAAATTTGAATAGCACCAACTATATTATACAGCGCGGACCAGAAAACCCCTTGGAGTAAATATGTAGTCATATCTACTGCGTAGATATGATAGAAAAGCCCACAGAGACACTGCAGCGAGGTTTTGTTCGAGATTACATACACGACTATAAAATTTCAAACCAAGTTAATTCGGCCAGTTCAAGCTTAAAGTGTTGGTCAGCAACAAAACCAAATGAACGTTCTGGAAATAACTAAATGCTGACGGGAAATCCCGTTTTCTTCTTCCTATTCTTAACCGTCCAAACAAGAAGTCACTAACATCTGCAAATCAAAATGTTCTCTGTAGGAATCGTAAAACTTTGTGAAAAACCTCAAAGACCAGGAGGCCTCTTTAAAGGAAAGAAAACGAAGTGAAAGGTCAACAGGGCGCTTACCTTGGTGCCGCAATATGTCACTTGCAATGGAGAGTTCTACTTCCGTTCAGGAACGACTCGCCAACTAAGTGATGAGGTTGTTTCAGAAACTTAGCCTTAAGAGAGTTTTTGGGACAGACCAGCCTCTTTAAAAAAGCTTTCCCCACTGACACGTAGGCATTCACTGGTAATTACACAGCACAGGAAAAGGTAGTAGAATTAAACAAAAGATTGTCTGGTCCATAAATTGGCTCGAGGTTAATGAATCTTTCGCGCCATGTTTTTTACACCTTTTTTAAACCTCTAATTTTAAAAAGAGAAAGATGATTCACAGGCCGCTGGAAGAATACGTCCTGACACTCCAAACAGGAGTTGAACCTAACCTTTTTGGTTACTATTCCAGATGCTCTACCACTCAGCTACAAGAGACTTGTCGGGGAACTGAGGCCACTAAGCTACTGTAGATTCACGTGACAGACATATCCTGCATACTACAAGGACTAATAGTAATAGTAGTATATTCTTCTGAAAGTTCTTTTTTAGCCAAAAGCCCTTTTATATTCATAAAAATACGATTATGAGTAATAAGAGTACATCCAAACAAGACAGCATAGGCAAAATATCTGCACAAAAAGAAACGTTCATTGTTTCGGAGTTCTCACCCCGGGGGGGAACTCCCATATAAACGTGACAGGGATGCTCGTCGTCTCGCTTAGGGGTATAAATTGTAGGTTTATGCTTAAGCCATGCCCACATTGGTCTCCTTTAGGGGTTTAATTTTAATTTTTCGACGAAAACATGGGAGTCCCTCTGGTTCACCCTTTGAAGATCACAGAAGGGGTGTTTTCATGGAAACGTAATTTTTCGTTTGCAAATGTTCTTAAAGAATTGTAAGCCAACCATATTCCAGCCATTTTTAACAGGTGTTCTCTAAAGCATCCACCATGATTATTTTTGTGTTGTCTTTTCAATTCATATATAAACGCCTGTTACTATTTGAGAGACAATTTTGGCTGTTTATTATTATAATTATAATGGTTTTAAATTGGTTTACTTTCGGACGTGTACGTAACTCAGAAAAAAAAGTTAAGAGTGAATTTTGCAAATGGGGGTCGATTTCTTACCGACAAACCTGTGAATAACAGTTTAACTTCACATTTCGTTTATCTTGTTCACACGTGCAAGCGTGCTAAGGTCAAAGACTCGAACCCTGGCCACACGAGGTACGTTGAAACACTACCGCGGCAACCTGTCCCCTTGAACAAACATGAGAAAATTTGATATTTTCAGGCAACAATGCTCTTTTCAGATCACGTTTAATTAAAGCAGGTAAGAATGAAAGTAAGTCAATGGAAAAGATCAGGACATAAGTACTTCAATTTAATATATGACCCTGAATTGAATTACATGTTGTTGCTATTGGAATAAGAGAAATGGATGGTGTTTCAACAATAGATGAGACCCTCCCACCTTACTGGTAGATGTCATATTAAGACTAGTACATATCAGGAAAAGATATAGAAAACTTTTAATTCGTGCTCTGTAGGGTCTTAAACATGCAGCTATAGACTACGCAGTTATATTCCTAGAAGAAGTCTAAGCAAAAAGAAACAAAAGCAAACAATCAAACAAAACAAAAAACAAAAATTCGGTGTGAAGCATATGTTGTATATTGGATAGCCACCAAGGCAACCTACCTTATTGAAGAAATATGAGTAAATTGGATACTCTCAGGTACCAGGACTCTATTTACATAAAACACGTATTTTTTTTTCTGCTGGATTTAACCAGGACTTAACCTTTTATCGTAAGTTACCAGGATATCACATTTTTCTTCGTTTTTAACCAGTATTTCTACTTTAACGTGCTTTTTAAACCACATTCATAGCAATGTCAAACGTTTCTTACTTAAACTAAACTATGCAATTTAAATAACAAAAGAGGGAACATTTAATTTGTGGTTCTAAGGAGTCTGTTGAGGTGAATATATGTTACAAGTTTTTTCTGTAACCAGGTACTGTATTTCCAATCGGCCCATTTTTAAGTTGCTCCTTACCACGGCCGCCACGGCCAGCTTGCGAGAAAGAATATACTGGACTGGACTATGAAACAGTTGGTGGACGGACATCTTGATATGCCACCTGACATCACTCCACATAGAACTGCAGTGCGATCTCGCCATAAATTTAATAACGGACAGAATTGTGGTTAAATCGCTTGAAATATCCGTTCTTCTGTTGTTAACGCTTTTTGGAACACTTGAACTGAACTTAACGTCTTGTGAATATAAAAATATACATTTTTATCTCTAAATGTTTTATAGTTTTTAAATTTTTTATTCAGATGTTAATTTTCACTAACCAAAAGTTTCAGCCTTTCAGTCGGGTTAATGAAACTAAAGTACGCGCCCCTTAAATAGGCTCCCTCCCCTTTCTGCAAAGTTTTTGTAAAAGGGGCGTTTGTTGAATGGCCTACGAGCACCCCAGAGAACTTGTTGAACAAAATCGAATCCGTTTTCTCACGATAATGGGACTGAAGAAAAAAATATATCAAATGATTAAACAATGTTGGGTGCCCTTAGCAGATAAGTTTATTTCTGTTTCATCGACTCTTTTACATAAACTCAGTTTAGACACAGAACAGACAGAACGGAATAAATTAAAACTAATACATTTCTCTACTGTCTGTGGACGTCCTTAGATTTTCTATCCGAGAAAGCTATTTTTTTGATATGCCTTTAATTTTTAAGATTCTAGCGTTATGGAGCACAGCGCCCATTTTCCAATCCAGGTCAAACCCGTTCAGTGAATTAGCGATCCTGATTTTCTTTTTAAGACTCAACCTGTAGCCGGCGGTTAACAACTCATAAATATAGTTAGCACTAAAACACCTATCCCTGCAATAACGGTTCTTGTTTATTTCATCGTAATTTTCGCCACAATGTGATTTCAGATGTACGTCAATTTTCCCTGGGGTGACGAAATTGTTTTGGCAATGAGAACAAACAGCGTTAATATCTGTTAAAGCATAATATAACGCTGAAAACCCATAGAATTTGCCTCTTAAGTTGGGTTGGTTAGAGAAAGGACACTTCTTTCACACATTTAGCCTTATCGTGAAACAGTTTTCTAACTTCATCTAATATGGCGTTTGCTTGATCTGTAGGAACGAGCCTCATTCCAGCTGTAGCCAGCAAATATATTGGAGTTGACGATTGCTTGTCTTGTGGAATGGTCTTCTGGGCTGACTCCAATAGTGGCATCATGTAGGCTTCGACTTCAGACGGGTCGTCAGCAAGCTCTGAAATACCACGTTTTATTTTGCTAGGGGAAGGATCAAGCTCTTTCGCATCAGAGGTTTTTAAGGATTTTCCGCTTTCCGGGAACTGGTAGATTGACATACGGGTTCCACTGGAACCTGCGTCAAACAGTATGACGTATTCATCCTGTTGTTCACTTTTATGTTTTGCGTTCACAGTAAAGCAGAGGAGAGCAAAAACCAGAGCAAAAACTATCAAATCTTTCATCTCGTTGTATAATCTGCAAAAATTTATATCAGCCCTTGAAGAGAGTGTTTATCAGGGTCATAAGCAGCTTGAAGAAAATCATGAATTCTCCTGACAAATGTGAAAGCCAATTAGCCTTTATTACGTGTACTCCGCGTTAGTGTTGTTCTTTAAATTGCCAGGTTCAATTCATCACACATTGCCGAATTTTACTGTAATACTCGAATTTGATGCTTCTTCATCAGTAGTAATGCAGAATCGATAACTTAGACAACAAAAATTTCACTTTCTTCCGTATTTAAATTTTTTTAATATAGCAGGTTTTCCTACGTAGCTAGTCATGCTTTTTGATCGCCAAGATGAAAGAATCATTTAAATCCCAATCCAAATCAGTGACGACTTGGAAACCCTTGGTATAAATATGTGTAGATATTTACTGCATAAAGTTGATGAGAAACTTTCATTTGAAAGACAAATCTATGTATTTCACCACGCTATTTAACGAACGCATCAGTGCCACGACGACTGAGATAGCAACAAATGATTAAGATAGCACGCCGAATTCTCTACGTTGCAGTTAATTTATCTTTTTCCACCGTAGTAAGAGTGTAATGGTTTTTGCCATTTGATGTCTATACAATTTACATATTTGAGGTAGGAGCATGCTCAAAACAGCTGCCTAGGAGCATGGTGTTGTACTCTGTTATTTTTCAAAACATGATTTAAATTGCTCACTAAACATAAAGTGTTGCTTACCATAATGACTCTCATATTGAAAAAACCTGTAATCGTACATCACATTATTGTAACACAAAAGAAGCGCATCTATTATAAAACTTCTTTGTTTAGCAAATTCTGCTTTTTTCCGCAAAATATAGTCTCCCTGCAAAATAAAATTACATGAACTTCAAGGACAAAAAGCGAGGGACCCTTTTATTATTTTTGGTTAAATACTAGACTAATCTTCACAATTGCAATGAAGCTGGCTGAAATACTCTGTAACACCAAAGTAAATCATACTTACATGATCTTTAGTTTTTGCGTTATTAATGATTAATGTTTTTGATATAATTATTTGCCTTGTGCCAAAGTATTTGTATAAATAGTTCCACTTATTCTCGTGGTTGAGAATTTAGTGATACAGAAGTCCTCGATCTCGTTGAGCACGATTTACGTTTTCCAAAATGATAGCAACGTACGTGTTTACAATGACAAGAAACACTACTATGATGTAGCTAGCCAAGTAAATCACAGCGCCAAAGGAGCCACAGTTACCATATGGAAGATTGAGGTAGCTGGGATCACAGTCTGGTGGTTCCAGTAACAAGGCTTCCATGATGTCATTCCAGCCAGAGCCAGTAGCTAGACGAAATAGCAACAGCAGCGAAGAAAAAAAGGTCTCGAAGTTTACAGTGTCATTTAACTCACCTGCGCGCTTCACGTGACCAAACGCCGACAGGCCTATGATGGCGTAAATAAACATGACCATGAAGAGTAGAGTTCCAACGTTGAACAGTGCTGGTAGCGATATCATGAGAGCCCACAACAGTTGACGAATACCCTTGGCGAATTCCACTAGCCTGAGCAACCTGGCGATTCTAAAGATTGGTAGAACTGCCTTGGAAGACATTATTTATAGTCGGGGAAAGTGTGAGATGACGTAAAGATCACGTGACGAAATGCTTCGTGTGAGCATGAGTTTGCGAGCCTAAGTCGTTCCAGACTCTTCGAGCGATTGTAATCGATTGATCCGGTCTGATCGTGTAAGATGAAATAAAACTCTGTTGGATTTTGTGGACTTGTTTCGAGCCTGGCAACATGAGCATATGTTGCTATTAAAAAATACCCATTAGATTAATAAGGATGGAAGACTACAACATCAAAAATAAGTTGTGAAAGGAAAAAAAATACTGAATGATATCGAGTTAGTAAAAATCTAGAGCGCTTACCTTTGTGTCACAATGGAGAATCTGTTCAACCGCAGCGACTCGTACAGGAACCGGTGGCGTTGTTTCACAAACGCTGGAACTGAAGATTGCTCGTCTATACCTTGGGGAAATCTTAGGTAAAATGAATATCGTGGGTTGTCCCCTTCAACTAATGACATCCTGTTGACAACTTGTTTGGTTTCAATTTTCCCAGCCAATCAGAAAAAAAGTGTTGACAGGCTAAATACGAATCAAAAGCTCGTGATAATGTAAAACGTGGTCTTCGAGTTTGCTTAAACAAACACAGGTTTTTCTTGAATTGTATCTCTCGCGTAGCTAGGTGACTACAATGCATTCTAAACTTGACTGAGTAAATCTTATATTTGCCTGTCTAAGTCTTATATTTATTTAGAGGTCACGAAGTTGGTTTGTTTCATCTCGCATATTGAGTAATTATTTCCTGTGGTTGATGCTTAATTAAGTCTGTAGGTGTTTCTGATAGGATTATTTCAGTGTTGATCTCAGATGCAGGTGTAAAGTACCCTTCTTTTGACCACTTTTAAAGCATAAAGCTTTTTATTACGGCTGAATAAAGATTTAGGTTTCTTTGATTTTCTCCGACTGAAATAACTGGATCTGAATATTTACATACCAAGGAGCCTTGACTACATACATGTAGTTTCTTTGTCCGTGAATGTGATAATTTCTAGTTAACAAATCGACCACAATTCTCCATGGTCTACACTCTTATAGACCACAGAAATGACGTCATAAAATGTTCAAAACTCAGGAGGAACCACGCGCCTGCGGCTCGTAGTTTCACTGCAAAGTCTTTCATATTCAATGGAAAGAACCCGCCGTGAATAAACAAATCGATCACTGTTCGTAATTTGAGACTTCCTCTAGTTTTTCTTTTGTTTGTACCTGTTTTACGTCACTTGCATTCACAATTTGCGCTGACTCGGGTTAGTCTTATGCAATTAGTTATTATTCCCCCTATATGTAATTAACACTCTCTGTCATCTTATAAATTTTGTGAATGTTCTTGAACTCATGATAGATAGTGACTCACCCCGGCGAAATGTCTTCAAAACTTATCCGTTTTTACAATTTCCATTTTTTGCTGCCACGGAATTTCGGTAATAATGATATTATTGTTAATCGTGTTCTTTTTCAATGTGTACTTTATTCTAGCCTGAGAAAACAGCCGACATTTAGCGACGCGACCAATGGTTTCCCCACCAAATGACGTCTGAGAAACGAGCGCAAAAATTCTGTACTGATGACGCGTCACTACTCAGATCTGGGAAGTGCTTCTGATTGGTTGAATCAAATTCCCCACGGGGCACGACCAATCAGAAGCACTACGCAGATCTGGGTAGTGACGTGTCGTCAGAATGGAATTTCTGCGCTCGTTTCTAAGACGTTATACGGCGAGGAAACCAGTGGAAGCGTCGCCAAATGTCGGCTGTTTTCTCAGGCTAACTTTATTCTAAAATCTTTTTATAAGAAATGTGGAATTGTCTCAAAGGCTATATCGTATCGACACACTCTTGAATGGCAGTTTGACTTCACAGATCGGTTACCTTGTACATTTGCGCGTTGAGGTTAAATTTACCAAGCAGCTTTTGTATAGGTTATGTGAAACTCCTTTTATGATCAAGAGAAAACAGGAAAAAAAACTTACAGGAAAGTCAGGAGAATCGATTACACTGTCATCACAAATAAACTCAGGAATCTGCAAAGTACTGCGGTCAGAAGTGCAGTAACGGATTGAAATGCGTATGAAAACGCGAGAAATTTAATTCTTCGTATATCCCCCCTTGAAGCCGCTGTCTAGAATTCAATGTTGCGTTGTACAATATGTAAAATACTACTCTGTGTATGTGTTTGATGGTTTTAATATATTGGAGGAGAAAGCCGGTTGTAATAGTGGTGATATTATTACAAAAACGCTCCAGACATATAACTAATGCTGAATCAGAGATTCAACTTAAAGGCTTGCCTGTTATTTATTCGCCCAACAAAATTACATACTTTGCTATGAAGAAAGCGATACAATATGTAGGTAATATTAAAATAAGGAACGCAAAACTAATATAAACTAAGATCACCTAGTAATTCTCTCAGTTCTCCTCTCCCATGCTATTAACCGAACGTATGCCACGACGATTTTCTGACTGAGATAGCAAGCCGAATTCTCTAAGTTGCGGTTAATTTATCTTTTCCCATCGTAGTAAGCGTGTAATGGGTTGTGCCATTTGATGTTTATATAATTTACATATTTGAGGCAAAAGCATGGGCAAAACAGCAGCCCAACGGCATGGTGTTGCACTCCGCATTTTTCAAAACATGATTTAAATTGCTCACTTACCATAATGACTCTCATATTGAAAAAACTTGTAATCGTACATTATTTTATGGTAACACGAAAGAAGCGCATCTATTATAAAACTTCTTTGTTTGGCAAATTCTACCTTTTTCCGCAAAATATAGTCGCCCTGCAAAATAAAATTATATGAACTTCAAGGACAAAAAACAAGGAACCATTTTATTTAAGGTTAAATGCTAAACTAATCTTTGCAATTAATAATATATGAGAGCTGATGGTTGGAAACGCATTTGTTAGATCATAGCCGCAATGAAGCTGGCTGAAATACTCTGTAACACCAGAGTAGATCATACTTACATGATCTTTAGTTTGTGCGTTATTAATGATTAATACCGTTTTTGATATGCTTGTTTGCCTGGTCCCAAAGTATTTGTATAAATATTTCTACTTATTCTCGAGGTTGAGAATTGGGATCACTTCGGACCTGTAGACTGGCAACATTGGGGAAACTGTTGCTACAACAACGTTTCAAGGAGTTTGATAACCTCGAACACGCTACGCTCTTTTGCTGACTAAACTGGCCCTTCTTTAGTCAATTCTTGACTTGTCAGGTTATTGTCTCGGACACCTCTTCAAGCATTTTAGTCTTAGTAGACCCATTTATTGAGGAAATCCTCTTCTGGGTTATGAAAGACTTGTTGAAGCTAGCCTCCATTCTCACGGTGATTTCCTTGAACACCTCTACTGATTCACCGTGCTCTTCCAGAACACGTCGAACCAGAGCTTTCAACAGATCGAAACAATATATTAGGTCGCCTGATCGCACGGGAATGTCCATATCCCTCAAGATTTCGGAGTTTGGTTTGGGAATTATAAACGGTTTATCCAAGGAAGCCACGAATTCCGACAGTTGAGCCACCGGAAGGTACTGCTTTCCATCGAGAACAAAGGCTCCCCATGATACGTAATAGCTGTCAAAATTTTCTTTAGTGATACAGAAATCCTCGATCTCGTGAGCACGATTTACGTTTTCCAGAATGATAGCAACGTACATGTTTACAATGACAAGAAACACTACTATGATGTAGCTAGCCAAGTAAACCACAGCGCCAAAGGAGCCGCAGTTACCATGGGGAAGATTGAGGTAACTGGGATCACAGTCTGGTGGTTCCAGTAACAAGGCTTCCATGATGTCATTCCAGCCAGAGCCAGTAGCCAGACGAAACAACAACAGCAGTGATGAAAAAAATGTCTCGAAGTTTACAGTGTCATTTAACTCACCTGCGCGCTTCACGTGACCAAACGCTGACATGCCTATGATGGCGTAAATAAACATGACCATGAAGAGTAGAGTTCCAATGTTGAAGAGTGCAGGTAGCGATATCATGAGAGCCCACAACAGTTGACGAATACCCTTGGCGAATTCCACTAGCCTGAGAAGCCTGGCGATTCTGAAGATTCGTAGAACACGGAGGAGACTGGGGCTAACTACACCTTGGTTGGCATCAAACTGATCAAGCATCACGTCTGTCAAATTAAATACAAAAAATTAATTTGTTTACCCACGAAGCACTTAGGAGTTCTTAAGAACACATGTGCGTTCCCGTTCGAATTGGAATAGACCCTTTGCAGCTAGCCATTCACGTGGTAAAAAACCGCCATGCTAAATCGCAGCACCCGGCGAAAAACCTCTTGGAGAAAGAGAGAGAACCAGAAACAAACTCAACCCCGCATATTGCGTCAACGCCGAGGATTTGAACGCGGCCCCCAGCGCTTTCACCACTTCTCCACCTTTGCTCCCCATGCACGCTTATAATATCATTCCCTGGGAAAACAAAAATAGTATGCGATACAACTGTACCTGAATTTCAAGCTTTTATAATTATCACCTTGACTTTTCTTCAAAATTACGTTTTACGTGCTTTCGAACGCAAGGGTCAATGTTTGTCATTTTTTTGCCAAATAAACTGACGAAACTTTGTTGTCCAAAAGGGTGGTATAAATAATGTTTAAATTCCATACCCACAAGAGAACTGATAACAATGACAAAGTCGAATATGTTCCAGGTCTTCTTGAAGTAATGTGTCCTCAGTGCAATAATCTTGACTATAGCTTCTAACACAAATATCCCAGTAAAAACGAAATTGGACAGGCGTAAACAGCAGTTAAGGCAAATAAGACACGTATGAACTTGCATTAACGTAATTTATCTTAAGGTTGATCTTAAGGATGGGGAGAGAAGACGACCGACACTGACATTTTATAAAAAGGATATGAAGGACGTCTGAAACTTGGGATGACTGTCCATAGTGTTGTATGGTCATCATTACCATGTTGCACATGATTACTGTAAGAATAACCACCTCAAATTTATCTCCTGAAACCACGTCGTATAACAAACCAAACCATCGTCCCTAAAAGCAAGAAAATTAATCACCAAAATTAACGCGGTGATTAGCATCCACTGTCACTGCATAATCAAGCATATGTATTATGAGAATAAACCAAATGATAAATTATGACCTGTCTTCAACATAAAGCAGCCTTCACCAACTAGGTTAACAAAGATTGTTATAAAGTTACAATTTCTGATCTGAGGATACAGCCTCGATTGTCATTGGCTGAAAAGTGTTCATAAGTGCTGTATTGTGCATAGTTCAATATTTGTCTGTTCCTTGCGAAGACTTTTTGCTTTTTCCTTAAATTTTCTCTCTACGTCAGCCGAGGGAACATCTATTCTATACGTACCAGTCAGTCTCACCTCTGGTCGCCTCCTAAAGTAAAACTGAGAGAGAGAACATTTCAAGAGGTGGTAAGACTACATACCTGTGGTCGAATCTGTCGATTAGGGGGTTTCTTTTTGGCAGCTTCCTTGAGAAAATTGACCCATTTCCTCTGTTTATCGGTCAGTAGCATTCCCATGCTGTTGAGTTCCTCGTACTACGATAGAAAATCGAAAGATTGTTTTGACGTTGATTACAGTATGGGGTACATTTATTGCAGTACTTTGAAGGCAACTGTTGCATGGAGCATCTACGGTTAAAAGTTCTGATGACCCATCTATCTTCTATCCCTACTTTGGGGAGCCCACTTTGCTTTGTATAAAAAAATGTAGATGACATTAGCATCGTACAAGAACCATATGGTGTTTTTCAATTTTCACTTTCGATGAATTCTCAGTCCTTGACTCATGCTAAGAGTTATTGCTTCTTTTGGTCAGGGAGGTAATAAAGAAGAACCAAGGGGGCAGCTTATGTTTGCGCGAAATTCTAATGAATGGAACAGGCCTGTACAGAAGAATTTTTTGTGTCGATTCCTGAAGTATTTTAACATTTTGGGGGTCAATTTGGTACATTTTCTCCTTTTCTTAGCGGATTTTCCAGTTGTTACAGAAATCCATTGATTCAATCTGCCCGTCTCCCGTGTTTGATTTCAGCGTCTAGAACGAATAACACTTTGAGGTGCCTCACCTTCTTTTTCAGGGTGTTAAAGTTATCGATAATCACTCCAACAAAGAGGTTCAACACAAAGAATGATCCTACAACAATGAAGGCAACGAAGAAGCAGTACGACACTAATCTGTTTTCATGCTTGGGCTGCATATCAACCTGAAACATATAACAGACAATTAAGTTTTCCCCAGGAATTCTTCCAATAGATCTAGTGTGTGCAAGAGATGAACCAAACCTTTCTGTTAAACAAGGCAAGATATTGCCGTCAAGGTTTGAACCGTTTTCTTGAAAGAAAGCGTTAAAGTTAGTGTTTAGTCTGGTTTGTAAAATTTCGCGACTGGGAATAAGATTCATAAACTGAGGTTCGTCTTGTGACTTTACGCATATCTGTCATAACATAACGGCATTTTAAAGGAGGTAGCGTGGCCGAGTGTTTAGAGCACTGGACTTCTAATTCGGAGGCCCCGAGTTCGAGTCCCGCCCTGACCGCTAGCTGGATTTGTTCTCGGTAGTGTCGAGTTCAAATCCTCGGCCACGCTCGTAAAATAACCAACTGATTCGCCCCCTACCAGTTGGGATTTTTAACCATGTCATGTTGTTTCCTTTAAGTTATTTGTTTCATTATCCCTGAAAAGCCCCAATGAGGGGAGAGGATAATTAGTATAGTATTATAATTATTATTTTATAATCATACCCAAAGGAAATGTTGCACACGACAAGTTTCTTAAGCCCAAATGTTGATTTCTGTAATATACATACCTCGGTAGAATCGACTGCGTCCTTCATTACTTCCATCCAGCCCTCAAAGGTCGCCTGAAATGTATTCCACCCCAAGTTAATTAGATTCCACAGGAAAAGCATGATACGTTGGTCCCTACTATACTACTTTACTTCACCTTACAGGCTCTTAGGTTGTTTAGGTTGTATTATCGAGGAAAATTACCAAGAAATATAGAAAATTCACTCACCACCTGCATAAGTGCGAGAAAGCCTGTGAACACGTTATCAAATGACACTTTGGAGTTTACCCAACGATATCCGTCAGGATGACTGAGGCATTCCTCTTTGTTGGCGACCACGCTGAAGGGTAATATTTCATTGTCTTGGTCCACACACTTGTAAAACTTTCCAGAAAAGAGATGAACACCAAGGATACTAAATATCAGCCAAAAGAGCAGTGAAACTAACAGGACATTTCCAATTCCAGGAATAGCAGCAAAGAGTGAGTTAACTACCACCTAAAAGAAATTGAATAATGATTGGTAGAATCACTTCTCATAGCACTAGCCAATAGCTTATTAATATTTTGGAAATTTGAACTCAGACGCGGTGCCCAGGTGTACCTTGGGAGTTAAGGAGATCAGTGCCTCCGTTTGTACTAAGGCACATGCTTGTGGTGCTGTACTTACTCTTCAGATGAAAAATGGGCTTGTTTGTGACTTCATGTAATTTCTGCTTAAGTTTTCAAAACACCAGTGATTGGGTGCAATAGACCCAAGCCCAAAACGTTTTATCCCGGAGTGAGTCGAAGTGAATTGAAATTTCCCTCGCTTGTTACATTGTAATATTACTGTATTCTACCAAATACCCTCTCTCGAACGTTTGGCAGAGTATTTTTCTTTACTTGTTACTTAAACGGACTAGCAACCAGCGGACAGTGGGGAAGACAATTATAGTAACCTTGCCCTTAAAACGCTTATCTTCGCAGGCTTATGGCACCAATTACTATACCTTACTCTGTTATTTCGCTCTGTTATTTTCCCCTAACATTCTCTTTATTAAATATTTTTAACTGAGAAAAAAAGCACGGAATCTCTTATTTACCCTCATGCCCTCCAGTCTTGAGATGGCCCTCAGAGGTCTTAATGCGCGCAGGGTACGCAGGGAACGAAACACAGCCAGGTTCTTGTTTTCAAAAACGCAAGCAATTGAGATCTGCGGAAAAGATGCATAAAAAGATAAGATACTCAGCTTAAACAAACCTAAGAACTTCGATTTCGTATTTCCTTCAAAAATACTTACTGAAACAATGAAAGTGTCCAGACAGTTCCAAGCTGAGGAAAAGTACTTAATAAGCCCAAAGCCAATTACTTTCAGTATAAACTCCAGGGTAAAAATGGCCGCGAACACGAAGTTGAGAATTTCTAAAGTTTTGGCGAGCTTCGGTTTCTCGTGTAGATGGACGTCTTCAAAAATCTGCAAACAAGGAAACAGTTTTGGAATGAAGTAACACAATAAAGTTCTTCCTAGAATAATCAAATATTTGCCATGAAAAAGTTGTTGAGTTAAGCTCTTAAAACCTTAAGAAGAGTATTATAAATTTTGATTAAGGTCTCTTACAAATCTTTCAGCAGTGGTAACGGTCAACAAACCGAACATACCAGAGTAAAACTGCTCATGAACACTGTGGCAAGAATAAACCATTCAAAGTACTTTTTTTCCACGAAAACTCTCACTCTGCATCGGAACTTGAGCCAGCAAAAATGACGCTTTGAAAGTGGTTTCCACAATGGACAGTCAACGTTTACGCAGCGTTCCGGCAGGCAGTCGTCAATCTCCATCATATATCGAGTGGGTAACGGTTTCGACAAACTTGGGCCATTTTCAGGAATATCTCGATCCTCAGGTTCAATTTTACATCCCTTGGTCAGTGTGCCACTGGGCGAATAATCAGAGTTATTTTCGGGCATCCGTACTATATCTCTTGATGTATTTGAGTCTTTTTCATCAAAGTCTCTGCCTGAAAGGGAATGAAATGAAATATGATGGAACGGTTTTGTCGTGCGCTTTTTTAAAACGAATATCAGTAAGGGCACATAGTTTAATTGGGCAATCAGAAATGAAAAGTAGGGTCCACTACCGCCTTGCAGCCACCCCGCTATAACAACGGACACTCCGATAATGCGGACAGCAGCTAAATTCCAGGCAGAAATAAACTGCAGACGATTGACTGCCGTTATGACGGACTCTCGCTAATAAGGACACTAACTCGAGGTCCCAATAGTGTCCGCTCTAATCGGAGTTGACTGCAAATGGATAAAGGAGCTAGGTTAAGTTGATTGACAAGAATTTGGCACCAGATTTCCTAACCAGTAACAGTGCAACAGTATGAAAGCTACAAAGTGATCTATTTAAAGTATTTTTCTCCTCACTTTTACAAGCAATGTCATTGGATTCTTCATCATGGTGCTCGGGGTCGCATATTGCCAGTGAGCCCCCGGTGTTTTCGTCTGAGCAACGGCTGCTCTCTAAAACCTGAAGCTCGTAAAGGCGAAAAGGCTCGCGGTACTTTGCTACAAAAAGGCGAGATTTCCGTGTTCTGAATGCCTGTTTAATGTCGCATCTGGATTGTCTCTCCATTGAAAGTGTGTCAGCATCTGCATTTGCATCCGTTTCCCTAAAGTCAAATGCGTTTACCAGAAGCGCAACAAACAGGTTGAGTACCTGGAAAACATCAAACAAATACAACAAAAAAAAGATCAAAGGTGAAGCTATTCTCCTGCACATACGTCCACCTTACAATCGTTCAATAGTTTTTTATTTCTTTTTCAACAACTTGATAATTGTTGCTTCTATTGTAAATTCATCATTTATTCTATGTATAGAGTAATTCGTCAGTTACGTCACTCTTGCTGTACAATTGTACGCGTGCACTTTAATCCTTAAAAAACTTAGGGATAAAGCACAGAAAATTGGAAAGATGCAAATGAGTATGCAAAGAAAAGACTGGCAACGTGAACAGTATAGGGTAAGAAAAAATTTGTTTCCACTCACGATAAAATTTCCAACAACGAGAACCGTAAGGAAAAACATCGTTGCCTTAGCTGCACTAGTCGCTCTCATGCAATCCCAGAGCGGCTCGATCCATTCCCCACACAGCACTCTGAAAACCATCATACAAGCGTGCCAAAAGTCGTTGAAATTCCAGCGTGGTACTCCATCTTCACCAAACTTATCTGGTGTGTAAGATTTACCGAATACCTTTATTCCCAGCACAGCGAATATGTAAATAACCACACCAAGGATAAGCGTGATATTACCCACAGGCTCAACGCTTCTAGCAATGGCTCTCATCAACCTCTCCATCGTCTTCCACGACTTAGCCAAACAAAGAACTCGCACCTACAAGGCAAGTCGGCAAATAACATATATGTACAATTTGAATCACTTTTGTCTCAGGCAAACGATTTCCTACCATTATGGTAGAGAGATTTAGAATCCCGTATACCTTTCACGGCAAACAGAAAAAGTCAAATTGTGCCCCATGACCAAGTTTCCTCTTTACTTTTTATCACTGTTTCATGTTAGCTTCATCCACATAAATTATTTTGGTCTGTTTTACCATCTCTTAATTTGAGAAATTCCTGAATTAAAACTTGCCTTGTCATATTCCGTAAACGTGATTCCAAAGCTCACTTATGAGTTTCAACTTGGAGTAACTTTAAAGAATGTAGACAAATTCCACAATGTATCTCGATGAAGACTGATACTAATACTGATTCTGATTCAACCTTCGTAATCATATGAAAACGAAAAAGAAACATGCTTATAGGAAAAGGCTCGAAGTCGAACTCAAGAGAGAGATTTATTTGACCGCCTACCAATCTTAACGTTCTAAAGATGCTGAGTCCCTCCGCAGACTTGTAAAAGTAACCTAGCAAGCTTCCTGATACAACTGTTGTGTCAAATACGTTCCATCGACTGCGGATAAACGCCTTCGGTCCAACTGCAACCAATCGGAACACAATCTCCGTCGCAAATAGCACTGTAAAGACCTGTGTGAAAAAATGAAAAGAGCTATAAAAAACTCGACTTCTTTGGGGCTGTTATCCTGTGTAATATAGGGCAAGGAGTTTTTTTAAATTGTTCCGCAATGATAGGAAGAGCCAAGAAATGTAAGTGTCAATCTTTAAGTCCTTATCATCATAGCTATTTGCCAAATGCCTATCATTAGGCTATGTTATGTTGTATTGTGCTTTTTACAACTGTGACATATATGATTGAACAAATGACTTATTTGAAATATCCCATAAATCGCACCGAGTATCTTAGTAAAGAGAATTAGGTACGTACAAAGGAAGAAAAGAACTCTTTGTCGCCGGTGGGCATTGAACCACGACCACCGGGTTAGATCTGCCGACATTCGAAGAAGAACCTTCCTAACTTAAAGGTTCGTATATTAGATAGGTGGTCATCAGTTTAAACGTATTTAGGAGAATTATTTCCGTTAAGACTAAACTCTAAGATACTCAAACACTTTCTGTGTATGTAAGGTAACTCGTCTTTCCTGAAACAAAAGAGAATCAATGGCAAAGGACAAAAATATGTCATGATGACACTTACTAGATTGATAGAGTCCAAGACGTGCCGAAACTCAGGTCCAATACCATGGTGATACAACGCCAGTACAATAGTGTTTAAGAGTATCAGAATGACAATTATAACATCAAAAGTGGAATGAGAGGTGATATCGTACATCCACTGTCGCACCTTTTGTAAAAAGTTGCGCATACGCATAAGAACATTGCACTGTACATCATTCACTCCCGTTCTCTCTCTGAGTGCACAAACTGGCAATAGGCACTGATGCGCTTCATTTTCTTTGCCTTTTGCTCCGTGAGCTTTATCGATTAGTTCTTCCTTCGCTGCTGGAGGAGAGCTTCCATCCAAACGAACGAGACGTCTTAACGTTTCCTTGTCGGCTGGGTACGAAGGACCAGTTTGTCGCAGGAGGGTTCTCTTTTCTCTCTAATAGTTTAAAGAGAAAACCAAATGGTAAGAGACTTCACCAAATATCGAAACTACACCTATGCTTCTTGCCCATGCAAGGCTTTCAGAAGTTCTTTCGTCGCGCGTTTTTCGCCTGTCGTTTCTTTTGACTGTTAACGAACGAAGTGCACATCCGCGCAAGCTATAGCTGCGATTCATACTAGGAATTCGAGTATTTCATTTAATTCAAGTAAAACCGTGTTCCTGGTTGGATGTAATGAACAAATCCTCACAAGTAACTACATCCAATGTCTTCGCAGGCTATTTTTTAAGGAGCCACTGTATCGTCAATTCAGTTGATGAAGCAGCTTACTTTTGTTTCTTTATCTCATTAAAACCGCTAACCATTTCGCGGTTGTGAAACTTACTAATTTGTTCAATATATTTATTACCTCTCTCTCGTCAGAACACAGCTCCTGTTCATATGATAAATACACCACCGCCAGTACCAAGTTCATTAGGTAAAAAGAGCAGAAGAATATCCCAATAATGAAATAAGCCACATAAACTGCACCAGTTGACCTGATAATCTGAGAGAACAACAGAAACTAGGGTTAAGGTTTCTAAATAATGAGAACCGTGAAGAGGCAGAGTTGTTTGCTTGGAAAAGGTGCCAGGTCTAATTAAGATTTTTCTGACCTCCAAGAAATGAAGTAAGAGCGGTAACACCTTAAACATAGAAAAACTAAAAGTATTACTAAATATTTTGATGGAAATGAGGCAAAAGATTAAGGCCGCATACAAATACCGCTGCCCTTTATAAGCTGTAACCTGCCACTGCGAACCCTGAAGGGGAGAGGTATTGTTTCAAACAAGACATGATTTCACTAAATTCTGCAAAAAATACAAAGTCCCTTGAAAATTTCACAGAGTTAGAAACACTTAGTAAACTAACCAAATTAAATAGGCATGCGCCCTGTGCAAGGTCAAAAGGAGAGAAAAGGGCTCGAAGCCATTTTTTAAACATTTTATACACTTCAGTTTAACTGTAGAGCTTTTATTTATAAATGGACTCGATTACCTTCTCGTACAGGTTTTCCCAATAATCCATTGTTAGTATCTGCAGGGCCATAAGTAGGGACCAACCAATATTATCAAACGATGTGTAGCCATGGTCAGGGTTTGGTCCTGCATGAGCCATACAAGAGTAGTTGGATGGACAAGACCTACATAAGATGCAAAATATTTAAACTATCTGGATAGACCTTTCCACGGTTTTTCAACTTTTGACATTGACAAGTTAGAGAAAATCCATCGACAGGGGCGTATCTGGGGGATGGGTGCGGGGAGTGTGCACCCCCCCTCCCCTAAGATGACCTGCGGCTTTCTAATACAACTGGTATTCTAAAAAAACAAAACTTTGTGCTTTATTGGTGTTGAAGTTAAACATGAGACGAGGTTAAAGAATTCATGTTAAACGCCGTAAAAATAGTAGTTCCTTAGTGATGCACCCACTCCTAAGAAAAATCCTGGATCCGCCCCTGGTCGACAACACTGGAAAGAACGCCTTGAAATTAGTAAAATTGCTAAGGTTGAAAGTACGTCTTGAGCGAGCGAAGATAGAGCTCCACTGGTTCGTGTCCCCACCATGCAAACGTTTGTAAAATTTCGCGACTGATTTAAAGACGCTCTTTCCTGCGGAGTTGACGGATTTTCCTAAACTTGTCCATGTCGAAAGTTGAAAAAAACGTGGAGTCGAAAGGTGGACAAGTGTCAATTTCAAGCTTATTTAAAGAATAATTTTTTATTTATCGGCCAAAGAGTGTTTTGCAACTGGGGTTTTGTTTTTCGAAATAACTCTTTGAAAATGTTTGGTATCTAATACTCACCCAGCGGTGGAGCTGTTTCCGCAGATCAAAGGTTCGCCGTCATAAGTAAACCAAAAACCTGAAAATGAATTACTTTTTCTTGCCTCAGTGATCTTAAGATTTTAGATGATGCCTTTTATTAACATAGAGGTCGAGAGAAAGGCAAACAAGGTATACTGGGCTTTTCTCTTAGCAAACACCGCTAGCCAGCCTTTGCCGTGTTCTGTGAATAATCTCATGGCTTGTCCGCTAACTTGTATGTGTCAAATGTAAGGATTCTTTATTGACCATAATAATTGCCAAAGTAGGAGCACGTTGATGAAAAACCCAGTTAGAAATTTTCAGTGATTGAAGTTAAAGGTTAACGATAACGATGGTAAAATAGGAATGATATTATGTTAATACTGTAGTTATAACTAACTTGCAATTAATGCCTTACTTTCGTTAAGAATCCGCTCCTGTAGGCTCAAAGAATTATTGTCAAATGGAATGCTGAGGACGCATTTGTTCCTCAGTTCTCCAGAAAACAGCTGCAGTCCTATGAGCGCCATGACACCGAGAAAGAAGAAAAACAAAACCAGGACATCGCTCAGTAGCTTCAGAGATCGGAGTAACGTGTTTACCATCGCACGGAGACCTTCAATAACAAAACAAGTTTGCTGTTATTTGAAAGGAAAAAGTGTTACAATCTTTTTTTACAATCGTAAAAATATACAACCTTTTAGTTTATTTCCTTAAAAAGCGTCAAATATTTAGGGGTTTTCTAAGGGATTATTTAATGCTATTTCGCTATACCTCTGTAAAGAGTACCGATTATACACAGTTTGGATTGCAGTTACTGTAACAAGCAGTTGAAATTGGAGAGTTGGGGTTTTCGGAGGATGCCAAACGTGGTGTCATAAAGAAGAAGGGTGTAAGGTTCCTTCTTGATCCCCGAGAACTAGCGGAGGCTACTCAATTCACGACTAAAGTGGACTTACCTTTCAAGGCGGAAAATGTTCTAAGAGCTCGAAACACGCGGATGGTTCTGATTCCCGTTAAGTTCGCGATATTAGGTGCCACTGTGATATATCTGAAGGAAGAAAAACCTCACCATTTTAAAAGAGAAATGTCGCTGCAAGTTTCAAAGGCATCAATAAACTTCTAGTCTCTCGTTTCAAGTTTTTAAACACTAAAAAAGTGCAAACTGTGGAGATTTACTTTCTGTTACAAATACCTAACTTACCCCAATACTACTACTATGAAATCCAGCCAATTCCAGGGATCTCTGAGGTAGGCGTATGTATGAAAAATAAACCCGCGAGACAAAATCTTGAGAATCATCTCCGTCGTGTATATTCCAGAGAAAAAGTATCTGAAAGAAGAATGTTTCATCAGCTACCAATTACTTCATAGTCTTATTGTATCTGTAATCCTTCAGGGTCACCCAAAAACCTTGCTGGAATCGAAGCCTGAAAAAGGTGTGAAACCCTGCGTGGTTGGGCCAGACATAACATAGGCACATCATATGATCTCCCGGCCCTTTCCAACCCCAATAATCCATTAAGATGGTTTTGTTCAATTAACTTCCAGGTTTGCCAAGAATAGTAGAGGAATTTACTGATCCTTTAAAAAGGGTCAGCAACCTGGAATAAATCCTTTGTGGTGATAGATAAAAGAGGAAATCTTACGTTAATAAGAAAGGTACGAATCTCGTAACGTCACGAAACTCGCAAAGGAAAAATGTGAGACAGACCCGAACCCAAGGCGTCCTAGACTAGCGGTAGTCTAAGCTACCGACAAACTGGTGGTGAACGCGATAAAAGCCAGCATTATTCCTTTCATTGGTTTTTCTGTTGTCAGTTTAATTCACTTACTCGGCTTCCTCCGGTGCGCTTTCAACCACGAGAAACACGCAGTTAGCCAGAATGGTAAGAATAACAAATGACTCGAAATATCTCAAATTTCAGTCAAGGAAGGATTCATTGACTTTCTAATCTCTTTAATTCATTTATTTTTCTGGATTCTGTTCCTTAATTTCTTCTATTTAGTCCAAGAGAAACTTTGTCGATCGCTTGTGGAATTATGGTCAGTCAACTAAATGGAGTCTGAGACACTATTTTCCCTTTAAAACCAAACTGGGTCTCGTTAATCTCTGAACTGATAAATGGCCAACGTGCACCTTATAGAAACAGCAGATTTAGGGCCTTTTAGAATCAGTTTTGGAGCAAGAGAATATGGTGGTTGTCATAGTAACAGCAGCTTATTAATTTAGTCTTCCTGATCTTTTAGTCATCATCGCGATCGTATTTTCTTTTCTTTCGTTCTTTAATATCATTTTCTGACGGGTGATACAAACAAATCTCTCACCCTCGCCTGCTCTCTACAACCCTCTCCTGTAAGTTGTAGCAAGTATGATAAAAGCCAGTTCAACTCGATCATGTTATTTTGATAGAGCATGCTGAACTTTTCAAAGGATACCTATTGGTAACAACACTGATCGCAAACTGCCTGATGGGGCTAACAGGCTCCAAAAGACCCAGTGAAGGCGCCTTGTTGAATCTGTACACGTGATCAGCGCGTGATTTTCCTTGACGACGAATCACCAGGAATGTGTGGTTACAAGGCACCTAACAGAAAATTAAATTGATTTAGGTACTAGATACTTTATGTAACTTATTCAACATTCTGCAACGTGCAACGAGACAGCATTTCTCTTAAAATTTTCTTAAATGTTTTTATTTCCAGACATTTTGTTTTTAGAGGGCTTTTTTCTCCTGAGGCAAGTTTTGGCGAATTTTTAATGATATTGTCACAGAAGATGACGTCATAAATGGTATGAGATCAACCCATTTCGCACTTTTGTAAATGACATAACATACTGAACCTCTCACTCTCATAGAGCCAATTATACTGAGAAAAATGTATATTAACTGGTGTTTTAACTTGGAAGGCTGTACCGGAGATACTGTGCTGTGACCATCAAATAAAACCTCTTGGACAATACAAAAAACCTCTTCTGCAAATGTTTAAACATGAAATTTGCCTTCTGTTTTTTACTTTTCCATTAATTGCACTTTTGAGTTTGTGATGGGTCAACCTTACTAAAGAGTCATAAACTGTAAAAACCCGAAACTCGGTATTATGACGATGAATTTTGCCGGTGCACTTGCAATAAGCGGCCTACAACACGAGAAAAACGACATGGCAGATCGGGTGGTTCCTAGAAAGTTTTTGTAGCAAAAAAATGAAAACTAATGAATACGCTTCTTTGCAATTTTTAGAACAACTATTTCAACCTTTCCTGCTGCAAATTAGTTATCAGGACGGTAAAATGTGCTACACACCCTTCCAATCCCTGCATCAAAATCCACAAGCGGTTTTCCAATATAAAACGAAGGAACCCGAGCTGCAACGTTGTTGTTCTCCGAATCTTCATCGGCAACCATTCCCGGATCTTCAATTACTCCGTCCATATCATCGTCCTCGGTCTTAAACCGAACTCTCGGCGCCGAACATGTTTCTCCTCTGCAGGGATCTGCTTGCTCTTTCCCTTTATCGTCTGCCTTCTTAGGTTGGGACTCTTTAGGGTTTTTACCTGTAAAAAACGATTGTTAATTTTATGGCACGACGTTAATTACGGGTCAGGAAAAGGCTGTTAGAGCTAACGATGGGTTTTGGACTTGTTATTGCACGGAGCTTTGGCTTGTTTTTATGTGCAGCTGATCTGTGAATGAAACAAGCACCACGATATGGATTACGACGGACAAGTCATTTTTATATGAACCGTCAATTGTCTGGTGATCAATTGCACTGACAGCCTATGTTAACATTTGAGCCCATTTTTTTCACCAGATATGGCGTTTGAGCTACGAAGAAAGAATAAAATCGGGGAAAAAAATTCTTTTACGTCGAGGAATAGCCAAGAATGAGCAAAAAAGAAAATTAAGAGAACTCAAAGTTTCGTTGAGTAGTTTTGAGGAGGTGAGAACCTATCTGTGCGTTCTACTTCCGTGTAATCAAGCTGCATTTGCGTCAAACCTTTTCATATGAGATATATATTAAAAACAATCAGAAAAGCCGGCCAGAAGTGAGAAAAACTGTCTGCTAACGAGCACGGCACAGCTCAGTCCAAGTGGCGGCGGATGCTGCACAGACATTACATTCTGCGATAAAAGATAAATAATCCTTAGTATATCTTGCTAAATGAAAGAACAAAAGGAACAGGAGATACAGCTGAAACCTTCAAAGATCCCTTTGACCATGATCTGAGAGAAGTGATAATTGAGGAAGGTTATGCCTCATTGATGTATGGCCGATTTTAGGCTCACTGGCCACCTAAATCTTTAGTTACGTAATATATTATAGTTTCCCATGAATTAATTGCAGTCTATATGATAGTCTATATACATTGAATTCAATCAATGTGAAAGGTGTTTAAAACTCCAATAAATATATAATGATGTCTGCAGATTATCCTTGAGCATCTAAAAGACAATAGATTTAAATATCGCTGACTGCGTCTAATTATAGGCGGTAACAGTCCTAAAAATGATACGAGTTAGAAATATTAGTTGGGTAACTCAAACCATGCTACATTAAATTTAGACACCCCAAAAAATACATCATTGACTAAAATAACATTGAATTTAGTTCGATTTCAAAAAACTGTCTTGATATCAATCATCATTACTTAGTAGTAAAAAATCTATTTTTCCAAACGAGAATGCTGTAAATCTGCGGTTTTTTGTTTCCAGATTTTAAAATTTCATCACAAGAACATTATGTACTTATGGGCTCCCACCTGCAGGTAAAGCTACTCTAGACCTCAAACATCCGTGCTCAAGGCAAATTTTACGAGAAGAGGTAGAAGAAAAGTGCTGGTTGCTGATTCTTAACGAGTTCGATCGCATACCAAAATTATTCGTGTGTATGGTCTACACTGTAAAATACGGCGTCTGTTGCAAAGGAAATTGTTTGACAATTTCAAACTTCCACCATAGACATAACTTATTTACGAGCCGTAAAAGTAATGATAACGATTTAAAGTTACAAGGCTGTGTTCTTGGAATCCGAAGGTGTAAATAAAAAGTGTATATTATGTGAAACGGAGAACATAAATAATTCTAATTGTGCTATCATAAGATAAGTTATTCTTGAAGGTGGATATTGCACTTGTCAGAAGCCACTAAACAATTGACGCTAGGTGAATAAATTGCTTCTTTCAAATTGTCTCTTTTTGCATTAAATAACACCACATATTGTAATACATTAAATCTAGCTCAGGAAACAACGTAATCACAGCCATCAAGATTTCATTTTGATTTGATTGTGTTATTAAAGACTTCCATTAGTGGATTCTTAGGATGGCCTGTATGCTGTAATAGATTTTACATGAAATTTGTTCGCCAGATCCTAAAATCTGGTGATGTTCGTTTTAATCAATTTGGCAAATAACAGTTTAACATGTAGCAAGGTTTTTGGAAGAATTAATTGTTGCTATCAAAACACAAGCTTCAAAAAATCTTTTTATCGAACGTGATAAATTTTTGAAAAACAGAAAGATAGTAAAACTTTTAATGATACAAACCTATGAGAGAGCTCTTTACGAACATGTTGTCGCAAAAGAAAAAATGACGTTTCTACCCTTGTCGACCAGCGGGACCAACTCCAATATATTTAGTTACTGTGGACATGTGAAACACCGTGAACAACAACTCTGAATTAATCGACGAACTCGTGTCATTTTTGACAGCCTCTACCTGCCTGCGGGCTCATAACTTATTGATTTCAACATTACGTCATGCTGTATTACTTGGTATCCTCTCCTTCTGCTAATCCTCAAAGAAAGACAAGGCACAAATTTGGCTTTCCTCCACGTCAATAAAGAATTTGTTTTTCGCCCAAGGGTATCTCCGGTATGTCTCTCTTGATAGTGAAAAATATATACATAGATAGGTAAAGAAGAAGACGAAGAAGAGGCTGCTTACTGGAGAATATTTCGTATTTAGCTAGTCAAACAAAGAGTAACCGAACCGTTTTAGTCTATGAAGATTTCCGATCAATTCTTAAACAGAACAGTCTTCGTCGTTCCCCAAAGCTGCAGCCTTACAGTCGAGCAGCGTATTCCGCGAGTTGAGACATATGGACTCACGGCGGAGTGCGATTTAGGCAAAGTTGAAATAGTCAGAAATGTTATAACGCGCATTAAAGCTTCTGAAGAATAGGAGGATTTATGTGCGATTGAAATAAATACTGCTGACTGCACATTGGGCGTAAAGCTGTCGTTTCCATGTATTTCGAACAATTATCATCAAAACGTCCATTGCAAAATTACATTTTATCATAGCTAGAATATTCGCCTAATGAAAGTCTTATGAGTGCTCTTCAAACTTTGCAAGTGCTCAATATCTCGACATACGCACAGCTGAAGCATGAACTAATTGTTTTGAGCAAACAGGTCGGTTCACGGTTTGGGCAAATGGTAAGCAAAATTCAAGACTGGTAAATTTCGTCCTGGAATCGCATTTACCATTTGTACAAATCAGTTCCATTACCGAAAAACGACAGTGAAGGCCTCAAATTAAAGATGGCTTTCAAGAAATTGAACCCAAATTTCCGTTTGGAACATTCCGTCCGTAAAAACAGGACTACCTTTCCAGATGTTCGATTGCTTCCGAAAAGGTTCCGCTGGAAGACCCAAAATATTGTATCCCATTTACTTTCAACCAGATTTTCTGGAAACATTTTGTAAATGATAAACAACGTACCGGTAATTCTTTGCTGTATCCATCCAAAACGGAGAAAAAAAATTTAAGTACGAAGGTATACGATCACATTTTAAGCATCATTAACTCACAACATAATTAACATAAGATATAAGCAAGTGACTGAATTAAGTCGAAACGGGTACTCATATTCTGACTGATGACAATATTCATCCCTGCTCAATATGCTGATTTTAATTATAGTTTTGTTATGACATACAGTCTTTCCTTTTCTCTTCGATTTGTTTTCAGCAGACAATAGTTTCAGATAAAATATGTTGTTGCAATGTTGCGTATCTTTTTCAATAGGCTATTGGCATGATAACGTCTTTTTACTATAAGACCAGAATTCATTTCGTTTGTTCCTTCATACTTTAAATTTGGTAATCCCAGTAAGGTTTGAAGAACAAAAGCCCTAATTTGAACCCTAAAGGATTCTGGCTGTAGTAGTAGTAGTAGTAGTAGTAGTAGTAGTAGTAGTAGTAGTAAAAGGACGCCATCTTGCAAATGGCCTATTCCGAAACTTTAAAATATTTCGCAAATGAAAAAGGACTTAAGTAAAGAAGCCAAGAGTATAATGGCGGGAACCTGGAATGCAAGGGGAGGGAGGCGGGAGGTTTCGACCCTCACTTTTCTCTCCCCCCCCCTACGCTCCCAAGAGAGGGTTATTTTGTGTACTCTGCTAGTCAATCAAAACAAAGAATTTCGCCTCATTTTTCCCAGCCAGAAAATAATTAACGTTAATTCGGTTTTGTGCAAGACAATACACGCAAGTTTCTCTTTCGTTGCATTATTGACTCGTAATACTGTATATCGGTGTATGATATCTACCATAACACTGAATAAGGCGTATTTCCTGCACCTGTTGCTTATTATCAACAAACAGTTTTTATTTTTTTTAATAACAATTCTGCCACATTTTTAACAAAGAACCTAAGAAATTGCGCGTAAGAATGGTATACAAATATAGGAAAGGAATGTTGATTCTGAAAGTCAGTTTTAACAACTGGCTAATCTAGCTTGAGATGTTTACCGCGCGCGATACGACGGCCAGTTACTGATGTTTTTCAGTCTGGCAAACTCGCTTCCTGTTTTTAAGAGGATCAGTAAAATTTGCGTGACAGCTGAGATGTGCGGCACATTTCATCATGAATAAAATATGGGCTAGTGGTTCACGAGTTTAAATAACCACGATCGGGTGAAAAAGAGAAGTTTTCAATCGATATGACATGCCGAACTGTCTGTCACAGATATCAATTAAATGACATTGCAATGCCAGCGGCATTTTGCCTTATCACGCGCATAGACGACGTTCGTCGTAGTATTTTGATGCCTCACATGGTAAAGTAGATATATATATATGTATACGCCTCGTGATCTAAGAAGGACAGTCACAAAATAATTTTTAGGTTGAGTGAGCGTTGGCTAGGAAATTCCCACTGGACAATAATGGAGGCGTTTCTTTCTGCCAATATTAACAGTTCGGGATGTTCTACCAAACAAATACTTGTAAGAAATGAATACACTTGCGGTGTGAGCCATCATTGGTCGAGAAATTTGATTTTAAACGAAGCCAACTTCTTGGAGACCGCAAATAATTTTCCAAGTCAACACCTAGAAAGAAAATCTATTTTAGTGGGTACGGGGTAATCCAAATATGAATTAACAACTGCCATGAAATTCATTTAGCTCTCTGACAATGAGGAAGCGTAACCGAGGATAAAAATACTTCGAATTGGTGGAAGGATTTTGGTTTTTTTCTTGTGATCAAGTTCGACCACGCAGACTTAAGAAAGGATTACCTCATCAGGTGCTTGTTAAATTTTGTTATATTTTCGTTTTTATTTTTCACTGCAAGACTTATTTGTTTCAAAGCCCAATAAGAATATGTCTATGGTCTGAAATGATCACTGCTTTGAGCGAATGAATGGGCAAGCCCAAAACAATATACGGACTGTCCAACTTTTCTTACTTTCTTTAAGGAGATTTTTTTCGAGAAAAAAAGAGATATACCTCGAATTTTTCTCTGTTATTATGCCGTAAGCTTTTTAGGCCAAACAAGTAAATTCATCGTCTTCACAAAATTTGAAAGCCGAGATCGCAAGTTTTTTTTGGAAAAGTACTTTCAAATGATGATCGCTAAATTGATTGAGGAACAACTTTGTAGGGTCGACAAAAAAATCATGTTTATTCATCTACCGTCCCTTTCTCTGATAAAGACGAGTCCGACATTTTTGGAAATTGCATCTGAAAAGCAGCTTTGTTTATCTATGAAATGAAAACCTTTCGTTCAGATAGAAAAAGTGATTTGAATGTTTTTGCCTTGACTCCCCTAATTGTGTTAATCAACCACAAATTGGGATCTTTACCGATAAATTTAGGTCGCTTCGGATAGTTTTTATATTCGGCGGCGGTGATTCCCTTCAGAGCAATCCAATTCTTAAGCATATCGACCAATCAAAGCCAGTCTTCATGATTTTTTAAATAAATAGCCTAAAGTTCGTTTTTGTAACAACGGCAAACCAATTTCTTTTCTAAAATGACTCCTCCTTCAACGTAACAAAATTGATTAAAGTTAGTGATGGACAACGCAAAATTTGACTGAACTGAATGGATTTCCAATTTTTATCGCCCGAAAAGCCTGTTGTTTCTTGTCTAGTTTTTACTTTCACTTACATCAAGAAAAATTAAAGTAGTTTTGATTTAAATACCTTCAGTTGGTTAGTTTCAGAAATAAGGTTTCTTGATATAGTTTTTTCTTATTGATAATAGATACGGGATAAATTAGGTTGCGGAGCACCGACAACCTACAATGAAAGGGTTTTACCTGGTATTGTATTGGCTTAGCAATGATTTGGGAAAAACCTTTCGAATAAAAGCAAACACAAAAAAAAATATAAAAAATATAAAATATCAAAGATTACTTTTGACTTTAAGAAGAGAGGGACAGCCGACAAAGAACAGCCGATGCAGCTGGAGAGACCGAACAGAGAAGAAAGTCAATACATATCGCCTCAAAAGATAATCATCTACAATCTCTCTCACTCCCCAAGTACCGAGCGAGAACCTGTAAACGTCTTCCAAATTTGGTCAACAATGCAGTTTTTTTGCACATGACGTCATCACGCCCGCCATATTGGTGTTCCAAACCAGTCTTTTTGTTATGTAAACACTTTCTTTTGTTGCTATTAATTTACATAGCTGCCACTGAGCCACGTGATTCAAAACGGCTAAATAGGTGGTTAGGTAGAGAGAATTAGCCGGAGGATTTGATCTACAAACGGAGAAACATTTTGGATGAATAATAAAGGTTAATATTGTTATCACGTTACTACAACAACAGCTTCGCGAATATGACCCCGGAATTTGACTTTAAACGGAGGCGTTGAAGATTTAATTCCATCGTTCTTTTTCGTGACTTCCTCTCCTTTCAAAGTTACTTGAACAAAAAAATCCGATTAATTCTGCTTTGTGCAAACCCAATTCTTGAAAGCACTTCAAAGTTTAATTTTAGGATCTCATTCTTTTAGGCATTTCTGGAAAGAAGCAGGGTGGGTGGGATTAAGACAAAATTTATAAATGGTTTCCGTTTATTTTTCCTTTCGGGAGATTTTGCTTTGCGATTTAAACGCAACAGCCTACATGTAATTCTTTATATCCCAAGTTAGCAAAGCAGGAAGCCTTGATGTTAAATGTATTTGATGTGCTTGTACACACTGAACGCCAAATGCCAATCGAGGCTGTCAAAAAAGGTTTATGAGTTTCAATGCGGCTTCCTTTTATGGTCTTTTGTCCACGACGTTACAGCCTCGATTTCACGGAAAGAAACTGCTTCTATAGAAGTTAATTTACCAGCAGACAGTGTTATACTGGGAACCATATTTTTTCGAATACCGCGGTATAGATTTATTAGCACGGTTAAGTAGAGCTTTAATTTCACAAAATTATGTTTCAATTTTGCAAGGGTTTTAAAGCTTCATCCATCTCTCCAGACGCACTTTGGATAATCATGCGCAAAAAATTCAATCCTCCTTTAAACAATGTGTTTTGTTTTTAAATGAAAGAAAACATGACATCAAAATAAATTATCATAAAGGTATTAAAGCAGCTGACAATTTCTAGACATTCTTTTATAAGTAATATGGAGAAGCTCTCTTCTGTCCTCAAAGGAAAGATGAGAATGTAGATGTGGCTTCATTTCCAATAATAAAAAAATAATACAAAATTGTATGTTAAATGATTTAATCAGAATTGTTCCAAATATTCCCTGATCATGATTGAGCAACAGAATGCACTAGACCTAAAGTTGTAACATATTAATTCTGACGAGGAAGTTAACAATTGTATCTGGGATGGTAAACTACACACATTTGCCATGTTTAATCTTAGTTCTCCATGGTCAGTGATCGTTAGCTTTTATGAGCAAGTAATTTTCATTGCTTTGTGAGTTCGTTTTGCATTGTTATTTGAAATTTACCCTATAAACTTTACAGCAACGATAACCTCACAGCTCGTAAACACTATAATTTAGGTGCGAAACTTCTGCTTCGCGTTTTGACGCAATCACTAAGCGAAACCGACGCTGCGCTAAGTAGCAGATATCAGTAGCTTATCAGCGAACAGCATGGACTTGAAACAGTGGGAGCTACTGAAGATTGCATAAGGTATGGATTAAGAATCCGTTATATGTGATCTTTAGCAGAAAAAGAATTCAGATTTTTAAGCAACTAACGTAAAATAAAAAAGATAAAAACATTTTTAACTAAGCTAAAATAAATTGTTACCTACTTGAATTCTTCGCAATTTTGAACACTTCGTAGCTTTCACTGCGAAATGACGGCAGATGAGGCCTTGTGAGTCATCCTTTTACTATTTGAAAGGCAATATTTTATTAGAGCGAAAGAAAATGCTCAGTCGCGGAGGTCGGTACTTAAAGATAAATTGTGCATCGCGATCATAAAGTCTTTTTCAGCTCCACCAACAGCTGATTGGCTAACATGTAGAATTTAGGCTATTACACTTAATTGACTTGTTCAAATGGCTTCGGGGCAACCTATAAATGTTTAACTTGGGCGGTGCATTGAGGATTCACATGTGTTTTAAACTGTAATATTCAGTAAGCCCTTATATCTGCTTACTAAAACACTATGACGGCCTTTTGTAAAGAAGCATTTAAGATCCTGGCGTTACCTACGATTGCTGAATTTAGTTACAACTTTACGGCCAAGTAATTATGTTTGGATACCGGAGCCTCTAGACTTCGAGACTTCCTGACTTTTTAATATCCAAGATCTAAAAAAAGCAATGTATCGAGAGCCAAGGACAAATTGAGCTGTAAAAACTGGACATTACGTAATGCTTCTTGAATTTTCTTTTTTAAAAAAATAAAAGTTTTCGATACACTTTCGCTGAACAATAATTTAGCGCCGTTGGGCAATATGCAGTCGCCTTTCGCAGCTCCTATTATTATCTGGATTAAATAAACCAGTCTTAAAGCTTCATTGAAAAACATATTGGTTTTAAGCAATTAGAGCTAATCCCTTATTTTGAGTTTTACATGCTGGACAAACTATTTAATTACTTCCATAGACATAAATCAAAAATGTTTTCAGTGATCCACGTACGTGTCAGGTTTCTGATAAATCGGCCTTCAGAGAGTCTCCTTATTCTTAATACATTTGACATAAGATATGCCATAGGCATCATTTTGGTTTTCACTTATTAAAATTCGATTTAATTGTGCTTCTTTTGGTTGAAGTGATAAGATGCAAGACTGGAAAAATATAGTTAGTTCTTTCGTTGTTAAAACGTACCTTTGGCAATCGTTACCAGGTTCCGATCAGAGCTTTAATATGAAACGTCTACCAAAACATATAACGAAAATTATCCCCGCTAAAATAATGCAGAAATTGTCACCTAAAATGGATGCAGAAAATTTTCATGACGCTGTTATGTTCTACGACTGCAGCTGAACTTCTACGCCTAAACGAAATACTCTCTAACTTAATAACATTTACTACGCGCCGAGAAACTCAGTAATTTGCCACCTGCTTGCAATGTAAGTCTGGGCGCGCATTAAAAGATATCCGTGTTCAGTAAGTTTTGCACATGAATAACATAAGCTTTTCTTTGTCTAAATGCATTACCAGCTGTACCATCAAATTGTTGCTTTGCCACCGATTGTAATGTTCAAGACTATTGTATGAGAATAACCAGGTTAAATCCTGAAAGCAGATCATTAAATTTTTCGAGTTTTAGGGTTAATGATGACCCCGTTTTTTTTACAAGCCTGGGTATTAACGTTATTTGTGCTGCTCTAACTCGTAATACTTTCTTTTTAGTAAAATCAGCTTATTATTGTTTTGCTTATATTACTATACCCAGCTGAGCTTTAAGATGCACAGTATAAAAGGTTTCGTGACTAAAGCAACCAATGGTTTAAGAAAATTGTCACGAGAATAATTCTAGTGAAAGTTAATTAAAAGGGTACTTTTCTAATGGTTTCAAAAAGGAACAATAATGGAAAGTTCAGATCTTTTATTTTAAAAATTTTAAGACCGAGTGAAATCGAGATAATGTAAGTTTACATTTTTTTAATACAACATTAAACCAGTCTATCTTTTCCCATATAAGCAAAGTGAAAAAATAAGGCTGAACATGAATGTTCTCTAGCTTAATTTTTTATTTTTTCTAAATCGAAATTTGCTACTGTTGTAATAAATCAATAAAACTCGTAAAAAAAAAAAACAAATGTGGACCTATCAAGATAAGTTGCTGAAACAGTTTAGTATTAAACTAATCCACTTCTGTGACTGTGCTTTTTCATTAATTCATCTAATAATATTTATTCCTTACACATGCGCAAATGAAATCTCAGGGCAAAAGCCAAGCTCGGTCCCAGGGCCCTCTCCTACTCGTTCCCCCGAGCAAGAGAGGGAACAAGCAGGACTCTTTATACTGCCTTTGCTCGATTCTTTTGGAAAAGGAACTGAGCACTTGAATATGGATTTATATGAACTGAATGTTAATAAAGGCAACTTCAACTTTTTTCCACTAGAAGTAATTAATTGGGGAAAAAACTGTGACAGTGCAGACACATGATTAACCCTGGCGTCGCGGAGACAGTTACAGAGCTATTTGATTGACTGATCGGAACAAGCGGCAGGTTCCAAAATAATTGGCAGTGCCAGATACGTATTGATCGATACAAATTAGAACATAAAAACGGGTTGATCGAGGAAATATGATATTACCCTCATCCATATTTGAAAATCTATTCTGATTACAATTCAAGTTTAACTGAGAAGATAGACACCAACAGCGTAACATTGGAATTCGAAATCTAGAAAACTCGTTAACTGCGAAGGGACGAAAATGTAGGAGTAACGAGTTGGCAGGAAGAACAAGACTGGTTATCAAACTTCTATATGCTTTAGCAACTAGAGCCTCCCCGCAAAATATTAGAGACCGATTAAACCGGTCCTTCTTATAATGGGTTCTATTGTTTTCGCTTCATATTTATGGAAATACCTTTTTTTGTTCTCCTCTTCCCGTCTCCCTCACTATTTAAACGCCCGAATCAGACTTACAACACTTGAACCGATGACGCTGGAGAAAGTTTGCATGCCGGTCTAAAATCAAGAACCGCGGATGACATGAGAATTTGATCCCCATGTTAAATGATTCTTGCTTCAAACTGGTAGGAAAATCATCTTATGCCTGTCTGTCCAACTCATGTTTGGAGTTATTCTTGGATGACATGAGAATTTGATCCCCATGTTAAATAATTCTTGCTTCAAACTGGTAGGAAAATCATCTTATGCCTGTCTGTCCAACTCATGTTTGGAGTTATTCACATGTTTCCCTAATCTGATTCCGATTCTGAATAATACGTGTCAATTCAGCACTTGGACAGAATCACAGACTGTATCAGCGAATCAGAGCGGTACTAGGTTAGATAGGTCTCCATGCTAATTAATTCTTACATTAAACTGTTAGGAAAATCATCTCATACCTGTCCGACTCATTCTTGGAGTGTAATTCCCTAATCTGAGTCCGATTCTGAGTCATACATGTCAGTTCAACACTTGCACTGAATCAGAGACTGTATCAGAGAATCAGAGAATCAGATTTAAACTCAAGACCGGTACCACTTTAAATCGGTCTCCATGTTAATTAATTCTTGCTTCAAACTAGTAGGAATTTCATCTAATACCTGCCTGTCTAAATCAGGTTTGAAGATGTTGACATGGCTCCCCAATCTGAGTCTGATTCTAAGTCATACTTTTTAGTGCAGCGCTTGGACTGAATCAGAGCGGCTCAATATGACTTTTAAAACCAGTTTCATATTAACAGATTAGCAAGCATTTGTCTTACCAGTCTCGTGAATTCAAGACCTGGAAAATTTTTACACTGGTCCTATCGAGCTGTTACAAAGTGTCCATGGTCACCGCGTGGATGCACACTTTGAATGAAAATTCTATTGGCGTTAGTTTAATTACTTATTGAACATTTAAGGCGGCGAAAATTTTAACTCTATTCTTGTTCTATAGACGAAGGTATGCTTTAAGAAAGAGACCTGAATGTCAAGGAAAAACTCATCGAACTGTCATAATATCGCTGGACATGAAGCGAAATAGTTGATAACAATCTAGCGAAGCCGCGACAGCTGATACTGGAGTTTAACATGAATACTGTAATCATCAATGTTACTTAAGACAAAACAGTGCAACTTAAAAACTAAAGCAACTAAAATCATGTTTTTTCATTTCATAAGAATTAAATACTGCGTATAATGAATTTGCAATAATTATCATCCTACACTTACCAAAATGAAACTTAGAAGTGGCGATAATCTATCAAGGCCGTAGTGATTTCATTGTTTAAGAGATCCGCTACAAATTCCATTTTTGTTATTGAGAATTCAGTCATGTTTTCATAATCTACAAGATGTTATACCAATGTTGAGGAACATTAGCATCTTGATTATTTTTCTTGAACTTTGAAGTCAAACACTCTACTTGAATTTTAAAGATAAACTCTTTACCACCAGATGTTTGAGTCATGAAATTGTAAATATTTGACATTCGTTCATTTAAGCGTTTGATTGAATTCTTTTAGATATCCAGTCTGCTAAAGTTAAATTATGTGCTTCAACTCACAGCGGGAAATTTGAAACAATACAAAGGCTCTCAATTTCCAACTTATAACGACCTTGGCGAAAACTACCAAATCATATATGGAATTTTCATTTTCTCATATAGACTCGTGGGCGTCGTAAAATTCTTTTACCAAGGAATCTATAGCACAGTGATTGATAAAAAATGTGGTGTTTAGATTATCGCCACATCGTTGTTGATATGTATAATCTCTATGGGGAATCGATAAAATGTATTACTCATGCCGAATCCAAAAACGAATAGGAAGATTTATTTTACCATGATAGACATTTTCACTGTTTAAAATTGAAAAGTTAATAACGAGTTTCGAAGGAAAAGGTATATTAAAAAACAAATCACTTTCCTACAAGTCAGCTTTCACAATTCTGCGGCTATTGTAAAGCTCTGATTTCATGATTGCGAACGGATTTAATTGAACAAAAACAGCCCGGGAAACGGCTCAACAAACTGGCTCTAACGGTGAATATTTCATTTATATGTGATGTGTCGCTTGATACCATTTAGAGCGTAATGAGTTTTCAAATGTGTGTACGCTCAATATCGTCTATATTACAACAGCTTAGACGTCAAACAGTAACGAGCGCTGTTATAGATACAAAGGAAAAGCGGTAACTCAAAATAAGCTGGGGTCTGTGAAGAAAAGTGGTCTCATCGACGAGAAACTATGATTTATCTACACACATTGCTTACTACATCAAAAGCATGAAATAAATACTCACTACATTCAATACATTCACTAAAAAGGAAGCTAAAATTCCTGAGCTCAGCCTTAAGTTTTTGTCTCACAGGCAAAATTTAAAGAGAATTTTTTTCAACGAGAAAAAGTGGAAACTTCAAAACGAAAAGAAAGTCGGAAGAAATTCGGGCTATAACTGGATTCGAACCCTCGACCTTTTCAGTACCAGCAAAGCAGTCTACCAAATTGAGCTAACAAGCCAACTATTAAAAAGCAAATCATTGAGTTGGTTTATCCTCTGTTACTCAGTTATTCTAGCTGCATTAACAATCAGATTTTGACCTATTCCTCTAGGGTGGCCCAAAAAGAATATTTCATTGTGCGGAACTATATCACTTGTTTGATTTTTTTTTTCAATTTTTCTGTCAGCGACTGGGATTTAGATGTCAGGGAATGCTATTTAGACCAGAAACTGTACAACATGCTGACCGGAATTGAAGACAATACTTCTCTTACTGACGTCAGCTCTCGTGACAAAACAACACCGAGTTCTCGGAGGCGAAAAAAGGTGGTGACGTTTGCAAGCATGGCAGAGTTAGCTGAAATACAAGCTCTAGCAGCATGCGAAACTGATTCACAGTGTTCAGAAAGCGGAAAAACACCTTCTCTTGACGAAACAACATTGCAAGCATTGCAAGATCCAAGACTATTCTTGAATATGCCATTAGAGGATTATGACGCCACATGTGGTAATGTGAGTACCGCGGTGCCTAAATACTGCAGCAGGCTATTAATTGAGTTCATTCACAAGGCACTCAGACAGTCCGACATATCGTTTACCATTTCGCTTTGTTACCTTTCCCGAGGGCTTTTCCAGGAAAATTCCAAGAAATTTGCTTGTTTTTACTTTTCAAAGAATTTATCACAGACGATGTCTCATGGGTATATAGTCCAAAAAAACCTTTAACATGCTCCACAATCACTGAAAGAAAGTTCCTTCAAAACTCCCGCATTTTATGTAAGCATATTCTAACTTCTGTGGAAACTTTGGTAGATTCGGTAAAGGAAATTGAAGACAACTCCCGCAAAGTATGCTTGTGTCTCAGGTTTTGTTCATACTATACCCGATGGCATTTCGCGATACACAATAAGCTTTCCAGTACAGTAAAGATCACCTATCCAATATTAACTCTCCACTTTTAAGATCGGCTCGCGCAGCTTCGCTCCGTTACAGAAATCGCCCCGAAATCACTGTTACGAGTGAACAAAAGCTTTATCTAGTATGGTTTTCGTTCCGGCGCAAACACTATCCGATATAATGTGAATATAGCCCAGTAAACTCAAACTACGAGGCAACATCAACGAAAAGAAAAGCTATAAAAAGTTAACAGCTTTGATCTGGGTAAAAACCGTTTTTTTTCCTCTCTGTTTTTCCATTCCTTTTCTTTAGTGTGTGTAATACCGTTGCTAGAACCTTATGTAACATGTTTCTTTTTAGGTACCTGCCGATGACACTTTCCTCGTTTTACGACAACATGGAACAAATTCTCTTGCACATCAAGTATTTCGGTTTAATAAAGCACGCTCGATGTGGCTTTTTGGACCTCTACAACCTCTCCGACTGTGGGCCATAAGTTTGGTTACTAATCAGTATCCTTTTGTTAGTTGTATGCAAAAAGAGGGTACAATGTCTAAATCAGTGTTAGCTCTTTTATGAATGCTAAAGCACGATCATTTTTTATTAATTTTTCCAAAAATGAAACCGGAAGCAGTGGGGACATGCAGTGAAACTTTCGCTTTTTTAAAGTGCTACACGATTGATAAATCTTTATTTCGCAGTATGAGCAACAAAATTGTCGCCAAGTTCATCATTGAAAAATCATTAGCCTTGGTTGTCAATGCCATTTTAGAAATCAATTTTATTATATCGCTGTCCTTAACCACAATGCTTTTTCAGATATTTCGAGCTGCTTGTGATTATCGTCATTCTCATAAACTGCGTCTTTTTGGCTCTTAAACATCCTCCTGAGGAAATAGAGTAAGTCGCTTTATTGTGAAATTTTCCTTTATAACGTGGTAATGAATAGTTTAAACAACTGGTTTAGCAGTCACATCTGCTGGAAATAATACTCTGAAAAAGGTCAGTTTCTATTTCTTTTGTGAAATACCGTTAAGCGTCGTCCAGAGTAAAAGATCGCCACCGCACCCCGCGTCCAAAAGCAAAAAATGCTGCAATTGGACCGACAGAACGTAGACATTTCTAGAACTGGTGAGCGTTATGATGCAACGATTGTTCCCGACTAAGGGCACGAAATTCCTTTCAGAGGAGAAAGGCAGAAAAATCCATGAAGTGGTTAGCTCCAGAAGTACCACCTCCGGATAACTGTGTACCATTGCTCCTGTACTTTATAACGGGCCGCAAGAAACCTTTTCCACGCATATAAAAAACATAAAGTGACTTTAAACGGAGAAGACTGAGCTTATTGATCTCTTCTATGCCTTGAACAATCCCTATCGTCAATTTTCAGACGGAGACAAGAATTTTTTGCAGCATTTCTTCAGTGGTTGAACTCCTATTTTCATTGTTTAGCTTTTTTTTTTTTCAGATACGTCTTTACATCAATTTATACAACAGAGATGCTCCTTAAGATTGTGTCTCGTGGATTTGTCTTTCATTCGTACGCATACCTTAGAGATCCATGGAACTGGCTGGATTTTATCGTCGTTGCTTTAGCGTATGTAGACTTAACTTGCCTTTAAACAAAATCACGATAAAGACGACAAGTCTACTTTTTTAATGAATTTCTCTCTTGACAGATACATTACAATGGCTCCAAACATTGCAAACTTCACGGCCATTAGGACTGTCCGAGTTCTGCGAGCACTTAGGACTATATCTGTCATATCAGGTAAGTTTAACAAAGTTTACTGTTTGTTACCTAACCGAAAAGCTTTCTGACAGACAGACTCACTGACTGATCGACCTACAAAGAGACTTTTTTGCGGATGCGGGTCCAGACTGTCTATAGAATGCTTCATTTTCAAACAAAACCACCATCAACAAATGAAAATCTAGGTCAAGCTTCTCAGCCTAAACAAAGAAAAAAGCAAAGGCAGCAAAACAAGCGATTTTCGGGTTGTTGTTGCTTTTTAATTCATCTTGACTAAGTTATATTCTCTAGTTTAGTGTTGACTTTAAATTTTGCTCAACGTTTCTGGGCAAAGTGGCATGGGTAAAATAAACGGTAATCTACACGAGCTGCTAAATTGCTTCAAAGAGTTATACTTGAAGTTTAGGCCTGACAAACTCTCACTTATAGATAGAACAGTGGTCTGTGAAATGAAAGAACATTTTTTTTTGCAAACGTTCTTTCCTCTTAGGTCTCCGTGCGATGGTAAACACGTTACTACGATCTCTCAAGCTTCTGAGTGATGTGCTGGTTTTGTTTCTCTTCTTTCTTGTTGTCATGGCTCTCATCGGACTGCAGCTTTTTGTAGGAGAATTAAGGAGCAAGTGTGTGCTTAACGTGCCCTCAAACCTGACTGTAGACTTAATGGAATACATTCGGAATGAAAGTAAGCACTTGGTCATGTCAACATTGAGTGGTTTTCAATTAGGTGTCATTACATTACGCTGCCATTCATAACAAACACACACCATCAAATAAAACATGCCCCGGACAACAAGCTTGGTTAAACGCATGCAATAGGCTTATAGGCTTCCTTTCTTATGATTGGCTGAAAAAGTGGTGCAAAATTTTTTAGCCAGTCATTAAGCTTAGCAAGGCAACACCAAAACAGCGTCAAAATTACTCTCAACATTGAAATAAAAATGTTCAGTTTACGTGTGGATATCAATTTTGGATTATCTTTCACCAAATGGACAAATAGACTTAGCGGCAATGCATAATTAAGCTTAAGAAAACTAACTTCTCTTTTAAGGTGTTTGGTATTTGCGTCACGGTGAGGCAGTGATATGCGGGAACTCATCCTGGGCTGGGTGAGTTAAAAGTCTACTTAGAAGGATAAGTCGGTGTGATATCTTATCTCTAATTAGGATTATTACGTAGTAAATATACTAGCAATAACCAAAGGTTGCGGAGTGCGGGCGACAACGATCGAAGGTCAAAACGCTTTTGCTCTATCGCTGTGCTGTGCGTAAGTTTCACGTGAAAGAGAGTCAAAACACGCGTGATCAGATTACTAGTGACAGAAGGTCCAAACGCGCGGAATCAAATTGCGTTCTGTGCATTCCATTCATTCTTAGTGGAAGTCCAAACGAATGCTGGCTACATACATGAGACGCACGCGTAATAACAACCTGAAGATTAGGATTGCGCGCTCCTCTTGTCGCCCGCAATATCAAGATGCAGCCAAGCTAAGCAAATCCTTCACTGCATTAGTTGACTCGTTTCTCTCTCTGCATAAAATCTCGTCACAAAAGCTTACAAGAGAGAACATCTTTGTACACCTCAATGCAATAAATGTTAATTATTTCTTCAGGTCTTGTCCAGCTAATTACACCTGTATGGCCAACGCTGGACCCAACCCCGATCATGGCTTCACCAGCTTTGATAACATTGGATGGGCTTTGCTGATGGCCTTTCAAATTCTTACAATGGATTACTGGGAAAACCTTTACAACAAGGTAATCAAAAAGGCTCCAACCAGATTTATGTATTTTTCTATCACATGAAAACAATTTCGGCAATAAGCAGGTCATGGGTTGTTACGAAACAGTGTTCGTCGAATTCTGTAAATTGATTAAACGGAATGTATGTCTGTCTTTCATCACTGGCTTTAAAAAATCTTTCAGTATTAAGGACCAGTGTTACTTTTAGCGCCCTCACTTTGGTTATTAAAACCAAGGTTATGATGTTATATATTATTTTCGCCATCTCTTATCCTTTAATTCCATCTCTTATTCTATAATTCTTGGCCAGCTATTTTACTGGCTTAGTGCTAAAACAATCACTGACTCTCTTTATCAATCCGCTGAAGAGTAGGATATTTGCCTCCACTTCAGTTCTGGAATAAATGCTCGCTGTCTAATTCATTAACCACAGGTAGTCAAGGCGCTTGGTGTGTGGTATGTATTCTACTTTGTCATTACCATTTTCTTCTGCTCCTTCTACCTCCTCAATCTTGTCCTAGCTGTGGTATATATGTCCTACGAAAAAGAAATGGAATCAATTGAACAGGAGGTTAGTCAACGACGGCCGAAGTCGTTTTATTTGTTATAATAAGCAAGTACTAAACAGACCATTCAAAGAGTAAAAATGGTGATTTTTTTTTATTAAACATATTTTTATCTGGCGAAGTTTTTAGAAACAGAAACACACCGAGAGGGCTCACTACGAAATATCATTGAATAAATAAACTACAATAAATAGTAATTGGTCAAAAGCAGCAGCAAAACAAACAATGTATTTAAGGAATGCTAACAGATGGAACGTACATATTTACGTATTTTCATGAAATCTCCTTGATTGAGATATAACAGACTAGACATAGATATACGTATATCACTCTTTCACTGTTGAATTTTGTCAATGTGCTACGACAAAGCTCATCAGTTACTTGTTCAGACCAGATGTTTAGATCATTGGTCAGAATTGTCTTTTTTCCAAGTACAGAGAAATCGACGCCTTTACCTGACAACAATTTTTAAAAGAATTGTTGTTGAGCGTGAATGTGTTTTTATGTGTTTTGAGCAAACACAAAAATGGAAAAAAATGAAGCCTACCCGAGTCTTTTTTTTTCATTTGGCCAACCACGAAGATGGCTAGAAAGCTTTTCAACGAGTTGAGGATTGTACATGTTAGAGTAATTTGAAGATATCGTATTTCCTCGCGTTTTAATCCTCCTCGGTAATGACCGATATTCTTATACTAAGAACTATTACTAACCTTCTCTGCCTTTATTTGCACTTTGCTTTCTTTTTCCAGGAGAGGCGAAAAGAGCTCATGAAGAAAACCGCTGCCTCATACACTGCAGACTCTGGCACCCTCAAGAACCTCAGACCTTTGAGGAAGCTCCGTAAGACGAAAGAAGCGATGGTTGAAGTAACACAAACCGCATGCATTGTTACTGACGTTCCTGATATTGAAAATGAACATAAACGTAATCAAAAAACGCTCGTTGAAAGAGTGTGTGACTGTTTTCGTTATGTGAACACAAAATGCGAGTCCTGTTTGGGCAGGATACCTTTCGTAAAGTCTCTTCGGAAACGTATGCGCACTGTGGCTGAATGTGCAGCTTTTGACGCAGTTATTATAGGAGTTATAATGCTGAACACCATAGTGCTAGCACTTTATCATCATGGAATTGAAAAGAAGTTCGAGAAAGTTCTGGATTTATGCAACATGGTATGAAGAATACTACTAAGTACTGCGTTAGCTGACCCACTTTTGTTTTATCCGTAATAGGTCGGGGGCGGTTATAGAAACTAGACGATAATTTAAAATAATACAAATTACTAATATAGCAGCAGCACTGATCCACATATGGGGGTTGGTATTTGAGGAGAGGGGGAAAAAACTTAGGAGCTAGGAGCCAAGAAGAGAATCAGCAACAAACCAACCCACGTATAGCCGTTATGGCACCGCCGACCTTGAGATTCGATCCTGGTCCACTCTGGCGAGAAACCGATTCCCTCACCACTGTCTTGCTGTTGTTTCCAGCATTTGAATACGTAAACTATTTTTACATGAACCGGGTGGGAATATATCACCTAAAACAATTGTCTGAAAGGTTCGGTGCTGGAAAAAGGAAGGAACACTGAATGCCAATGGACAGCTCGTTGAAACGCGGAGTGGGACCGATTGGGAGGTTATGTATTTATATGCAAAGAGAAAAGGTCGTATCCCTGCATATTAATGTCAACCCCGTGGCATTTTAATTTGTTGTCTATGAATAAGTTTTTGTTCAAGTGTTGTTTAACACGACGCTATAACTCAGTAAATAGTTTTTAAAAGAGTAAATTTAAACACTATTAGCCATAGTCTTAAGCCATGACTTCCTAAGCAAACTTGCTTAGTTAGCGTAGAATGACGTCAGGAGTTTTACTAAAAATTTCAAACCTGAGTGTCGCTGTTATTTCTTGGTAAACCACTCCACTCTTTCGCCCAATCATCCTAAGCTCGTCTACTTCAGGACAGTTTAACTTCTTTGTATTTTGCAGCGTTCGTGCCTCATTTCCTCTTTGAAAGTCGTTGTCTTTAACAGCAACGATACCTCGCCAAAATGGTTCTTCTGTCAAAATATATCACACGGTACTGGAAATTGAAATTTCAGCTTCTGACTCGTTCTCTTCGAAGGCAAAAATTCTACGCTTCCCAATAGTTTTCTGAAGGTTTAGTTGTAATACCGCCGTAAAAACTACTTTTCGAAGTAAAACCTTGGACCTCACAGTCTCAAGACGTTACTGTTCCTATCATGACGACAAACAACTAATTCGAAATGCAAATTCGAAAACAAACATAATTAAAAAGGTTGCAGTCAATGGTAATGCCACCAATGTCACTATGGAATGTTGATAAACAAAAGAGGGTGAAAATTAGACGCATTTCTCCTCAATTTACTCTTGGATCCCTTGAGGAATCCTCTCCGATGTAATTATAACCCGTTTATAGGTCCGTCAGCCTCGGTATGTGACATCAAGCATAGACTTAATCTGGAAAGAGCTATGATCTAAACTAGCTTTCTTTTAATGGTCACATGGCCAATTCCTCCATTAAAAGTAAACTTATTTCATTGTAGTACCTTTCCTCCACGCAGGAACATATTTCTTTAAAATCTAACCATTTTATCTACCCTACATTGTGAAACCCTTTTATAGTGTAGTTCAGTCATGAAAATAGAAAGCGAATAAAAGCTAGTGGCTCGCCTTCACCCTGGTGCTCATTACATTTTCCTTGCACTGCATGCTCGACAAGGGACGAAGGTTTTAGACAGTATGACATAACCCAGCACTTTTTGCCAGTTTAAAAAGTTACTTAGGTGTATACGTAACAGTGGTATAGCAGAGTGATTTTGCTTTATCTGTCATTATAGCCTAGCAACTGTAATCTTTATAATAAAAATGAGTCGACTTAAATTAAAAGAGACAACAAATTAAAAAATAAGATTATTAATTTTAAGTCTTTATCAATTCATGCTGTTTTAACACGAGAATCCTCTTTTTAAACAACATGGCATTCCCGGCTGAGTAGTGTTGCAGCTGGTTCACATGGTGCCAAAAGTTGTCTTTTGTCTGATATCACCCGTAGGTGTTCACGATAATATTTGTGGCCGAGATGATATGGAAAGTTATTGCCTTTGGACCAGTTGGTTACGTAAAGAGCAGGTGGAATATACTGGACGCCTTTATCGTGATCGCAAGTGTTGCTGGGTATTTAACAGAGTCGGGTGGAAGCTTCAGTATCTTCCGTAGCTTGAGGCTGGTATGTCTTGCTTTGTAACAGTTTAAACGCGTTCAAATGCGCTGTGAAATGACTAAGATTACAGGGGGGAGAGTGCCCTGGTCAAACATCGAACTTCTCATGTGAGGAAATATTCTCGTATCTAGATCTGAGTACGAGGTTAGTGACGAGCCTGATCGCCGCGGTCAGCTAGCTATTAGCCATTTATTCTCCTGTTCCAGAAGTCTTTGCGAAAGCTTACTAGGCCCAATTCCCTTCTTATTTCTAAAGCGGCAATTTAGGCAACACCAAGAAACGCTCTTATTTTTCTCCCCTTTTTTTCTTTTTAGTTTCGAGTTCTTAACCTCGCACAGTCCTGGAAGACAATGGCCAAACTAGTGACGGCCATAACGAAAAGCGTAGGACCTGTTGGAAACATCACTCTTATTCTTGGAGTCATTATATACATATTTGCTGTGGTGGGAATAAAGGTTTTTGGTGACGCTTACACAACAGACAAGTTTGGAACTGATGGAGTACCACGCTGGAACTTCAATAACTTTTGGCACGCGTTTATGATGATGTTCAGAGTGCTGTGTGGGGAATGGATCGAGCCACTCTGGGATTGCATGAGAGCCACTAATCCTATGGCTATTTTGTTCTTTTTGCCCGCTTTTGTTATAGGAAATTTTATCGTAAGTATTACAGAGTCATTAAAGGTGTTATTCTCAAGAACGTTTATTTATAAGACGCTTGGCTGTTTTCAAGTAAACAGGGTTTAAACAGGCTTTGTTTCTAGTTACAAGGACCAAAATTCAGCACACCCAAAACACTACCAAGCTCCGCGGTATGGGCAGTACATTACGCATGCGCACAGTCATATCACCAGGGCAGGCGCACTCATGGACTACTGATTGCCCCTTGTTAGGAATCGTTACCATGATTCGCCTCATCTGTAGCCTGGTCCGAGGCGAATGGATCTAACTTGCAATCACAGACCCCAAAGTTTGCTGTGATCTTATCAAGAGCAGCAAAATACAAAAGAGAGCAAGAGATGACCGCTGCTTTGACTAGGAAATTTGTATGAGAGCTACATTGGACCAAATAGTCTTTAAAATAGGGGCACAAGCTTTCACTTCTCCATCTAAACTAATAATCCCCGAAAGAGTCAAGTTAGTCCGACACCAATTATATCATAAAATACTCTGAAATCATTGAATAGAGCAGCAAATCGTCTGGAGGGAATAGTTAGTGTCCGTTGTCGTTTTATCTACCGGAATACTATCCGGATGACCACCTACCGAGGGAATTAAAAATCCTGGAGACGCTCACATTGATGTTTCTTAATTCAGGTACTTAATCTTTTCATCGCCCTTCTGCTGAGCGCTTTTGACACCGAAGACGATGACAATAACTTAGACGAAGATGAAGGGAACAATTCGAGACTGAAGAAGCTTATAAAGAGATTCACCAAGACCAAAAAGACACGCTTATTTGTGGCTACGTTTAAAGAACGATACAAACTGTATGAAGTGCAGCTGCTTGAGAGTAACCTGGCAGCCCATGGGACCCCTCTGAGAAAACCTTACCGTGGGGGTTCAGTCAGAACATCCGGGAGCTTTCAGGAGGGTGTGTATGATTATAAAATATAAATGTCTTAATAGAACGTTTTCACATGACGTCACGTCTGCCATATTGGTGTTCCAAACCAATGAAAAGGTGGCTATGTTGGTGTTTTAAACCAGTCCCGTGGTTCTTTTGTTCCAATAAATTTTCATACCTGCTGGCCAAGCGAGTAAAAGGCTCTATTTTTCATTTGTACACTTAAGAAACAGTCGACCTTGGGCGACGAGATGTAATTCTTCCAATGATAAAAATATATTTTTACTAAGAATAAACAATACGAAACAATGGTCAATTTCAACTTCGTTCAGACGAGAAAGCGTCATGTAGAAAATTGCTACATAATATCTAAAGTATGCTAGCCGAATTTCTTACCCCAGTTTATTACGCACTCCTCTTAGGTCGAGGCGAAATAGTATCCACTGTTAGCCAGTCTCCTAAAGGAATTCCTCCTAAGTACATCGTTGAAGTAGACGACTGTTTGCCCGAGTGTTGTATGTTGCCTGTGTTCTCAAGGCAGCACTTTAAATGGCTAAAGTTCAGGTGTAGCATTAGATGTCTTGTGGAACACAAGTACTTGGAGTGGTTCATTCTCTTCACAGTCATGTTCAGTAGCTTCGTTCTGGTAAGAACAAAAAGTGAATCTTATTTTGTATTTCTTGCCTAGAAAGAAGAACCTGTTTATGGGAATGGCCGCAAAAGAACTGATCATGAGTTTCCTTAGGGTGTTAAAATTGACAGGAACTGATACATTTTTTAAGAAAAGCAATGATTCAAATCATTATTATTTTTTAATTTTTAATCCAGTCTTGTTTTCTCAAGGGGATTTACCATATTTCCATGAAAAGTTCATAAGAATTTAATTTGATGTAAGGTCAGTGGACTTCGCAAACTTTTTTTTTTGTTAAGAATTGTAACAGTTGAGCGTTCTTTTCATAGTCATTCACTAAAGAAAACGAAACGAATTTGTGCTGTCTTACCTTAACGAAGATATCTTTTTAAAGGAATGGCATGAAATATGTCCTGTTCTAAAAGCTAAGAAGTATTGTTGGGCGGAAGGACTACCAAAGCCTTTAGTGAGGCTTATTAAAGTCAGTCTGAGATTGATCCTTAGTCCGGAGTTCTTTCTATATTCATTTTTTCAGTGTTATCTCTCTGAGTTGAATAATAAGCGTCCTTTGTTTGTTTTCCTAGGTGTTTGAAGACATCCACCTGCCCGAAAGACCACTGCTTGAAAAAGCTCTAGGGATTCTCAATTATTTCTTCGCCGCCGTTTTCTCGCTGGAATTTCTTCTTAAGGTCATCGGCCTTGGCGTTGTTAAGTACTTCTCTTCAGTATGGAATTGTTTGGACGCTTTCATTGTAGCGGTAAGCAACTGAATAACTGGTGAAATATGCTTGTCATATCACTGATCTGTTACAAGGAAACAGCTCTCGCGTAGCAAATCATTATGTGCTTTTAGACCGTTACGCGAATACATAAAATAGCTTCTCTGTACAGGTAACTGGATCCTATCTATTTCATTATTTCCTCAGATCTCGCTTGCTTGCTTGTCAGATAACAAACAATTGTCAGTATTTCGATCTCTTCGGACGTTACGAGCCCTGCGACCTCTCCGTGCCATATCCCGGATGGAGGGAATGAAGGTACGGAAAATTATCAGTAATGCATTTCTTTTGACTCGGTCCGTTGATTTGCTTGGAAGAAGCCCATTACGTCGTAGCAAGTTCAGCAATCGCAGGTGATATAGCAGAAGAGTATTCAACTGTTTGAATAAAAAATTATAAAAACGAGGACCAAAGCTAAGAAGCTCATCTAAACGATCAGCTCCCATATTGCAATTCGCGGACATTTGTGCACACAGTGAATTCCGCCCAGGAAAAAGATTTCTAAAAATAGACTGAAAGTTTTATACAATGTGACATTTATTGATAGTAGATGGAGACTCCGATGTGATGGGCTCCAGACTAAATAAAACACTGTAATGATAACCCTAAACGTAGGTGAAAAATGTTTCTCAGGTCAATTTTTAAACTCATTCACATCATTTTTCCACACTCAGGTTGTCATCAACGCGTTGTTCGCGGCCATTCCAGGCATCGGGAATGTCCTTGTTGTATCTCTACTGTTCTGGTTGATATTTAGTATTCTCGGTGTTCAACTGTTCTCTGGAAAATTTCAATCATGCGTCGATAACGATGGGAAAAGGTTACCAGCCAGCCTTGTTCCAAACAAAACAGAATGTCTTCGCTTTCCTGAGAAATACACTTGGAGGAATTCAGATGTGAATTTTGATAATGTTCTCAACGGCTTCCTCACGCTTTTCCAAGTGGTAAGTTACATGATCCATGCTGATCCATTCTTTTATAGGCTTGTGTCGGAAGAAAAGATTCTGAGCTTCTTTTTAACATAAATATCTTCCTTTGCTACGTGGGTATCAATGCCTGAAAACTGCAACACCTAGAGTGACTTTGTTGCTCACTCCGACGACGTGAGCTCAGGAATCCATAACGGTTCAGCACCAGGTCTTGCCTAGTCAATTATACCACTAAGGACAACTAAAAATTGCAGGGGTTATTGACTGAACTTTCGCCAAGCCGCGAACACCAATTATTATTATTATTATTATTATTATTATTATTATTATTATTATTATTATTATTATTATTATTATTATTATCATCATCATTACTATTTTGCTGACGCTCATTGATTAAGACAACATTACATGTATCAAGCACTGTGTAGAGTGAACTTTCAGGACTCAAACGAAAAAAGAACCAGTAAATTGATGTTCCTTAGCATTTCAATACTAAATTAACTTAACAGCGCGATTGGTCTTGGTTTTAGGCAACGTTTGAAGGGTGGATTGATATCATGCACATGGCAGTTGATTCAACTAAGGTAAACTCGTACACTTGTATTAGAAGAGAGTTATGTTTCTGAGTAAGTCTCACAGACATTGCCTGAACTGACACTAAGCGTCTGCCGCGTAAGAGAGAGTAAAAAAGAAATGAATGGAAAGCAAAAGGAAATATCTCAGCCGTAGTGAACAGGAACCAACTCAGCCTGCCAGCAAGCTCTCCTATTTGGGCAAGCGAAGCGAGCCTCGCGAGAACGCGCGAGCGAGGGGCCTTTTATTCTGCCCCTCGCGGCTTCGCCGCTCGCTCGCGCGTTCTCGCGAGACTCGTTTCACTCGCCCAAATAGGGGGTGTTTCTTGGTGTTGCGGAAACTATTGTTTGTTAGCTTTTGTGTTGTGGTGTGGGTATTGTTCAGTGTCTTTTCAATCTTTTGTATTACGTCATTGGTGTCCGCAACACCAAGAAACCACCCAAATAGGAGAGCTTGCTCGCAGGCGAGAACCAACTCCACGAATATTTTGTAAAGAGGTGTCCATCTTAAATATAGCCTGATACCACCACTTGTTCAATTTCCCAGGGAAATGACGTCTGGGTAGTGAAGCAAATTTTCCCCTCGGCACGGACAATCAGTAGCACTACCCAGTCACACATCATCAGTATACTTCGTTAAGGGTTGTTTACGAAGAGAATGGAGATAGTTTGAATTGCTTGGAAGAATAGAATTATGCATAGTATGAATACATATCTTTTCTTTGTATCACTGAAACTTGAGCAAAGCATTCTTTCTCTGTATTTATTTTATCAGGTTGACCAGCAACCCGTCGACGACAACAACATGATCGCGTACATTTACTTTGTAGCTTTCATCATCCTCGGCTCTTTCTTTGTTCTCAACCTGTTCGTTGGTGTTGTCATTGATAACTTTAACTCTCTAAAGAAAAAGGTAAAAATTCATACAGCTTGTTTGGGGAAGTTATAAAGTCGAAAGGATGTTTAAAGTTTCCATGTTTTCTAATTTTTTTTTTAACCTTAAAACGGGTTGCAGTTTAGAGATCATATCTCCCGAAAGGGTTTCAGTTAGATTTCCGGATCAGGTTGGGCAAAAATGGGAAGAAAGGAAGGGGGAGGGAAATTGTGTAAATTACATAGCGGTTCTGACGATGAAAATTGGCGAGCGAGATCGAGATAAATCCATCATGGCTGGTAAAAGGTTGTGATTGGCCATTGTAATTATTTTTATTTTGATAATGATTTACTCAATCAAAAAAGAAAACGTTTATTGCTAAATATTTCAGTATGAAGAAATAAGCAGTATGGGTATGCTTCTGACGGAATCACAAAGAAAGTGGGTCAACTTTTTAAAGGAAGCAGCTAAGAAGAAACCAGTATCAAAAGGAATAAGACCAAAGGTAGGGTATTAATGAAGTTATGGCGTTTAAGCAAAGGTGTTTTTGAGCGACCTACGTCTAACGGAAGTGAATACTTTTCCCTTATAGTATGCCTTGACGATACCAAATTTGTATTGTTTATTGTCTTTACTAATATAATAGAGTCAAAACCACTTTCCACGATCTTCCGGTTGACGTGTGTCACTTAAAAACGTCCTTAAAAAAAAATTAGTTCTGATGGGTACCGTCCAAAACAGTCAGTGACTACAAAACAAGCTGCAACCTCGATGGGAGTGAATGAGAACGAGCCAAGTATGGTCGTACCTTGCACCGGAAAATGAAGACTCTAAGAAGATAGGCCAACCTGGTCGGGTGCAGAATAATTTGGAGTTTTTCATTTCCTCAGTTGCCGAGAAAATGAATCGTTTCCTTTTTTTTCATTTTTACTAACTGGACCGATTCCGCTTGTGCTTTGAGCTTATGGAACTAACAGCAATGGTTAACAGGATAATGGATACCTCATTTTTTTTGAATTCGTCATTCAGGAGATAAGTTATCATGTGCAACATGGTAATGATGACCATACAACACTATGGACAGTCTACTCAGGTCTCCGACGCTCTTCATATCCTTTCTCACCAACGACATAATGTTTTATTCATGAACTGCGTATAGATAGTTTTCAAAAGGTAACTGTGGTTCACCATTAAAGCCAAAATGATCCGGATCGTTATGAATCCAAAACTAACCTTCCCTGGTGTAAACGCATTGAAGAACACTGAGAAATCAAACCTGTCATTTTGCGCTACAAACGGCGTTACAACGTGATTGGATAAACCAAAGCTTTACCAAACAAACAACAGATGATCATCGACAAAAAAATGGAATTTTTAACGTTTTTGATTAACTAAGAGGACAAGTGTTAAAACTTAAATATTTTTAGCTCCACAAGGTCTCAATTTATCGTTAGTAACGTTTTCGTTTATTTCTAACGAATGTTAAATGATTAGATTCCTTAACTTAAGCCTCGTATGGTTAACACGAATCTCAAACTGGGTGTTCACTGGGATATTTACTGCTGAAGCCATAGTTAAACTGATTGCCTTACGACAGCATTACTTCAAAAAGGCGTGGAATGTATTTGACTTTATCATAGTTGTGTCATCTTTGATTGGTACGTAATGCTAATTAATATTATTCATTTCTTCCACGAGAAAATACACGAAGCTATTTTTAAGTGTTTTAAGCTATTATGGGAAGATTGACTCCCAAGCCCTATTGTTTTCACAGGAGTAGTTCTTGACGAGATCAGTTCAAAGGATACAGTGGTCAATCCCAGTCTCCTGAGAGTTATGCGGATCTTTAGAATTGCCAGGTTACTAAGAGTCCTCGAATTTGCCAAAGGAATTCGCCAGTTACTTGTGGCATTGATGATCTCTCTACCAGCATTGTTCAACATTGGCACCCTGTTGTTTCTGGTCATTTTCATCTACGCTATCATTGGCATGTCAGCATTCGGTCGAGTAAAGAAAGAAGGAAACAACTTGGATGACATCGTCAATTTTGAAACCTTCGGCAATTCAATGATGCTGCTGTTTCGTCTGTCTACGGGCTCGGGCTGGAATGACGTCGTGAGCTCATTGTCTATTCAACCGCCGAATTGTGACCCAGGTTACCATGGATACCCGAAAGGTAACTGTGGCTCGCCATTTGGAGCGGCCGCTTATCTAATCAGCTACATTGTCATCGTGTTCATGATAATTGTCAATATGTACATCGCTGTTATTTTAGAAAACGTGAATCGCGCTCATGAGAATGACGATTTTGCCATCACTAAGGAAGACTTTGACGGTTACTACCGTAAATGGGCAGCATTTGTGCCGAATGGGAAACAATTCATCCCTCTTGATCAACTGTCTGATTTTGTTGATGGACTGGAAAAACCTTTCAGGGTGTCCAAACCCAACGAAGCTCGCTTGAGGCAGTTGGACATCACGATACGTGCTGGGGAACTTATTCACTGTTTTGATCTTCTCAAGGCGCTGGTGCGATCCACTTTAGAAGAGCATGGAGAATCCCCGGATGTGTTTGAAGAGATTACAGTGAGAATGGAGGCAGAATTTACCAAGTCTATTGGACGAAAGCATTCCATTGCTATACTTGGCTCTACACAGACGAAATTCAAATGCGATGAGCCAAACGAAGTGGCATTGTAGAGAAGCAGGCTAGTCTAACAGTACAACTGAGGAAAAGCGGTTTTAGTAACAAGAGCAGGAGAAATTGTGCTCGATTTATCGCAGCTCAGGGCATTAATGCTCCAGAAAACAAGCGTGCTGCTCAAATTGGAGGTCATACGGGCTAAATCGTGAGAAGGATCATAGTCAAATGTTCTCGGAAGAGCTGAGTTGATTGTCAGTCATTGAAAATAAGAAAAGACCGATTGAAGAAGTTTTAAAGGACAACCGCATTAACTAAAGTAATTATATAAAGATCCACATAAACAGTTTTAAGCTACTAAAATACAACTATTTGCGAACTAACCTTTAAACTACCAGACCTTAGAAGTATTTCATGATAGGAACCAATGAGAATCACTTCCTTCTTGAAATTCATTCGGCTAGGAAAGGACAGTTAAATTAAATTTAGATAGTTCTTCAAACATAGCCAACCGTCACTGACTCAGCAAAAGCGGATATTTTTTGGATATGTTTATCTAAATTTATTGGTAACTACTTTGTTAAATTAAAATGCAAAATTAAGAATCATAATAACCGAAATTTGAAGTTGACTTTGCCTCGATCCAGTTCTCTGTGTTTAGATATCATTTGAAACACTCACTTTCGTGTTTGTTGTAACATCTAACACAAGACGTAGTAGCGTTTTTATTTGACAGACAGACATCGAAAAGTGGGTTAGAAAAACTCGGCTTTAAAACACCTACATCAAGGTGTCTAGATATTGCATGCAACACTGATCGAGTGTTGGAAAAAGAATCCCCAGTTGACACTGAAGAAGTTTGCAAAACTTTTATGGTCTAATGAAAGATAGGATTTTCAAATATTCACGGTTCCTTTTTTGTTCTCATGCATTGGTAGTAATGTGTTTACTTCCTGGTGTACAGGTGACTCACAGTTCGATATTTGTTGTTCAAGAAATGCTGCAGCGCTCGAAGTTAAACAAGTTGCAACTTGTTGAATAAAATACAGGCCATCCTTATTTTTCGTTCACCAAAGCTCATCATGTTGAATGGCCTATTAATATACCATAATACACTGCTCATTTGTTCAACAAAAAATGCGTTACTTAAGTTCTTACTCAAAAAGCAACAAAATTTGAAACGTGATTCTGGTTTGTTTTAAGAAAAGAAAGATCCACTTTCATGGCTTTAAATACATGCATACTTTATTATTTCCACAATATCAAAATCAAAGAACTCTGAAGGAAGTTAATGCTGATACAAAATAAAACTAAGTAGAAAGTCTGGATGAGATTAACCTGATAGCTCAGAACGGGTAAAAGTTTCCAAATGTGAGTTGAGAAATGAGAAGATTTTTATGTGCAAGGGTAAGTAGTTGATCCTGAGAAATGTGCTGGGATTTTAGTTAATAGCAGACAAATCACTGGTGATGCGACAATAGAGACCTTGAGATTCCACGACGAGAACGACTATGAGTGCGAGATTTGACTTAAAGTTTACTCGACGTGTTCTCAACGAAAAAAGTAGACATCACGGAAAGCTTCATTGTAATTTTGATTCACCAGAAAAGCTATTACTGCTATCTTCATTGAAGGAGTTTAAACCCTCTCGTAATCGCAAAATGATAACATTTCTAACATTTGATAACTTGTTTCCACCACTACTACATTCTCCCTAAAACTCGTCGTAGAATGACGACGGCTATCACATTTTCCCGCCAAAAGACGCTTGTTCACGCGCTAGCACTACTTCGTATTGACAAAATCTCGTACTCATCTTAGAATCTGAAGGTCTCCAATAGATAACCGATGACTGAGGTATTGAGCACTCTCGTCCAGACTCCATAAGTAAACACCTACTTTACACTATATACAAAACTTCTATCAAAATGTTAGTGCAGTCAAAGCCCATATTTCCAACTACAGATTGAAGGAAACATTGAAAGGAAGACTAAGATGAAAAACGAAACGCGAGGTGTTGATAACTTGTTCCACCTATTCCTTATAACATTACTGAAGCCTACGTTCACAGTTGTAGTTCGACATTGTCTTTCGTTCCTGTTGCAGAGCCATTGAATTCAACTCTGTACAGTCTGTGTTGTATGTAGTGGGTAACACTGCACTGATAACTACCTTTTAGCTCACACTGATATATTTCATTTGTCTCAAAAGCTCCTTCCTAAGTAAATCTTAGAAAAAGAATAATTTTTTTACAAACTCTTGAATTTACCGTGTCAAACTTCATTTTGAAGAAAACGATTATGTTAAAGTTCTCACTGGCGACCACCTTAGGTGTTAAGAAATAATATTAAGGGCCCCATTACAATGTTTGGGGCGTAGTTGACTGAGATACACAGTTGGGTCTTATAACCTTAAATTGTTAAAGATCATGAAGGAATGGGTGTTGTGATGCTACCAAGCTTCATTTGGCGTATACGTCTACGAAATATCATGAATCCATGCCAAGTTATAAGGATGATTAATACTTACGAATAAATTGACGATTAATACTAAAGAATAAATTTTATTGTACAACGATATGTGGATAAATTAAACTGTTTTTAGAGAAGGGGTGCCCCTTACGACGAGGAATGAATCAGCCAATGAGAGACTGGAAAACCAGAGCATTTGGGCGGGTTCTGTTTTCCGCCAAAATGACATATGTTTTGGAAAATGGGGCAAGACAGTTGCCTTGCTTAAGTCTTCTGCGCCAAAGGATTTTTTTCCGACGTAACAAAAACTTTTCCTTCAACATATAAAAACAAAAAGCCGTACGACGGGTTAAAAAGGTTTTAAAACATTGATAAAAAATAAAACCAAGAAAAAGTAACGACGAAGAGGTTTCACTAGTGGTCACATCCATAAGGATTTCACTCAAACAAAGGTTGAAATACTTCTTGTTTTCGTTTTCGCAATGAAAGGTTTTACGTACACGGTGTTCCTGTTCAAGGAATTACATAACTAAATCTGGGTAACGTTGCTAATGCATGCATTCAAATATTGGATTAAAAACGTGTGGGAGTTGTTTAGTATTTAAAAATTTTATCGGCAACGATCGGCATAAAATGTACAACAACACCCTGGATCGAAAATGGAAACTCTGAAACATAGTTACAAATTAAAAACAGGCAACTTAAAAATCTTTTGTAAGTTAAAATATAAAGATCGAATCTAAAAGATGTGAGAATCTGAGATTCTTACAGCTTTTAGATTAATATATCTGGTAAAAATAGACTCGGGAGTTGACGCTTTTTCTCTTTTTTCTCATTCATAGACGAGTGGACTATGTTGAGAAAATGATCTCCAGTGAGGAAAGGGAGGAGGAAAGCGAAGAAAGAAATTTCATTTCGTTTAACTATAGTCTTAACGTACAGTACTTTCCATTGCACATCAAATGTTCTCACGAAACGCAATATTCATTACGCTCGAGTGATCACCTATTTGCGGGGAATTCCAGAGAAAAAATGGGCAACTTGTAATCTTGGTGTCCATTCATGGCATTCAAGTGACCGTATTCCGGAATATAAATATACGGAATTAACTCTATAAATCACTTGGAAAAGCATTTGATTTATGCAGCACTTCAGAGACTAGAAATATAAAAGTGCATTCTTCTACCGGAGTACGATCAATGGAAAGCACCATAGGTTATGACAGTTAGACCATAGCCAGCATAGAAGCCGAGTAAGAAGAAGAAGAGTACGCGAGCGTCAAGCGCGAGGCGAGGAGAAAAACTATATTTCCCTCTAACTTACGTCCCACGCTCGTCTCTTACGAATCGTGCGCGAGTAGGTCTCCTGCTTCGCACTCTGTCAAACAACGCTTGCTCTGCAGGCTAGGAAAACTCCTTTTTTACTTATCATGTAATAAATTATCAATATACTTCAAATTGTTTCTGAGCGACGAGGAAAAATGGGATCAAAATAACCATTAGAACTACCCGCCAGGTACATGTATCTCTCTGCAGTTATAAACATAGACGCTTTCAAAGAAAAATGCTAATGGCAACAAACACTCTAAAATACTTTGGGCAGAATGCGGTAGGGCACGCGTCGACAGTATTCGTCCCAGCTTGCTCCGTACTTGCGGCGGTTACTTGCTTCATCCCTCAGTTCACGATGGACCAGCAAAATTGTCAAGTAAACCGGGTAGAAAAATGGAATCAGACTAGAAGAACCTGAGTAAAGAAGGAACCGTATGAGAGGTTGACACTCGACTAGCAGCATATCTGTTTTATTACATGGTTCGTGCAACTTCACACAAACAAAAATTTCAAGGACTTCTCAAGGACAAATTGCAGTTTTCAAGGACTATAAGATCTATTTCATGAATCGGCATACTTAAACCCTCTATTGAACACCTCATTGGCTAAAACAGGTCACGGAGTCATTTACGATTTTAACTTCTTCAACCATGGTTGATCACATTGTTTAATACTACTTTCCGCAACAACATTTTGCAAAATGACTGGGTATGATTTGCAATTCAATGGCAATTGCATCTGAGGCACAGATTGAAATAGCATTTGAAATTAAGAAACAGAAATAAAATGTTTTTACGTTACTCGTGTGTTTTATAGGTTCTTACACCAAGGATGAGCCTGATTTTCCTCGGCAAAATTTTCCTCTAATTTTACAGTAAACGGGTGTCTGTCGTAGACAGGGTAGTGAATTTTAAGGACTTTTCAAGACCTAATAAAGAAATCAAGTACTTTTCAAGACGACTACTAAAATTCAAGACTTTTCAAGATTGCACGAGCCATGTATTTATTTTCCGATCATTTGTTTCCGTCTTGGTAGTTCAACATGTTCTTGCTATTCGCAAGGGCGTAAAATATACTTTTTTAAAAGATCGACTGCGACGTACCACAGGGTAAAGTCCAAGCAAACGCCATGATGATGTCACCTAGATAGTTGGGGTGCCGCACCACGCCCCACCAACCTGAGGCCAGAAGTCGTCGACCAGATGAAGTTAAAATGGTTTCTGCATCTGTAGGAAAATATCAAACTTATCACGTCATTGAGAACCATATATGTATGTTTTTTTACAAAAAAAAAAGAAAAAGGGGGTGATTATCCGAGAAGGGAGGGGGGGGGGAGATGATTTTCAATAGTGCTTTCGGGGAGTTGTGGCCTCATTATGCCTTTGAAGTACAAAAAGTATAAATGACGCACAAGAACAAATATAGGAAAACAGTGAACCCAATCTATAGCCGTTGACCTTTGCTAAGATCTCTCCCATCATTTGAAAGACCTCCCAGATTTCTCCTTCCAACGCTTACTAAAACAGCATCTACTGATTAGACAATTTGAAAGTTGACTATGTTTGTTCTTTTCTCTATGTACAGTGTGTGTATTATTTATTTACTTATTTTGTTTTGTTTTTTTCTTTCTTTGCTACGTCACCGATGTTTTAAAAATATCATTTTATAGCTAGGCGCGAGCACAAAAACGTTTCTTAATTTAGCTCCTAGACATCCATGTTATCATAGTGCATAATTTTCATTATGTAACAATTCCTTCTTTTATTTCCATTAGCAAACAAAAATTAAAAAAATTTTATTTGGATGTAATAATAAAGGTTGTTGTTGACTAGTAGCACAACTCTTGCAAATTATCTGCTGTAAATAATGTTTACAACAAAGCTTGTATCTTATACCACCATGTCTGCACCTAAATGCCACAGTGAATTTATATTTGCATGTATTTGGCTCACCTTGAAATTCCTCAGAGCCAGGGTCAGTTCTGAACCTGTCCTTTTGAGAGTTCGAGCCACGGAATATGGCATATCCAATAACTACATGTATAGACAAAAGAATTGGGAATGAGAATCTGATGTGAACTGAAGTTTTGGAAGGCCAAAATTCAAGACATTTTTGGGGAGACACACTTTATAAGTGCAGAATTGTTACTAAAACTTATCAAAGGACCATCAGTGAAAAACATTTTGTTTCATATGAAGGGCTGTCATAAGAGGCGGGGGTCAGGGATTTTCCTCGGCTACTATGAATGTGGGCCCCGGCTACTTTCAAAGGCAAATAGAAGAAAAATAGACTCAAAAGAAACCCCTAGCTGTTTGATTCCCCGCCTACGTGTTGTATTTATCAGGCAACTTGAAATCTTAGTGACAACCCTGCTCATATACATGTATACAAGATAGACAGGGCAGACATACCAAACAGAACTATGATTGCAGCTGTTGTTATCCAGTGAAGTTTATTTGGATTATCAACGAGATAGCGTGCCTGTAAGGAATAAAGGACAGGAACCCAAGATATGTCACCAAAAGCCAACATGAAGCCAAAGCCTTCCTCGATAATATCCATTGTGCTCAAGATGGACGACTAAAACAAAAAAATGAAAATCATAAAAACATCATCAGAACAAACATATCTAGAAAGATGTAGACTTTACAGTGTATCAAAATCTTGCACACTTAGTGTAAGAACGAAATAGTCAATTTAAAAACTCATTCCCTCAGACTGAACCTTAAGTCTCTCCAGTTCAAGAGAAATAAATTCTTTGGCTTCTAGGCCTGTGAGGCAGTGAACGTTCTGGATCATGACCCATCACCATCATCAATTATTTTTGCCATTGTTCCATTCCACATAAAATTGGTAGGAAGCTCAAGCAGCTGGAATTTTTTTTCCTCCATCAAAAATATCAAAAAGGCCCTCCTGCATTGCTCCACTGTGAACACCATGTTACTTTAGAATTTAACCATTTTTGCAATACTAACCTCATAAAACAAACAGTCAGCAACATAAATGAAATGAAAGATGCACACAAGGATCATTGCAGTAGATAATTCTCCATCTTTCCGGTATAATTCCTTGGCAGCCATACAGAAGTTAATCATCACCTGAGGGCAGAAAGGTTAACCTGGATTTCAAATCATGTACTTGAAAACTTACATTCAGAACTGTGATACACATCACTTTTAATCCTAATTAAGGAGGCAGCCAAGCTGAGTTGTACATAAAATGTGCACCAGACTTGCAATTGAAAACTAACTGGGCGCAGTTGTTCGAATACTGGATAGCGCTAACCTGCAGCTGAGTATTATGGAAACCAACTACATTATAGCTATATCCACCTTCTGAAGAATTAGGGCCAGTAGTTTCTTGGTGGCCCTGAGATCTACTCTCAACATTATGGAGTACCAACAAAATAGATCACGCATTTGGCATACAGTCTCTTGTTCACATACGGGTTGTATATACAGATCACAAACTGATACGTGAAATAATAAGTCTTCCCTACCCAGCCAATAAGTCCAGGCCTGACTTCAAAGAAAAACTTGAAATCAAACTTTCCCCATCGGGGATTGAGCTGATGTCCCATGAAAAAGTCATAAACAACATTTCCTGTAGAAAAAAAGTTAAATAAAATAAGGCCATTATTTCTTTGACATGTCCACTCTTACAATATCACAGCATACTAGTTAACTTACAGAAAGTTGTCAAGTACACAAATTAAGTTCAAAAAGTAAACGAGTTTTTTTATAACCAGAGTAATTTTAAGCTCTTCGCAAGAAATATCCAAGAAAATATCAGGCATCTAAAACTGCAAAATTGCTTGTTGGCAAAATTTTGGTAGAGCTACACACATTGTACAAAATTTTGACTGTTAAAAGAGGATTTCTCTGAAACTTAAATTCAGTGTATACATATGGGACTCAAACTTTTAGTGATTACTAATATTGCTAAGTTCTTTCAACATTCAGCTGTTACTTTAAAAGCTTGATTATAAAAAATGTGTCATGTTCAAGAACCTGTGTTTCCTCCTGGAGAGAGTCCCTTCTTCTGCATGCCAGCCATGACATAAACAGTGACAGAAACCAGAACAGACCATATGAGGGTTGCTGTTATGATTCCAAGAAATGTGTCATACACCAAAGCAACATAGACTTTGAAGTAGACACAGGCAGCAAATCCAATCACACTTAGCATTAAAGCAAGAAATCCTAAATGTCAGAAAAAAGAGACAGAAATGCCAATCAGTTATTCCTGAAATACATGTGAATTCTGATAACAAATATCCATCAACTGACCATTCAGTCTGTAGTCAAGTTGAGTTCCATCAGATAACGCTCTCCCATATGCCACCTATAAGAGTTCAAAAAGCATACAGTCAGTCATGTAATTACTGTTGATAAGAAAAAATGAAAAACAATTATTGGATTCCACTTCCATATGACATGAAGGGTTATGCACATCTTGAAGGGTGTTATAACATCCCCCTGGATCTAAATACAGGAGAACCTCGATTTAATGAAGGCCCAAGGGACTGACAAAATTTTTTAGCTATAACAAGGTTATGTTATACTGAGGTTCTTTTTCATATATTTTACTATTATTGGGGCAAAGAAATTTGTTCATTATTTTGAGGACATTTGTTATATAGTCTTAGAGGTTCCACTGTACACTGTTAGTATCATGAACAGTTAATTAGGCCTTTCCCGATTGCGCTGAGCACCTTTTGAGCACTTTTTTGAGTCTGGAGCACTATTTTGCATTTTGAGCACCCTTAAGCACTTTTCGCACTTTGGGCAACATTTGAGCAATATTTCACATTTCGAGCAACTTTCGAGCAACATATGTCTTCTAAAACATTTTAAAGCAAAACCTGAGTGTCGCTCCCAACGAGAATCGCGTTCCAGGTCATAAATTTGAATAACTAATGATGTTGTCAAGAATAAAAGACCGTTGTCATGGAAAGGCACGTGGACTTATCCTTACTGAGGGTGAGAACAGAAGTTTCTGATTGGCTGATGTATCATGCTTGTGTCATCTCAAATTTCTAAATCATCTGATGCTAGTACCGCTGAATTTATTTACAATTCGTAACCGGCTTTGGTTTTTTAAAAATATTATTGTTCTATATTCTATCAACCTTTCGTAACAACCTGTCGAATAACACTATGCAAAATAGATTGTTAATTACTTCAGTAAAAATTGACATATTTACGAAAAGCGTAGAGGTAACTGTTCACAACTTTTAGCACTTTTTGAGCACTATTTTGAGATTTTGAGCACTTTTTGAGCACTTTTTAGCCATTTTTGCGAGCACTTTTTTAGGATTTTACGAGCGCAGTCGGGAAAGGCCTACAGTTAATGCATTCGTGTTTTTTGTGAAATCGAAAAATAAGTTTTATCAGCTGAGGTCGAAGGCCAAGCATGACCTTATATGTTATTTAGAAGAAAATAAAAACAAAAACACTGTTGCCTGAACACAGTTTATTATTTTCCAAAAAGAATAGACATGGCTCTTAGAAATCATACATTCCACATGCAACCTGCAGACTAGTTAGTTAGGTTGCGCCAATTTCCAAAATTAATTGTTAGCTCTTAGCCAATAAGAAGACACATAGTGAGTCCAATGTATAATAATAATTCCCCATATTATACTCAGGCTAATCCAATAATTGCTTGACTTCAGCTCCATCAAATAAAATTCATTACCAGTTGGCAAGGGAGCAACCTTATTACATAATCATTCTTAAGTTTTTTATAACCAAGAAGTACAGGTATACGACTATGTCTTACCTTTCCAATTGGCAGCATGTATATAATAACTTGGAGTATAATCCATCCATCAACAATCAGGTGACCGACATTAAAAAACTCCTTAATAGGGGGTAAGGACGGCCACCTGCGAACTGTACATGACCCCTCTCCATTACAGAACAAATAGGACAAAACCACAACTGCTGGTAATGCTAGCATCATGAAGAAAACGCCAACAGGGCCACCGAATTCATACCCATGCTTGCTTTTCGTAGGCTTCATCTCTGTTGCTGAGAGTAACGCCTCTTTCTCTTCAGTGATGAGCTTTTTCGTTACAGATCGAGTGACACGAACTGTAGTGACGCTTGAACCATCGGATGTTACTTTAGAGCTTGAGGTGACCACTGAAGTCTGTTCGATTTTCTTTTCGGGTGTTCGGCCTCGTCTCGGTGATCGGCGACTCGGTGTTACAGCCACAGATTGTTGTGTGACTTTCTCTACAAGACTTTCCTCCGATGTAGATTTCCTTGTTTGACGACGTCCACCGCTTCTTGCAGGTGATCTTGATCGAGAGCGAGATCGCCTTGCTGGTGAACGAGATCTCCGAGCTGGGCTTCGAGCAGGCGAAGTTGAGCGGGAGCGAAATCGTTGTTCTTTCTACATAACACAACGGTAAGACGGTAAGACTTGTGTAAAAACATTGAGTATTTCGGTCACATCTAAGTTGCTAAATCGTATATTTCGACGTTAAATAGTGTCTGGGCTTATCAAAGGGAAAAAGTGTAATTGTATTAAAGGTCAATCTTGAGCTTTTAGCACATTAGGTTGTTAAATATAAACAAACTCAAATGAGATTAATCTAATGGTGTTCTTGCGAAATATGTTGCTAAATTAACAGCAGTCATTGGTCTTTCGACCACGACTGTTAAATTGTGGTTATTCGAAAAGTATCTTAAAATAATTTTTATCTAACCAATGAAAAAATCCAGCCTTACAAAGGTTTGTCGCAAAGGAACTTCCGTTTTGAAGCCATCTTTGAAGTTAACGTACACGGCGTTCTTGCGTTGTTCAAGCACTTCTGCTTCGTAATATTTTTTGCTCCCAGGCCATAATGCCCAAACTGTCTCTCCGACGGAAAACTTAGCCTTTGACATGTCTTTCAAGTAAAGAAATCCAAGCGATCGCTCTATTTTCTCGTACACAATTTTAAGGTAAAGACAGGTCTCGTAACTTCACAAATTTTACGAAAGACAGGCAACTCGTCAACGGTCTACTTAGTAAAAGCGGGAAGTGATTTGATTGGCTACGCGCCGACAATTTTGTTTCTGATTGGTTGTTGAAGAATTTCAAAACCATTTCTCTTGACGCCAATCTCCCTCCTTCTTGGCTCTGCCACTCATTCCAAATAATACCCTCGAGCGGAATAGCTGTGTTTAGTTTATTCTAAGGTCATGCATATCACGTTACTTGTGTAAAATTTTCAACAATAGAAGCGAGGTCAGTCTAGTTAGGTATTTTTACTGAGGCCATCAAGGCAGAACGCATGACTGAAGGGAGTGTTAGGGGATGGAAAGGGGAGGAGGCCGAATGATGGTTGTTATTTAGGCTTTCTTTCCGTCACGGTTGAAAGAAATCTGAAATTTTATGCAAAGGAATTCGAAGAAATAATTCAATTTCGTTCCCAACGGGATTGGAATAAATTTCCATTTCCCCCGGAAGTAGTAGATTTTAAATTTTCACATCTTCCGGTTTGAACAGCGAAAAAAAAAAATCTTAAAAAAAACACATTTATTGCAGTATACCAGTTGGTACGTTTTATTGTGAAGAAGGTAGGAAAAGAAAGAAAGAAAGGAAGAGAGAAAGAATTTAAGAACGGAAGAAAGTATTAAGGTAATTCCCTGGTTTTGCGCTGCGCATAACATTGCAACTTCAAAGGGAGCGGTGATTTTCACCTGTCGCCTGAAAAGAGGTAATTACATGTATGGCCCCTTTTGTAGTCTACCCGGCTTAAAAAGCTAAAAAGGTGTGTCTTGAAACTCGCCGCAGTCCCCTCGCGTAAAAGGATCATTTTTCCCTATGTTGTCGTTTTGCGATGAAATAAGAACGGTGACCGCCGGTTTCATAGAAAAAATATGGATCATAGAAGCTGTTTTCTTTTTTGGATATGAATGACGCGAATTTCCGTAGTTAGAGCCACGTAGAAATACGAGACGATGTTAAAACTGTCCATTTCTCTACATCTTTTCAAAATGGGGCAATTGGAGGTTACTGAACTGAAAATGTAAAGCCCAGCAAACAAATGGCCTTAAGGTTTTAAGTACGATTCATAGTTTTTGCTATATAAAAAAAAGAATTTTTGACGAACATTTTGCGCGCAACTAGGAAAAACACTCAGAATTACGGGCACACAGGGCGAAAGCAAGCACGGTGACCCCATCTTTTTATTGCAGTTTTTAAATGTACTATATATGGCTGAAACTTGTGCCAAGTTTGAAAAAAATCTGGAGAGTACATCATCTACAAGGGAATTAACTTAAGTCTATAAAACTAAGGCTAATTGGACAAGACATATTGAAAAAGTGGTTGCTCTGTGATTTCTATGTGCTATCGCCACAGTCACTGAACCTTTTCAAGCGCTTTTTTCAAGTTATTTCCGTTTATAACATGATCTTTGGTCATGTTCGGATATAAACCTGGATATAACATGTAAAGAAGTGAAACAGATAAATCTTGTATTATCAGCATAATAAAACAGCACGCTGACAAAATAAGCAGATTATCAATTATTTATACAAGAGCTATAACACAATGCATGCCAATTAAGCTGCATACAGCATCTGCACAGACTACAGTTAAATTTTAAGGAATTTTCTGCATTGGCTTGCGATCGAAAACAGCAAGTAATTAAAAGCCGATGTTTTACGTATGCAGCCTTAATGTTTAGTTTTGCTTTCTCCTTTTCTTTTTGTCTCCCGTTCCTCGCACATACTTGCTTACAAGTTTCATAACTTGAATTTTAGCTGTACTGACTTCGTAACCGATAAGCCGTTGTCCTGAAATCCCCGCAAGATGTTGCTTCAGTACACTATTTTACTAACTTCTTCACTATGAGTTTGAAATTCTCGCTCCTCGCTATATATAAATGTTCTTCGATTTCTTACACACGCAAGACTGGGGACTCTTGCAGCTACCGATCGAGTGACTGTGCGCGCGCGCCCCAAAGTGACTTGAACCGTGTGATTGCATCATCACTGTTGTGATTATAGCTATTATAAGAGGACTTTTGAAATTGTGTATCTTATTCCTAGTTTTTCATCGTTTGATACACAAAACATTTGACAGTTTGTTTCGGTTTGCGCAGCCTTCTTGTTGACGTGTTATAGCTTCAATTAGCCGTATAAATCAGAATGTCTACCCTGGATCAAACCAGCGTCTTTGGAGCAACTTTCGTCGAAATTACTTCTTCGTTTTAGCAACTAAGGAAGTAAATATTATGTTCATAAGGCAGCTATTATGACAAAATAACAAAGTCGACAAGCGCCCACGAAATATTTATATCACTTCCTCTGTGTTTTGTTTTCTTTATTTTACAAAAGGGACAAAGAGGAACTCTTAAAAAGGCTTCACAAGACATCTTCTAGACCTCAAGCTGCTAAAACGATTGTGTAATCAATAGCTCTAAGCTCGGCACTTCTTTTCGTTGTAAGAATAATGTTTTTTGGTAAGCATGGAATTCACCAGAAAAACTCATTTTGTGTTAAAGGTATGTTATCAAAAATTTCAATTAAGCAGAGCTGATTTAAAACTAGGCTGATTAAAAGCCTCGTATCCTTGGGTATGTTGGAAATTAACTGGGGAAGTTAAAAAACGGATCACTTCGTCATACTTGTACTTGGTCCCCGTGTGATCAACTTGTTTAGCTGTCTCGAATATATTAACTCTAAGCATAGGGACCATAAAACAGGACAAATCTAATCATTTTTGTGGTCAATATAGTTTCATGATGCTGATTTCAAGAGTACGGTTTAAACTGACTCTCACTTCACTGTGGTTGAGTTCTTTCATAAACAAGTATGTAGTGAGCCAAAGATAAATCATTAAGTCAAGTATGCGAGGATATGAAAAGAGACATGCCAGGAAAGATGAAAAGAAAAAAAGTTAGAAAATTATACTTCCAGTAGAATTCTATTTCTCTGGCATGCTTGGTTGAACATTAAGTCTTAGGTCGTATACTAAAGAAATAGAAAACATAAAATATTTTCGAAAACAGTGTTTTGGGTTTAGTAGTAATCTAGTTATTGTTTTCTTCCGAAATCTTTTAGCTGCCTTGCGCTTCGCATTGTACGTCAACCATTCAGTGATTAAAGGAATCACCAAGATTACGCATGCATCCCAAACAAAAATCATTTTTAGGGTCCCCCCTCTCATCCCTAAAAAAGAGTTTCTTGATTGCCTCTTGGGTAAATTATTACTTCTTGAATGGTTCATTCCCAAAAACGTTCACTTTCAAAACGAGACAAAGCAAAAACCTTTTCAAGTGAAAATGAGTTTTTCATTCCTCTGTTTACAACACTCATAAATATTCCCAATCTAACAACCTTCTTTTTATTTTGAGGGGCTCCGGCCTTTAGTCAGTCTCAATATTTCACTTCCAGAAGAAGGCCATTAAAACATTGTAATGTGGTTCATTTTCTCTGGCTTGTTCAGAGTTTTTGTTAAGGGGGTAGTCTGGTTGTTTTTTGGGGCAAATGATGTTGATTTGGGAAGGAAATAAATGAGAGTAGAAAAGGTATACGCATAATCCAGTTAGTCGCTAATGGGATCATGGCCCGAGTTGGGGGGCACTTCCTTATAAGGGCTTTGGGACGTGCGGCCAGCCAGGGTATGTTTTTGGTTTTTGTCTTAAACAGGGTATCGAATTTATCATTTTTGTCTTAATCAGGGTATCGATTTATCAATTTTTGTCTTAAACAGGATAAATGCCTTAAACAGGGTATCAAAAATCGGAATTCTGTCTTAAACAGGGGAGGAAAATCAGCGATATTTGTCTTAAACAGGGTCAGGGTATGACGGGCCGCGCGCATCCCCACCCAGGGATATATCCAACCCCCCCCGAGGATCAGAGGCACCTTGTTGTGGTGGTAGGCTATCTGGTATTTGTCTACTAATTATTCACTTCATATCTTAATTTTTAACAACCTCCAAATGTAATACTTTTCAATTTTTCAAAATTTTAAACATCCCCCTTAATTTTTATACATTAAAAACATTCGAAAAATCCTCCAAAAATTTTGCAAAAATTATTCAACCAAGGACTTCGACTTAATCGAGTCATTTTTTGATAGAATGGAATCTTGGCCAGATATTTAAGAAAAAATGGGAGGAAATGAACGAAAAACAATGCGTTCAACCAGACTGCCCCCTTAAGGAGATATTTTTATTCACTGTTTGCTCCACAGATTTTCCTTTTCCTGAACGTAGTATCCAATGACAAGCTGGATCTCTTAAAAGTGGTTTTGGCAGGTATCATATCAGTTCATCATTTTTTTAGGTGTAAATGTTACGCAAATGTAGTATGGTGCAGTTTTGCTGATAAGTAAGTTACTAAGGCAGGGCTCGAAAAATGTCCCGTCTTGACATATACCATTTTCCTTCTGGGCGTGTAACGTTTGAAGCTTACTTGCCCAATGGCAAAGGTAGAGGTCGGTCACCTTAAATCCAAATGTTTAACTAACACCCCGGGGGTACTCCCCTATATAGGCCATATAGGTGTGTGCCGCCCCAACGGGTAGGGTTTTTGCGCCGTTTTGGTATGAAAACGGGTATACACTTTGCCCATTCTGGTCTGGAATCGGGTATGGTTTTCAAGGGAACCACCGGAGTGTACGACCGCATTTATTGTTTAGAGAAATATGCGAATTCGAAATGGATTTTAAGAATTCTTTATTGTTGTTGTTCTAATCTTAGTAATGATGACATAATTTATTAAAGGCTGGTCTGAGAATGGGTATGGATTTTAGAGGCCATGTCTGAAAACTGGTGTGAAAATGATATTTTTGGTTTGAAACAGGGTCAGGATTTGAAGAACCGGGCGGCACACCTCCACCAAGAATTCCCAGGAGTTCTCCCCCCCCCCCCCCCGTGAGTAAGACAGGCTGGGCGAGCAAAACGTTAGAGCTGCTTGTCCAATGAACACCCTCATGGAATTCAATTTTTTTTTTAAAGTCTTCGGAAATTCTCTGGTAATGTATAAAAGAAATAAACAAAGTGATTGGTGATGTTGCCATGTAGTCGCAAGAGTTGTAGATCGGAAGACCCTGCCATAAACCAGATAATTCCCCATTACTTGCAGCCAAGAGAAATAGAATGTATCAGCAAATGTTATTAAATACTTAACCTTAGCAAAGACAAGCATTTAAACTAGAACTCCTATCGATATTTTAAAGAAAGGTACATAATTTCTACATTGATTGCACTTTTAGTAGCCAAGATCATTCTCAAGATTAACGATATGTAATTGTGCTTTATCATATTTTTACAGATGACCCGGACATTTGGTCTTTTGATGACCTAACTAAGAACATGGAGAAATTTGGAAATGCAGTTTCTTCCGATTCTCCGGTTGGTACGGGCCTATATCTTGATGGATCCGAAGGCACATACGTCAAGATCAAACAACACAACAAGAAGTGTTTGAAACATCCGTCAAGCTGTGACATATCCGTAGGGTTCTATTTCAAGATATATCACAAATCTGGTAGCCAACTCATCTTCGGCAACCATGAGATGCCGAATAATAGGACTATAATTTACGAAGGTGTAAATATATTTTACGATAATTATAGAATTCACACGTATGTTTATGGCCAGGAAAAGTATTGTCAAGTTTCATTTCACCCACGCCTTGGAGTGTGGTTCTACCTTGGCTTGGTGTGGGAGAAGGCTGGCAAACTTGCCTTCAACGTTGATTTTTGGTTTACTTACACGCACAGAAAAAACTGCGGCGATAGCCCAAATGGATTGTTGACAAATGGAGACTACTTTTTAGGCAAAGAAACATTTCCCGATGCTTACTACAGGGATTTGACCATTTGGTATTCAAAGCAGTCATCGAGTGTTCTACACGAGAAATGGGCAGTTGTCTTTCGTAAGTATATGTATTTACAGTCATGAAAATGCTCTTTTGAGGTTTGCAAGATAGATAATGATTGCAACACAAATATGTGTCATCTCAAAAATATATGTTCACCAAACATGACCTTTGCAAAATCGCGAAATTTTGATGTTTAAGGCATTCCTTATTACTATTTCTCTCCCTTGGCTTATTTCCCATGTCAGTAACATTTTTCTCTCCGGATGTTTAACTTAAAGTCTTTGCACAAATGGCAAAAAGAATTTTAGGCTTGCCAGTCATGTGTCGTTTTTTCTCCCAAATGTCTCTCGAGGATGTATCTTCCTTTTCAATCCATTAGTATAATGAGTTAAAGCAAAGTGTTTGAGGCATCTCTGCGTTCCTCTTCGCTGGAATACAATGTTCTTCAGTCTGTACATTTTTTATAACAATCATTCCGTGGCGTCTGATTGTGGTGATTAATATTATTGATTTTAAAACTTGCCATCTCGTGCGTATGTCCAGAGACCAGAGGAGGATGCAGATCGCGAAGTACCCACCCGTCAACCCGTTGCAAAACCTGCCCGGCAACCTCGTCCGCACTTCTTTTCTTCGAAAATGTGAGGGGAAAGCCCTGGGGAAGAGGTTACCTTCGCAGAACAGAGCAATTAAGAAGCCTGAAGACGAGGTAGCACTGCCCCCCGCCCCCCACCCCCTCTCAAAAATTGCGCTGATCCTATGGGCTTTCTTAACTTGATTAAGTAGTGCGAGAAGATGTATCCTCCTTCTCGCGTTTGCGACAGCTTGCATTGGCGAAAACATATCACTTGGCTACTGATCTTGGAAGCGTTATTTAATAGATAATACTATAAATAACTGTCTGCTTTAAACTAGGAGAACTAACCAGGAAACGGTTGTATTGTTTTGTCCTCTGTCTACAGATACTAGTCCTGACACACATGTTCGCTTGAAAATTATATTCTCGGATTTGGCCTATGATCCTGCAAGTGTTCTGCAGTGGAAGAATAACTTCACCGCCGAAGTAAGATGTAACTTAATCATTCTACCCCATATATATCCGAGACTGTTGGCCTTGAATTTTAGTGTAGAGAAACTACATAATAATAAGCCAACAAGCACTTTATAAGCTTAGAGTTGCAATCAGTCTAGCCAACTAACACAATAGAAGAGGCAAGGAAGGTAAACTAGCATATGAGTTACACGTTGACATAACGCTAGGCCATTTTGAAGCAGCCTGCGTAGCTGGCGGTATTGTCTCGATGCGCGATTAAAGTTTCGGCGGCGGAGCCGTGATCCAAAAAAGGGAGTGGGGACGAGGCGTCAAATCTCATTCGACTACCGCGAGCTACGCAGGCTAATTTTGAAGCAGAGAAACGCGTTTTTCGACATGAAAAATACATAAAGCTACTAAAGCAGCAGAGTATCTGAATACAACATACTTTAAAGATCAAGTATCCGCAGTGTCTACTTTGAGCAAAAGTTTGTTAGTGTTAATTTTCTGTGTAAACAAACGAGGAAGAAATAGTAACGACAAACCGCAAGACCTCTATAGGTTAGCTGCAGCCACGCCCCCTATACCGTGTTAGGGGTGTGAGATCATTTGTACGCCTGAGTGGTGTTCTTTTGCCATCCGCTGCTTTGAGGTTATAATCATATTAAAACGCATTCCATTCGATTCATGCAATTCTTTATTTTTTACATTACAGGTGAAAACGTTATTCAGTGACGATGCAGCGATTGATAACGTATCAGTGTCAGACAGGTAAAGGGATACTTGCGGCCTGTTTACATGGAGGTGGGGACCCACGTTGGTGAGGTAACCCACCTGTCCATATAATCTTTCATATGGTCACGCCATAAACGTGATCAAATTAAAATGAGAGATCATATGGACAGGCGGGTTACCTCACCTCCCTGGGGTCCCCTACCTCCATGTAATCAGGCCCTTGGTCTATGTATTTTATATTGTATTATAAAAGGAGGCCATAACCTGGAGCAGGCGCTAGCCAGGTTCCGTGGTCTCGTGTGACGGCGTTTTCACGGACCAGTTTATTTTTTAGAACGGTTTTGGCGCGAATTTTGAATATCTTTCAAACTGTACAAACCAGTCATCAAAACCTACGACCTAAAAATGATACTTTTTGCCTTTTAATAATATTTAGTTTTCCTCTTTGATATCTTATACTTCGAATGTGCTCATAGACATGGGGGACATTCTATTTTCGCAGTAAAAAGTGCCCTAAAATTTGTCTAAAAATAAACTGGTCCGTAGAATCTTCGTGACATAGGCATAGTATGAGAGTTCCTCGCTCCGGGTTATGGGCTCCTGATTATAAGTAATACAATGACAAATGCCTTTTCCATTCCTTAGCGTCCACTCAGTACTTGAAATAACTCTGTTGTCTCAGCGATCATTCAGAGTTCATGTAATACGCTACAACAAGGATAACGATGTTTTAGAATGGTAATTCCTTCCTTTAGTACTTTGAAAGACAACTCCTGGTCAATTTTGTCATCATGGCGGAGCTCGTAAGATTACAACACCTGTACTATACTAGAAGCACGCTTCTCGCAAACCCTCGCCTTTGTAATGCTCCAGGATAGAACTCTTTAGCTTGAATGTTTTGTTTTCCCAGTACGGGTCATGTGATAATACTCTAGAGAACCTTTTCTTTCAAGTGCATATGTACGCATAAGTCATGAAAAGACAAAAGGTCAAGCTCCCCTGGGACCTCTATTGGGAGAACAAAACATACAAGCCAAAGAGGTCTATCATAACTGGTTTACATGGTGACGTTTTTTTTTTTTCCACAAAACTATTTATTTTCGATCTGACGTTTGGGGTATAAAGTCAAAGTAACCAATATATTAAAGCTGTGACTCTTAATCTTAAAACCCAACTACGAAATGGTCTCATTTACTTATTTTTCAGTGGTGGTAATACTTCAGTATCGTTTGAATTAAAGTTTACGAGCATATCATGGCAAACAATGCTTGCGCTACAGTTAGCTTTGGAGAACGGCACCTTTCTTGGGTCACGTGGCGTATTTGACGAAGCTGGTTGTAGAAGCCTGAATGATATCATCTGTAAGTTGGAATTAGATCTAAATTGACCCTTCCATAGTCTGCTACACAGCCGTTTTTTAGTGTCGTCACGCAACGCTCCTGCGTGACGACACTAAAAACGGCTGTGTGGCATTACACGGGTTTTTCAACTTTTGACTGGGACTAGTTAACGAAAATCCTTGTTATCCTTGTTAAAGTTACCATGTTTGAAAATGATTTGTTGAAACTAACGAAGACGTATATAGCACCGCAAAGTCGCATAATTTTACAGACGTTTATGTGGTGGGGCAATTTTTGCGCCCCAACGATACAAACGTCTCTAAAATTTCGCGACTTTATGGAGTAGTATCGTCCTTCGCTTTGGATATTCGCTAACTTGGAAAAAACTGAAGTAACTTGAAAACCTGATGCATGGTAGGGTCTATTGGCCAAGAGAAAAAACAATTTAATACGTTTTGTAATTAAATGCAGATATTACATTTGCTTTTCAGTTTTTTGTCAGGTACCAAAGAACGTTCGGGCATATAGAGTAACATACTGGCAAGTCTTCATTCGCATGGACCCAGTTATTCAGGAGACACATGAAGGGTATTTTTACGCCTACCGAGTCTTGTACAAAAATCTCGACGATCCCACATCATCATGGAAGCTAATTTCTAACTACCGAAGAAACGATCCACCTATACACCCAGTTGCCCAAGAGCTAGCTCCTTATACAAATTACAGCTTTCGCGTTATGGCGTCATCATTTCAGTCGGAAGGTCTCATTTCAGAAGCTTTCCAAGAAAGAACTCACCAGTGGGGTATGTATAACTGATTATTGTTCATTGTCGGCATATATTTGGGTTCCTTTGTTCTTGGGAGCTGGGGCCTCTTTTGCCAAACAATCTGTGAGCGAGAAAGATATGTGAGTATGTATGCTTGCGGCGAAGTCGCGAGCCACGATTGGTGCGGGCGCCAGCACGAGCGCAAACACAACTCGATGCTCGCGGCTCAGCTCTGCTAGTATACTCACATGTCGCGCTTGCTCACAGATTTTCGGGCAAAAGAGAGACTGAACGCAGTCTATCCTAAGGCATCCAAGGGAAGTTCTCTCTCACTGCTTGATTGATAATACTTCCAGCAAGATGTGGGTTGCTCCTCAGAGTGTCGTCATCACATTACTTATGTCTATTGAACAAATACCGGTGGTGTAGTATACAGACAACTAAAGGTCCCCGGGGGGGGGCAGGCGAAGGCGTTTCGGAGAATAATGTCATTCGGTTTTGAGGAGCAGATGTTTTTCGTTTCACTTAGTAAAAAAGGGAAGATCGTAGAGTGCCACAAATATTCAGCCTTCTACATTTAACCATTGACAACAGTATAGTAATGCCTTGACAAATGTTCCCATTAATCGATTGCTACAAGTCGCTTAAGGAAAATTCTACTTTTACATCACACAGTTCCCTCAGTTGGTCCAGAAATTGTCGCTTACTACAACACAAGCCCCTCCACAGTTTATGTTCAATGGAACCATACCATTCCAGACAGTGAAGTGAACGGTATTCTGATTGGCTACCGAGTTTCGTGGGATGATAGTGTTGCTGACCATCCTCAAAAAAATAAAGCACATAAAGATTTGGGGCTGGAAGCTACAAATTACACTGTTATGAAACTTCATGAACACTGGCGTTACGAAATCGGCGTTGCTGGAAGGACGGCTGTAGGACCAGGGGTATTTAAAAGAAGAATAATCATGACGCCTGATGATGGTAAGAAAGCCGGAGGACTCTCATTGATGTCTTGTTCGAGAAGGCTACGCCTTAGCACTTGTAAATTGTAACTGTAAATATCTTATTATGCACTTTCTCAGGGCTTTTCAGGGATAATTTGCAACACTTGTTGGGGAACTTTTGCCAGACTGTTTATAATGCAGTTTACAAGTAATGAAGGAATGAGTGATGATGCCCCCTATGTGAGTGTGAATTTGAGATGGACCATCACACCGGGAACTGCGTCCCATGCTCTTTACGACTGAATGTGTGGGTTTTTTAACCTCCCACAGAACAGCTTATCATTACTGCAACGGTTGTGAGACGGGGCCTACGGTTTATCGTCTTTATCCGAGAATTAAGACTAGAATGTCTAACCGTTTGAGATGTCATTTCAAGGCAGCACTTTCTCCTCGGACCCGCCCGGGTTTCAACCAGCGGCCTTCAGTTCAGCATTGACCGGCGCTTTTCCATTTGACTGAGCTAACCTGGGCGGCGTCCATAATAATACTTCTTCGCCTTGAAACGCGTACATTTTTATGCGTTTTGGCCTTGAGTCGACGTTAAAATGATCAAAAGCCCAGGTATGCTTCGTTCCGACTAGAGGCTATATTTTCTTCAAAAGTAGTTTCATTGGTAAAACTGTGTTGTGTCAATACGTATATCGAACATTTTATCGAACATTTCGTCATGTTTTTGTTTAAACTCATTAAATAACGTTGCTTTTTTACACTATATACATGCCGTCTGTTTCCTTTCTTCAGCGCCCTCGGCTCCACCGGCCGTTATCACCCTTGACATGCACAATTCTAGTGCCTTACTGGCTACCTGGAAGGATGTTCCGTTAATTGATCAAAATGGAATCATTCTTGGCTACCAGATTCAATTACAGCAGGAAGAAGGCGGCCCAATTGTGTGGAATGTAACCCTTGGATCGAATCATACTTCATTTCATTTTACAGACCTTTCCATTTTCCAGAATTACTCACTACAGGTAAAACTAAGCGAGCTAGGTATTTGTGAACATACCGTAAAATTCCGAAAATAAGCCCCTCCACGTATAAGCCGCTCCAAATATAAGCCCCCCAAACCTGTAACGCAAAAATATAAGCCTCCCCGGGGCTTGTACTTAGAAAATCGCCTCAGATACAAAGTAAAAGAAGCAAAAACAGTAAATTTACTTCCAACTATAAGGCTAGCCCAATCTGTTTTGAAACGCAAGTTTCCCTCCATAGATAAGCCCCTCCGAATATAAGCCCCTCCAAAAATAAGCCCCTCAAAAAGGGCCTTTGAAAAATAAAAGCCCCGGATCTTATTTTCGGAATTTTACGGTATGGTTGGATTTAGAATCAACTGTTCAATAAGTTCCCCTTTGTTTGTTGAGGTCTCTTGTAATGACAGCCATCTTTTCTTGTGTCACCTTCATTTCAGGTCATGGCGTACAACAGAAAAGGAGCTGGTCCATACAATGACAAGGTCTATCAGATGACGGATGGAGCTGGTTAGTGAATGAAATAAACTCAGTGTTCAATGCTTAGATAATTTGCCCAGTACACTCATGGCTTTTTTAGGACCTTGGGGACTGGTGCCGACTTTTGTTAAAGTTTGTTTCAATTTGTGTGAAGTGTGACTGAGCAATCATCCATATTTGTAATACAGGGATATTATTTTTACTATAATAGGCGTTTCTTTTATGACTTTAGTTTAAAGCTAATAGTCAGTGAACATGGAGAAAATCATTGAAGATACCCTTTTAGACGTTTTGCTTTTTTAAAATTTCTCATAGCCATGTTTCGGTGCATATTTCCCTCTATCTTTTTTGAGTGGTCCCTTTCGAGAAGCTACGCCATCGTTTATATTATTCTCTGATAAATTTCACTTTGTTACTAATTCTTTCAGTGCCTATAAATTCTCCGACAAATCTAAGAGCGCACAACATCAGCGCAACTGCCATCCAAATACAATGGGATTACGATGACGATCCCCGGTTGGTGTTAGGCGATCTGTCAGGTTTTACACTGTACCTTCACGAGGCCAACGCTGACGATGCGTTCACGAGTAACGGGCAACTACTGACGTATGTAAGGGGTATAAATAGATCCACTCTGATCGACGGACTGGAGATTTTCCGGTTGTATAACGTTTCCATCGCAGCTCGAACAAATAAAGGCGAAGGACCTGTTAACGAGTCCGTGATTGTCAGGACACATGGTAAAGGTATGTATTTCCTTGTCAAGATTTTTACTTCCTTCTCTACTTGTTTGATTGTCCACAGTAAGCAATAAAATTAACAAAGCGTTCATGGGTTATGTACCTTTTGGTCTGCACCTTAATGAAGAAAGTCTGCTCAAAGCGTTGTATGTTATTAAGACTTCGTGTTGCCCTGCGATTGTATACAATACGCGCTACATGAAGAGACTAAAATTGACCAATCACAGAACGAGAGGCGACTCAGCCAAAAAAGTATTTGGCCTTATATATTATTGGTCCGCCTGTAATTTGAGGTCCCGAGATCGATTTGTCACCCATGCATAAATCAGACAGTTTTGATTTTATGAACTTCGATAACAACTGATAAAAAGGCAGCAATTATTAAGGTAAAAGTATCAACTGCTTGGAAGAATATGCTGTTATCACTTTATATTGCCTGCTGTACGATAGTAAACACCCTTGATTCGAAAATTTCTTAACTTATTAGCAACTTATGACTTTTTTTGCGACATTCCACAGCACCAGGAGCCTCGCCTCAGTCCCTTGCTGTCCAAAACATTAGTTCCTTCAGCATATACTTACTCTGGCGAGAAGTAATGTCCGAATACCGTTATGGAATCATGCGGGGCTACAAATTGTCAATCTATAAGAGGACATCGGAAGGTTTTAAAAGCTTGGAAAATCGAACTAATGGACTATTCTCCCCAAAAGCAAATCTCACTGGACTCACGCCTTTTACAACCTATAAGGTGGAGGTTTTAGGGTTTAACGACTTTGGTGACGGTCCATCGACTGCTGTGGAGGTTCTGACTGACGAATCATGTAAGTGCATCGTATTGTCTTTGCTTTACAATTCCAGTAAAAATTGCACCTGTTTTATATTGCAGTGGTAATCCATTTATTCTGGAGTGTTTCGGTTGAGGGCTTGTCTGACCAACTCACGAGTAAGTGACAGACGGGCTGACTGACCTGACTGACAAAAAAATTGTTCTCACTGTATTCTTAATTGCTTGATGTTTCAACGTGTCCAGGCCCCGGTTGTTAAAACGTTGGACAGGATCAGCGGATAAATCACAATCCGGCGGATAAGTATTAGGGTAAACGATTGCACTTTCCATTTAATACAGATTTATATCCTCCTTTTGCACAACTCGGGCCAGATCTTTACTTCGTTTCCACTTTCCAGACCCTTCCCAGCCTCCGAGTAACTTCACAGCTTCCAATGAAAGTTCTACCGCCGTGCGTCTGTTCTGGAAGCAAGTTCCCGAATGCTGTCGATTGGGAATCATCTTGGGCTATCACATAACCCTGACCGACCCATACAACGCTTCTGTGATTGCAAGGAAAATTACTGCCATTCTGACGGGGAACTTTTTAGGTCTTAAAAAGTTCCATAAGTACAATTTAACCGTCGAGGCGTTTAACAGCATAGGCTCCAGTCCGAAGGCATTTACGTCGGCTTTTACAGATCAGGATGGTAAAGTTATTTTGTATGTCTTTTGCTTATCGAGCTATAACTTGGACGTTCACTTCTCAAACTCATTAATATTTCATAAACAAAATACAAAGGAAATTGATGTTTATTGAGTTGTTGGAAATCAGATGAAAAACTGCTCATTTTTGCATCCTTAATTTCCCCTTCTAAAATCATATTGTTTGAGAAGTAATATCAAGCATTCGACACAGTGTTTCATCATCAGATGAAACACCTCGAAGTTCGTCAAAAATACTCCGTTGCGCGTCGTATTTTCAACTCTCTTTTGAGTGTTTCATCTGGTGCTGAAACACTGCGTCTCATGCTTGATATATTTCTTCAGATATTACTCAGCTTTTTACTCATATAGCTATGGTTTAATCATAAATCTCACAAAAGGGATCATTCGATCACTCATTTTCATTCAAACTAATTTCCTGTGCACAGCTATTGCAGTACTTTGCCATTCTTTTTCAGTGAACCTAACTCGGTTACTGTGAAATGTCCAAAGTGCAAAAGAGTAAAACATCCGTGGCTTAAGTGGGGAGGCGCGTATAAATATTTTAAGTGTTTAACCTCGATCGCCAGAGTTCTTTCTTAACTCTTGTTAACAACTGTGGGAGGGGGTAGGGGGAGAGTACAAACCACGCGGAAAACTTCTCGAACTTGATATTAATACTAGAAAACCGGACACTGGACGTAGTTTTGAGCAGACACTTGTTTTCAGAAATAAAAAACTTGCTTAAAGATATTGTTATTGATTTTTTGTTTCAGTCCCAGAGGCTCCTCCACAGAATATCAGTGGCTATAACATTAGCAAATCAGAAATTCTGGTATCCTGGAAACCGGTTCCTGAAGATAAAGTAAACGGTATCGTTATCGCATACAATGTGACGTACAGCAAGATCGGAGGGGATCCCCACTCAGGATGCAAAATCTTCAATGGATCTCGTTCTTATGGTGTAATAGATGGATTACTACCTTTCACGGTGTACGCATTGAATGTGAGCGCTTCTACTGTCAAAGGACAAGGTCCAGCTAGTCCGGCTATTACTGTAAAGACAGAGGAAGAAGGTAGAGGGTTTTTAGTTTCTCTGTTAAGAGTCAGGGTGAGGAATGAATCCCCAAACTCTTTACATGTATTTCTCCCCACTCTCTGTCACTGCGTTGAAATGTTACGCGATTCGTCTCTTTGTTTTGTACAGGACGGGCATCAGTTTTGTTCGATTCGTACCTTTAGGATGATAAAACTTATCTAGCTGATAATGAAAATACTTCGCAAATGAGACAACTTTCGTATTAAACTAACATAAATCTGTTACATACAAGATGTTTTGTGTCTAGACATACTCCAAGTGACTTCCTGTCATCTCTTTCGCCAAAGTTCCATCTTCCTTGGTTTGCCACGAAGGGTTAGTGGGTTTAACCAAGCTTCTCCATGTGTTAGTTGGGGACAGCAAAGGTTAAAAGGAAAAACATTCCCGGGGATACCATTGATGCCTGGGCCATTTCAATTGGGGTTTTTCCTCGAATGCTGGTTATTTGCAGTATATAGCCTGGTTTTTACGAAAGTTACATCACTAAAGTAACCATATCCGTAAATTTGTCACCGAGAAGGTGTTTCCAAAACTCAGAGCAAAAATAAAGAAAACAAGACAAATATTGCGTCCAAATCACTCGTACTTCAACAGCGTTGTGAACCCGTCAATTCACAAGCTGATGAAGTACGAGTGATTTGGACGTAATATTTGTTTCGTTTTCTTTATTTTTGCCTTTAGTTTTGGAGTTTTCTATACTAAATGTAAATTCGTCGTTTTCTTCAGCCCCTCAGGTTTCACCCGCGCGATTTACAGGCTTCAACACAAGTTCGACATCTATTGGATTAAGCTGGGATCCAATCCCCCAGGAACAGGTGGCAGGAGTCCTGACCAATTTTTACATCACTTATCGCCAGTTAAACACCGCTGACAATACTACACACACTCTTGCTGTACCCATAACCAACCTCTCATTTGAATTAACCAATCTCCGGAAATATACCAACTACAGCTTGGAGGTTAAAGGAGCTACGAAGTTTATTGGAATACCTACTAAACCCATCATTATCACAACGGACGAGGACAGTAAGAAACTTTTTTTGTTGTTTGTGACCATTTGTCAGCGCCGAAGAATTTCGATCTCCAGTTCGGTTGATTTAAACTGGGTTCACGAAGCGGTTTTTAAATGAGCGCTTTACAAGTAATAGCTATGGTTATTTACACCGCCTTGAAAACCGATGAGAACGTAAATCGAAGTAGTTTTGCACTACAGTTACCATTTGAAATTGGATTTTTGTTTACTTCCGCTTAATGAAGACAAAGGCGCTAGATGTTACTGTTGCAGCAAGTTTTTTTTGTCCTTGATTGTAGCAATAGCTAATTAGCAAAGTATCAACAGTTTAAAATTAAATAAGTTTTGTTGACGTATTTTTCATGATTTTTTTTATTTAAGTTCCTTTTTCTTAGTTCCTAGCCTTCCGCCTCAAAATATTAAGATTCGAAACTCCAGCTCCACGAGCATTTTCGCCCACTGGAAGCCAATTCCCCAAGATTCTGTTCACGGTATATTACTGGGGATTAAACTTGTATACCAGTCCGCGCCCAGAGACAACAGCATAGTGTTCAGGTCCCGCTCAAGGCGTTCAGTAGAAGAGGGCTGGTCCGAGTTCACTAACATCACTTTACCTCCAAACGCACTGTCTTATGAGCTGACGTCATTGAAAAAATTTACAAACTACAGCATTTTCGTTCTTGGTTTTACCGTTAAAGGAGATGGAAATGTCAGTCAGCAGTTTGTTCTATCTACAGATGAAGACGGTAGGCAGGAGTTTTTATTTGCTTTATAAGTGGCGGGATTCACCAAGTTTTAGGATACGATATATACTAGGTATTGTTTCTCAGGGGTGGTCTGCTTGTCGGAGACAAATCTAAGGTGTCTCTTCTTAATTAAGTTAAACCCTGTCCACATTGTCCATACTACGACGTTCACACTACAACTATAAGAAAGGGATGCTTCGAAAACCGCGCTCTCGGAGGAGGAGACTTTTGAAAAGGAGTCTATAGTTTAGTGTGCCGGGACAGGCAAATGAACATCAGAAGCCCTCGGGACAAATTCGTGAATTCGTCGCCGACCTGTTAATTCATTTCCTGCATGGTCATCTTCCGCGCGACACATCTTTGCACTGAAAGGCGGTGTAATTCAGTTCAACACTAACCCTTCTTCTATTTCTAGTTCCAAGCAAGCCACCTACGGCACTTGTTCCTATATCGCGCAGCGGAGACTTTCAGATGAACGTATCCTGGGGACCAGTGCCAGATGGGTTTGTTCACGGTGTTTTGCGAGGCTACCGACTCTATTTCAAGAAAACACGAGAAACGGGGCGTGCTGCCTCTTCAGCCACTCGCGTTATCACATTCGGTCCTAATGAGTACCATGCGACCATGACCCTTCTCAAGAACTTCGCCATGTACAGCTTGGAAATAACAGCTTTCACTATCAAAGGAGAAGGACCAAGAACCGAGATTAAAGAAGGAGGTGGGTCCTCATGTCAGGCAATGGCTACAAAAAGCCGTGAAAATTCCTGCTGCGTTCCGTGATAAAAGGCTCGAGACAAATGTTTTTCTTTTAGACCTTAAAGGTTCTGTTTGAGATAAACATAACTAATGTCATCCGACCTATATCCTTGTCTCCAACCAATATACAGCACTCATAAAACCTGAATTAAATAAGCCATTCCGAGTTGCCTAAAGCCCCTATTTCAAAGCGAGGCTAAGAGCAAATCCATTGATATGAAACTGATGTTTTATTCTCAGGCAATTAAAACACATTTTCACAACAAAGGTTTCACACTTAGCCTTGTTTTGAAAGTGTTTGGAACTCGGAAATGGTCTTTACATTGCTATTTTCTTCGTAATCACTGTATAATTTTGAAGCCAAGTCAAATGGTAAAGGTAAAGGCGCAAACGAGCCAAAGGCCCAAACGGGCGGAGCTTATCCTTGTCTCCCTAGCATGAAGTATGCCTAGGAATATCGCTACTTCCCCCTGGACGGGATGCTAGTGCATCACAGGTAAAGCTCCCAGCGGCATGTCGCCGGTACCCAATAGGTGGGGCGATCTTGCAGCTCTCGGAAGACCCCACGGGACTGGATTGCAACCGGTTGGGAAAAACAATAAACAAACAAAGTTAACAATGGAACGTAGCCCGAAAACAAAAGAGCCGTGACCCATAGGGGAACCATTAAATTAGAGTTCTGAAGACCTGCAAGGCTACTGATTTGAACACCTGGGTGAAGATAGACAAACTGGAGAAAAGTTCCCTCGCTAAGAAAACAACGCGGACGGGCGAGGCTTGAACCCCGAACCTCCAAATCCGGAGTTCGAGGTGTTAACCGTTCGGCCACTCGAGCCTCCACCATTAAAATGTTTTTTTTTTTTTTTCATTTTCATTTGCTCCAGCCACCTGCAAGTGTCCTCGAGTGTTCAAGACAAATTGGTACCCATTCTCACCTTATGTTAAGTTCGAAAATGGCTCATTGGGGGGTTTCATGCCCCATATCTTAGAACATGCAGTGGAGCATTGCTGTAGTGACTGCAAACAAGCCAATGGGAAATCGGCATCTACCATTGACTTTGACTCCGATGGAAAAGGCAATTTGGCCAGGAAATCTGGTGTCGATGAGTTAATCCATAGCATTGACTCGGATACTGATTTTAATCTGCCTGTAAATGGTTACGAAGGACAGACGCACTATTCACTGTATCGCTACGTCAAGTTAGCCGAGTCACCAGGAGTTGCTTTTATCACTGTTATGGATGAGGATGTGAAGATTGTAGCTGTGGCTAATGTTTTCTTCAATTGTTGGTCTGTGCTCTTGCTCTCCGCCTTTATGATGGTGATGGCCGGTGTTGTTATGTGGATCCTGGTAAGTTAACTTGCTAATAAAGCCGTCTTTCCTCGCCCCCTTCAGGCTTAGACGTTTTGCAGGAGAGACTCTCCTAGCCTGCGCGTAGCAAGCGCTTCCGTTTGGTTTCGGAGCAAAGAAAGACCGGGGAACGGGATTCTTGGTTTTGGCCGCGCAAGAAATGAAACCAGAGCCAAAAAAGTGAAAGAGGGGGGAGGGGGAGGGGAAGGAAGGAAACTTTCCTTCCCGTCCCCCTCCCCGCTGTTTTACTTGCGCCATTTTTCGCGCGGTCTTTGACTCTCGTTCTTCGTTCTTTGCTCCTAAACCGCACGGAAACGCTTGCTACGCAGGCCGAGACTCTCCTAGGAGTGAGGAGAGACAGGTGTATTCGCAGGCTAAGTAAGTTTCAACAAATAAAATCAGTAAATTTAAATCCAATGAAGCGACTTCAGTTAGAATTTTAAATTAAATAGAAAGAAAACTAAGCGAATGATAAATCAGTCTATTAATCGACGTTGTTTAGCCATCTTGCAGTTATAAACATTCATGTATGCTAAAATAATCAAGTTTGTCGTTTGAAATAGAGCGAAGCGCGAGGTCTCACGATCATGGGCAGAAGAAGAACGGCACCTTCCCGCCGTCCTTTACATTTGGATGGATAGAGGAAGATGTCAGGCTACGAGATAGTCCAATGCGTCCTTCTGGCGCACTAATTTGAAGTACGTTATCTGCCTTAACTAAAAGTCCTCTTTTCTAATGAAGTGGCCATCTCTTTTGTAATAGGACACTCGATCAAACAGAGCTGAATTTCCGGGCTCATATATTCAAGGCGCTTATGAGGGATTTTGGTGGGCATTTGTTACATCTACAACGGTGGGGTGAGTCAGACATTGTAGCGCAGCAGGTAACCTTCGTAGCAACCCCCGCTGGAGTCAATTATAGAACTGCGACTTTAAAAGACGAATGTGGATAAATTACTACAGTGCAGCCAACCTCTTTGGCAATAAAAGAAAAAAAAGGATTTGGATTTTAAGAACCCTTGGAATGTAAAGTGTTAAATATTTGCTCAGCCATCCTTTCAAGTGTGCCGATTTTCCAAGAACATTTCTGTACACCATGTTCAGTTCTTTTAAACTTTCTCTTTAAGTTTTACAGTGATAAATCTTGAATGTATAGAAGCCCTTAGGGTAATTAACAGTTCGTCAACGTTCCTCTGGAATACTTTCATTTGTCTGGGAAAGACAAAATTTTCATTCTCAAAAGAGGAAAAAGATCAAGAAAGGGCTCCTCTCTCCCCCCCATGATCCTGGTATCAAATGACGAATTCAAGGTTGGAAATTAAGTGTTAATATTTAAGTTCTTTTTTGGAGGTATCTTACATTTATATGAAAGGATCTTTTCTTTGTCAGGGAAAAGTTTTGATCTTAATGTAAATTTATTTCCAGCTTCCAGCGTTTCCTATTTCGATTCCTATAATCTCGTACCCAGATCTCACTCTGTCTAACCTTCGCCAGGGAGATCTGGGTACGATATTTCCTCACAAAAATAACACTTTTCTTTTCAAAGGTACGGAGACAAATGTCCGCGAGGGGTAGTAGCTCGCTTGTTTGGAATCACGTGGACATTGAGTGGTCTAGTTGTTATGGCCATTCTCACAGGAACAATCGCTACAGCTTTAACAGGATTCGGTGTCGAAGGGCCCTACATATCACTGTATGGCACCAAGGTTAGTTTTAGTTCTTAGTCGAGGCAAAATCTGAGCGTGACTACTTCAGATTTTCAGGAGTTGAGGAAAGAATTATCCAGCTCTTTTTTTACTGACCTCTTTAGGAATAGGTCATGATGGCTTTAAGTAAGAAAGCAGAGAAAAAGGAACTTGAAAAGGAACCATGAAACTTTGAAATCCATGTTTAATTTTTTGAGAAAATTAACATTTTAAGATATATAAACGTGACATGCCGTTTTAATTTTGCGAAACATTTTTGAGAAAATCACAAACATTTGATAAGAACAATCTCCAGTTGACGGACTAAACGAACTTTGTTTTCCTGCCGTTTTTAAGTCATTTTATTGGTCAATACAATCAAAAACGCAACTTTCAGGTCAATAACAAAAACAGATACCCTCTCTAATGACGATAATAAAAACAGATACCGTCTGGTTCCTGGAGAGACTCGACTGCATCTTCCATTTCCTTTAAATCTTTTTGTTTTTATTTTTTTTCCCCCCATAAAGCCATATTGTTTGCTCTTTTCTTTCCTTCTTTAGGTAGCAGCCATAGCGAACAACTCTGACTTTCGACTCGGAATAAGGAAGAATGCCAAGATAAGCACAGGTAAAAATTCACTCGTGAATAACAACTGTACATTGTTTAGGCGCTTTAAGTTCAATTATTAAAGCTATTTTAAAATATTTATTACTGACAGGCGATACCATGTTAGTAGCAATGATAGACGCAGGGTGACTGGGTGTTTCACCTTGAAGGGGGAAGCAGGAGCATAGAGAAACACTTGCTTTTTATTGTGCTGTATGAAGTGGAACTATTCAAATGAAAACTTGGGAGCGTTAAAGAATTGTCTATTCTGGTTCACGAGATGAATCCAAATTTTGTATTTTGATGTTGCGGAAATCATCCTCTCATAATACTTCAGGGCAGGGAAGATAGTTCAAGATTTGTAAAACGATTTTTAATTATTTCAAAGAGCATAGCTACAAGACTTACGAGGAGATCAGCCAAGCACTGGCCAACAGAGAGGTGAAAGGCGCCTTGGTGGACCTTTATGTGCTGTCCTCTCACAAACATCTGTTTGAGGACCCTCGATTTAGGATCGTCCGTATTTACGACTACAAGGCCAGTTATGGAGTGGTCCTTACTGGTCATTCAATGAAGCTCGAGGAGTGTTTTACCGAGCATATAAAGGGCGATTCTGCTGAAGTCTATGAGAGCATTGAGGAAAATATTAAGATACTTAAGGTATGTAACATAAACAACACTAGGCCCCTTTTAATTTACAGCTACGTCACCATAAAAGAAAATAAATCAGGGCCCTCTCAACTTACAGCTACGTGATGGCATGGACTGAGCTGCGAGCTACGAAAATACAACATTGTTGATAACATAAAGTAACTTGATAGTGATAAACAACAAGGCTGTCTTCCTGAGGGCAGAGCGGGCCTGCGGTACACGAACAATAATCTATACTTTAAAACGACCTCACACGAAAGTAACTGCTTAATACGAAGACTTAAGCATGCCCCTTCGATGCCTATTTAACTGGGTTGCATGGTGTTTACAAGAGAAGCGGAAGTAGAGTGCCCTGGGGATCTCCCGAACGTCCCATTCGCGTTGCGCTTTCGTCCACTAACCGGGAACAAGTGATTGGTGCGCTTTTAGGCGGACCTGGGATTAAAATTAATGTCCCAAGATTTTTTGTTTACTCCTCACTGTTGAATTTCTTCTAGGAGCCACCCGACAGTCCAGCCGAACAGCAATCCACAGGCCTGTTTAGAGCCACTTCCACAAAGTTTATCATCGCGGTGACTGTAACTAGTACTCTGCTGATATTAGCGTGTATCTTGGGAATAATCTTTGAGATGTGCCACAAGAAGACACCCGATGGTTGGTTGGAGCCTTTTTTAAAAGTGTTACAAAACCAAACTTATCAATCACAATGCTGTAAGGCCTCGGCCAAACGTCGCACTTTTCATGAGACGAGTTAAACTCTAATTGGGTCGACCTAAATTAAGAACGTCTGTTGGGTCAGGCGTCAAACTTGGTACACACCAAACCCAATTTGAGTAAATTTTCTCCTGAACGAGGCTAAATAAACATCATCATACAAATTTTAAATTATTAGTTTAGTTCGTCGAATGGGAAGATCGACGTTTGTCCCGGAGACGATCCTCAGACGTTCTATGCCTCTGAAGTAGACGGATAAACCGTGTTGGACGATCAAACCTCATTCCGACAACCTCAGCTGAGCCAGACGTCGAACTTTTCACGAACTCAACTCACCAAGTGAAAAGTTCCAACGGCCCAGGCCTAAGAAATCCTAATGAACCAATAACATTTCTACGCAATAGCAAGTGCTTAACTATTACTTTAATTGTTATGAGTTACGAATATTGGCCTAGATGTTTTAGCCCATCACAGTCTGTCACAGAGCAAACAATCTGACAATGCAGTTTTATAGCTGCAAGGGCCTACGTTGATTTGTATGCTGGCTCTTAACCAGGAAGTATTGTAGATCCGAAAAGAGTTTACAAAATAAAACTCAAACAGAAACCAGGTAAGATCGGATTTTCGCGCATTTGGTTATAGATATGCGAATTTGGGCGTTATAAATTCAAGTAACAAAATCATTATCATCACCATCATCATCAAATGGAACGAAAAATCGAAAGTCGGTCGCAGAAAAATTAAGATATAGGTAAAGAGGAAGGCTATCTTTATAGAAACTAGATTGCCAAAAAAAGGAGGAAAAAAAGACAAATCTCGAACCCAGACTCAAAGAATGTAATTATCCTAAAACACTTTATTTTCTGTCGTAGATTTGAAGCAAAGCAAGGATCTGAAGAATGACATGAGTCCCATAGTGGAGAATTTTCTATCCAGAATGAAGAAGATAGTGCAGGACATGTCAAAACGGCATCGTCGTCAGCAATGTGTAGTTATGCGAGCGGAGAAGGATCGTGAAGAACAGGCGGTCGCTTTAGTGAATCAGTATTACGATATGCTAAGCTCGCGGGACATTCGACAAGACTGGTTCTCTAAGAGTCCTGTAAAATCGGAAATAGAGATTCAAGACATCAAACCAACGGTCTGGCCTTTCCTTGATACGCCAAAAACTGGGACACCGTCGTTTATGAAAAGGAGAAGTGGTTTCTACAAACCTAACACCAGACAAACGCTAGAACCAACTGTTCGCGTCTTGGAAGAGTCAAGGTTATGACTATTGAACTACAACAATTGCTAACTCATATTTGACTCATTTGTTCCTCGGAATCATGTTTTATTTCAATTAGTCCAATCTTTTTCCCTGAGTCCACGTTACACTTGTCTAGCGGACGAGAAACGGGTACTAACGGTAACAGTTGGGATAAATTAAATTAAATTGATAACCTATCAATCTCCCATGCGTGATATATACGATACAGGAATATGATCAGCAGTCTTACTCACAATAGTAGATGGTGTTAATAATCCTTGCATTGTTAAATTATAAATGACGGGGTTGAGATTGCACAGCGCAAAGTTAGTGGTAATGAGTTCCATTCAGGAATTGTGCGTGGGAAAAAGGAAGATCGACAACAGTTGGTATAAAAACTGAGGGAACTATACTGGATCAGCCCGCAATTTTGGTAAAGAGAAAGCGCCTGTAGTACTGTCACTTCAGAATTTACCTCATTCAAAATTTGTCTGTTTTTCATTCTAAGTACGGCCCGGGAGGGAAGCGGGGGCAGGGGACCACCATATGAAACGGTGAAGAGGGGCTTGTACCGGGGACAGGACCCGCCGATACATCTGGAGCCCACTAGAAAAACCTCTGCGTTTGTTTGCGCTAATTTGTAGCTGCGAGAATCTTTGCTTTTGAATACTTTTGGAGATGACAAAGTAGGGACTGAAGTAGGAGAACATACGCAACACGGAAAACCAAGTTAGAAAAATGCTTTGTTCTTCAGCTGCTTTGTGCTACCAAAAGGGTCAGGACACAGCCTTCAAGCTCTAGTACTGTCAATAACTCGAGCATCAGGGAATACATTATCACAAGTCCTGAATCTGCCAAAAACAATAAAAAGCAAAACAACAATTAATACAAATCCCATTCGGATAAAGGTCGCCTGAACCGTCGCAAGTAAGCCTCTACCTTTCGTCCCTCCCCCCTCCCCCTCGGTCTCACTAGGGAGCTTTAGCAACGACGACGGCGACGGCAACGAGAACGTAAAAATAACAATAGGTTTCGATTAGCAAAACAATAATTTTGCTAGACTACGAGTAGTCCCCCATTTTTCCTCAGGGATAGTAGAGCGTGCGAAACGCGAGCGCGCGTGAAAATCACCCCACGCGAGAAAAGGCGACACGCCGCGCGTGGGGTGATTTTCACGCGCGCTCGCGTTTCGCACGCTCTACTATCCCTGAGGAAAAATGGGGGACTACTCGTAGTCGATAATTTTGCACGCTTTTTGTACATCTCTAGGCCATCCCTCCACGACTGCTACGTGAAAATGCCTAGTTTCAAGTTTAATGGACGACGCAAACAAGCGTCGACGAATTTTTCATTTTCTTTTTAAACTTGAGTTTGGTACCCAAGTAATCAACTCCAGGGAAATTCGCCTACTTTCGACATTTTCAGCGAATTGGAATAAACGCGACAAAGTTTAAAAAACGCGAAATCATTTTAAAAGTGACGCTTTTTGCTGCCGTCGCCGTCGTCGATGCTAAAGCTCCCTGTTATTTAAACCAGGAAGTTAACTTACACCGTTACCGAAAAATCTTACTTTCTTTTTCTTTCCGTTTGAAGCAAAAGCTATGGAAAGGTCACATTACTTGTATTTCAAAAGAAATAATAAATTGAAATCAATGTTTATGAACACCATGTGTTTTTGTTCTTCTGGTTTTCTACTTATTGAGCTTAAGCAGCGACGTTTTTAATGCCTTGATGATATAAAATTTGTATTCCTTAGCTTCTTTACTTTTATAGAGGCGATTTGACTGAAAATTTGCGCGAAACCACCGTCAAAAAATGAAAAAAGGCCACTTCCGGTTGACGTGCGTTGCTCGAAAACGTTGTTGCTTAAGCTCCCTAATACCTGACCCCTACTCCCCTTCAGCCTTTCTCCATTCCCGGTGCGAAAAAAAAAGAAAATCCTTAAAGATTAGGCTGGTCTTAATGGGGTTTGACTTTGTGGACAACTCAGTAATACCCTTTTTCTTTAAACACTGTCAGTGCACACAGTACTGCATGTAAACATATCAAGGAAAAAATTAAAAGCCATAATTACAAGCAAATAAATCTTGCCATGGACATATTGCAGAAAAAGCTCGCTAGTGAAGATGAGGCTTATAAACCTAAAGCATTCTGGATGAGTCTCTCGCAACATGACCTTAATTACTCCAGAGGGCTGTCTTACCGAAGAATATGCATTTCCCACTGAACAGTGACTGATTCATTGCCTCTGACTTTTCATCTTAGGTTTACAGAGAACTACCTGTGAGGAAAGAAATCAAAAGACCTTCAACAAATTTATTAACACAAGCTCATCTCCGAGACAAGTTCTCAGAAATACTGGTAACATAGGTAGATAAAAATTTCGAAACAAATGCGTCTTAAGTGTAAGAAACCTTTTCTTCCAGAAGAACAATTTTAAATGGCTAAACAAGTTTCTAGAGCAGGAAAAACGACAAACTAACGAGTGATGATCACGGCTAACACTACAATGATTCCTTGCGAGAACACGATTACTCACGGTAACAACGATGCGATTTCTCTCTCACAACGACTATCAGCGGCCCACGCACAACTGTTATCCCGGGCGAAAAACACCGTCAAGTTATTCTACGGTCGAAGAACAGCATACACCAAGTACGGAACTATGGGAATCTTGGAACGCCGCATGATCCACGTCCTACAAAAATCCGTTGCTAGGCGACACATGTGATGAGTATCCACAATGACTGGTCAACTCTTGCACGGAAGAAATAACTACGCGAGCTTAAAATTTTAGAGGTTTTATTTAATCATTTATTTGAAGTTGTGCTTCTTGGAGACTAAATGCATACACGTGTCTGATAAGAAATAATGGCCTCTACGTACAGACGGAACAAGTTTACGCAACATTAAACACAAGCCCTAGTATTCGATACTGAAAGTAAACAAAAAAATTCCCCTTTACATTATTTAATAAACCCTAAAAGCAATGATACCTATGTTACGCTACAATACTGAGATCATTTTTACTTTCTACGTCAACATACTGTTACACAAGCCTTACGTTAAAAAAAGTCCATAAAAAGTTGCTTAAAGTGAAAAACTCAAAAAGACTTCTTTGCCTAATTTAACATAAAATAATTAATCAGTCCGCTCGATCCAACCAAGAAGTTTGCCAAGTGAAACAGCAACTGCAAAACCGACCGCACGACGAAAGTTATTCGGTCCGTCAACGGCTCGGGTATTCCAGACGCTTAATACCTAAGAAAGAAAACGAAAGACCTATGGAGAAACTACTTCATGGATCACACTGCCTGGCCACCAAAACACCACGTTTTCATTTTTTTTTCCTTCAATCTATTTCCAGAGAAAGGTAGGAGTTTTTTTCCAAAATATTCTTCCTTATTCTTAATTTCAGGGTTCCTAAGTTCCCAAAGTTTCACTTTGCAGTGAAACCACTAGCTGATCCACTTGAGTTTTGGACACTTTTACGTTATTTTTACGGTCGATAAGGGTACAGAACAAGGAAAATTGTTGTAGATTTGTTAAAATTACGCAGAGAGTATTATCGAATCGACCACAGTACAATGATTTTCTTTTCAAAGTGCAGTGTCTTCTTACTTTACAGTCAAACAAGATGGCTTTGGACAAAAAAAGGAAAATCAATATTTACCTGCGACTTCCATAATCTCGGGGGTAACCTTCATATGCTCCAGAAAACCTACAAACAAGCATGTGATCATACATGTCACTGGGTTCGAAAAAAACTTGAATTCCAGCTTGTCCATTGGGCAAGCAGCTCTCACATTTTGCTCGCTGGGCCACTTCCGATTTAGCTAGAAGACTACTATGTCTTGCTTAGACTCTTTCCCATTGGGTTAATTTATGTTAAAAGCACTTGCCCAGCAAGAAAATATAATTGTCCGAGATGACTCAACAGGACTTCTTTCAATCCTGGGTGTAAATATTTCGGCGGCCACCTTAAAGTACTTCAATGCTGTCAAACTTTTAAGTTCATCCTTCAATGCTTGCCCTAACAAACTTGTGAACCACAAGGATACTAGACTACACTGAACCTTGTAACCACAGTCAGAAGGACTGGAGTGAGTGGTCTGTATATTCCTGAGCCTGAGACTATGATTATGCTCTTATGCCAGAACAGAAACTGTACCACACATAAGAATAGTGATTTCTGCATGATTTCTATTACAGAGCCAAGCTGCGCCGCACTGATCTCTAAAGTGGAGATTCACATATTGGATAGTTGTTCGTAATACTATATACCGGATAAACTTTCGTATTGGCATGAAAAGCAGCTACCCAATATAAAATGAACATAGCCAGAATGATCAAAAATTGATCTTTACGACATCAACCCCTTCCAAAGCAACAGATTACCAAAGTTCGGATGTAGATAAAGGAAAAGAGCAGAAACAATAATGGTACCTTGGAGGAGACCTTGGAGGACTGCGGCTTCTGTAACCATAACCACCACCATATCCAGGATATCCATAGTCTCTTGGGTAAGGAGGGCGTCGGTCCATGTAAGGGTCATAATAGCTAGGTGGTCCTCTGTAATAAGGCCTTCTCGGAGGTCCATAGTCATAGTTGCGGCGTTGATCATATCTAAAATATAGAAAGAAAGGGGCATAAAAAAGGTTAGTAACTTAAAGCCAGAAGTGGCCCACAAAGAAAAAACTTAACACAGAATACATATGAAATTTCACTCTGCCCTTAAAAGAATGAAACTGAGAACCTGACAACTGCATGTGTGTTTACACTAGTTTTATTAGCCTGTGAGCAAACTTTCCATTGGGGGGTCCCGAAAGGTCACAGGAGAGCTGCACACGAAAACACACGCAAGTGCGAGGGGCGGGGAAAGAAAGGAGCCTCTTCTTTACCTCTGCCCCTCATGGTGGTGAAAACACCACTCACTCATGCACTTTCGTGGCCTGCACTGCTCGCGATAATTGGAGAGCTTCTTCACAGGCTAGTTTTATCTCATCAAAACACAGCAAATTATA